CGAGTGAATGTCTTTTTGGGCTCAAATGAAAGGCTTTGAACCAGGGGAGACTCCTAAACCCCACTGGACAATGTTGTCACAATTGCGCTTTTCAATTGAAAACAGACATCATCTTTAGAGAGATTTGTCATCTTTAAAGACTTCTGCACGCCATTTCTCGACCCGCTCTTTCATTTGAGCTCAAAAAAACATTCATATCTTGTCTGACATCGCTGCTACAAACTCGGGCCTACAACTCGGGCCTTCAATTGAAGGCCCGAGTTGTAGGCCCGAGTTTGTAGCAAAGATGTCAGACAAGATATGAATGTTTTTTTGAGCTCAAACGAAAGAGCGGGTCGAGAAATGGCGTGCTAGGACCTCTAAAGATGGTGTTGAACCAGGGGAGACTCCTAGAACCCACTGGAAAATGTTGTCACAATTGCGCTTTTCAATTGAAAATAGACATCATCTTTAGAGACATTTGTCATATTTAGAGCACCAGCACGCCATTTCTCGACCCGCTCTTTCATTTGAGCCAAAAAAAACATTCATATCTTGTCTGACATCTCTGCTACAAACTCTGGTCATACTCTGGTTTTCAGTTGAAATTGGAATTGTTAATTTACACAATAATAGGAGTGCATTGACGATTTTTTCTTAACTCGCAAAAATCTTCAAACAATTTGCTACCGATTGGTGATAAAATTTTTTGGAAATAATGAAATAGGGGGGATAACGCCTTTTTTTTCAGGGGTGATTTTTCAAAAATTTATTTTAAAAAAAGTACTGACTAGCAAATGTTTTTTATTAGCTCGCAATTATCTTCAAAACTACTTCAATGAGGAAAAAAATAAAAATTTGGAATATCTATACATGAGGGGCTAATTGATCGGATCTCCCACACGCGTGAATGTGTAACTTATATTTGTTGAGTTGTCAGAGAGGACGTGCTACCTTGGCCCAGGATTAAACACTTGTTAAACTTCTCATGAACAAACAAATAACTTTTCAACGAAATCAAGTTTTATTCAACGGTAAATGGTAGTTTTACGGTTGTTGAATGTGATTAATTGTTGTGATAACTGTGGGATCTGAAAGATTGGAGGAAGAGGGACAACAATTGAGGTGAAATGGCAGCTGAGATAAAACCAGCACCCGGTGCTAATAATGACAAATTCAGTACGAGCCGGAAGCCAATACTTATGTCCAAGTTGGAGGGATGCAATGACGATGTCAATGCTGCTGTCATCATACCCAAGGAGGACGGAGTCATCAGTGTCTGTGATGATAGGTATTTTTTATTTTCAGTTGACATTAATTCGTTTTTGATAATGGAAAATGGAAATTTGAGTCTTGATTGGGGGTAGGGGTGGGTGAGGTGGAACCACCCTTCATTAATTTTCGATATCTCCCGAACGAACGATGCGATTCTGATGAGTCGGGGCTCATTTTCAAGCCTGAAAAAATACCTTGGAAATGAAGAAGGAAATTTTGAATTTCACTCTGCCAATCTCGAGTTATTCAGAATTGAAAATGACGCATTTTCTGCCCCAATTATGAGATTTAATGTTTATGTTTGTTCAGGGATTATTTGCCTGAGATTGAGGTTGTATTCAGGGTTTTTTGGTTTTAGGACTGTTAGAGTATGGCTGAAACGTGACTCTGGACAGTACTGGCCCAGTGTCTGCCAGTACATGGCTGCTGGAGCCACTGCAATGCATTACCATGTGGAGAGCAGAAGACTTTTTGTGGGGCTGGAGAATGGATCCATTGACGTACGTGGCTTGTGTCTCCACCACTTTATCCAGGGATTTGTTATCTTTTGGATTGCGGAAAGGGACTACCTTTGTTTTGTCGGATGAGTCACATTCGTAATTGATCGGTTGAAAAATTAATCTAGAGTCACTTCAGTATTGATCACATTCTTGGGGAGTTTTGTTTTCAACTGCCGGTGCTTTACTAATCGGGGAAATGGTCGGTTTATGAAAGCCTCGCCACGAACGACGACTCAGAGTCTATAATTTTTTAATCTGATTGGAGATAACGTCACGTCAGCGTAGAATAAAGAATTAATTCAGTGGAGAAATGAATGAAATTATTTCGTTGATGAGGGATTTTTATTGGAAATTTCTTCAGCTACAAATAATGTCTTTTGGCATTTTGCCCTAGAGCCAGTCATTTTAGAAATAAAAACGCAATTAACAATCACAATACGGCATTCTGCGACGTTTTATCATTCTACTATGAAATGGAATTGAACATTGGCTGAGGATGATTATTCTCTATTCTAGGAATTTCTCCTTGAGCAGGATTACAACAGAATGACAGCGATGAGGGAGTACTTGGCTCATCAGGGTAGAGTGACGGGTGTAGTGTTCTCTGGAATTCACAGCTGGATACTCAGTGTTGGGAGAGACAAATTGTTCCAGCTGCATTGTGCAGATACTGGAAGGCGACTGGGATCTTTCGGAAGGGCCAAGTCTAGTTATCTGGGCGACAGTTGGTTCACAGCCTTGCAGTATCCCTTTCACAAAAAAATAAAACCAAAACATTACACATTAAAAATTATTTGACAACACATTTATTTCTATTTATGTAAATATCGAATTATCTCGATAATGAGTTCCTCTAGATCATTTTGAGAGAAAATTTTCTCTGCAAATATTTCTACTCTAAACATTAGAAACATTAAAATAACTCATTTTCAAGAGAAATCGATAGATTAATCATCGATAATTAAAGTTTTCATAATTGCACTTGAATTTTCTTTAAAATAATTAACACCAGATTTGACGAACAATCTAAGCACGCGTTTGTCGGTGATTACGGTGGTGAAATAACGATGCTGAAGGTGGAACCCAACTCCATAAGCCTCGTGGCCTGCCTCAGCGCTCACAGTGGGAGCATCAGGACCCTGGCATGGGACTCTGAGAAGCAGCTACTGTTCTCTGGTAGTTTCGATCAAAATATCATCGTGTGGGACATTGGGGGACGTCAAGGAGTCGCTTATGAATTGCATGGGCATCGTAACAAAGTCACAGCGTTGTGCTTCGCAAGTAGTGAAAAATTGCTACTCTCTGGGGGTGAGGATGGAGTCATTGTGGGCTGGAGCATGGCTGGGGCCAGGAAAGAGACTGCCACTTGGGAAGAATCTGATATTTGTCAAGTGAGAAATACATTTGGCACTTTTTCCGTTCAAAGAATTTAATTTTTCAACGTATTCATTCATTTTTAATTATTTTTTTGTGAATTTGAGTTATTTCCTTTGACTGATGGCTTCGTTTGGATTTAATTGTGGATTTTAATGATCTTCTTAGTCTTGTTCACGACCATTTTTCTGGAATATGAAAGCCATGATGGACCAACGACAATTGGGACTGAGACAACACCACTGCAGGAATTGTGGAAGGGCCCTCTGTGATCGTTGCACGTCCCAGAGGATTCCCATTCCTGCCATGGGTTTTGAGTTTGAAGTTCGGGTCTGTGATCCCTGCCACATTCAGCTGAAAGCTTCCAAGTGAGTGTCATAATCTTTTAAACCACTCCAAGAATGATTGAATCAGTGTTAGAATGTTGAAACTTTGCATTAAAATTGTTCACATATTATTAATTGTCAAATCATAATGTTTAGTCAAACATCGATGGCATCATTTCACGATGCAAAACACAGCATCACAGCGATGGACCTGGACGTCTCACGAAGAAAATTATTAACGGTCGGTCAGGATCGAGTCATTAAAATTTGGGACATTACAGCTCTCCTCCAGCAATAAAATGTCTCTCTTTCTCGAGTGATCTAACTCATAAAACAAGTATGGCAGGGCTTCAAACCCTGTAAGATTGCATACGTTGGCTTCATAAGTGTGTCGAAATTGCTTCTCATCGAATCAAAACAAACGATTAAAATTAATTATTAACTAGCACGCCTGATTCAATTCTAGGAGATGAACTACTATATTTTTGGGAATAAGAAGTCTACAACTATTTCTTCATCACTGTTGGATAAAAAATTTTTTCAATTACTGTAAATAATTCTTGTGAAACGCTGCTGACGAATTTGTACTTCAATTTGAAACTGAAATATCCATCGAGTTTTTGTATTTAATTGAAAGAATGATTATGTCCATTGAAATATAATGTAAAAATAGAGGAATGGGAAGGTACTGAGATGTAGAGAGAAATACTTCAGTCACACTCACTGAAAAAACTGTAAACTAGGTTTTTATGAGACAATTTTTACGGTTTTGTTAATTGTTTTGTTGTTTTTTTTTAATGTCAAGAGATGTTTTCGTACCTGAGAAGATTCTCTGTGAAAAAATTTCTGCGACATTTTTTCTACACCCTCTTAACCCCAAATAATCCAAGAAATCAAATCAGTGAAATTGATTGAAAAATAAAAAATATTGGATTGATTTTTTTTTCTCTTCTCTGTGAATGCATTATAAACAGCATCCATTGTACTGATTCTAAAGTCCACTCATCACAACAGCTATTCACCCTCTCCACAAATAAACACTGTATATTACTCGATAGTACGAATGACCGCATGTATGTTGCAAAAATGTTTCTACTGTCGTTTCCTGCGTATCAAGTGATTCATAAAAATTGAATGAGATACACGCGCTTCCATAGAGATTAATGTATCGAGGAATGTGAAGATTCCCTTGGTCACTGTGTCTATAATGCTTTGTGTAATCCATTCCATAGGCAGCCCCTCTACTCGACAAGTTTGAATATTATCAATGTATGTACTGTACGTAACAAATATTAAGATTTCTTTTCAATTTATTTTCAGAATGGTGATGTATTCGTTACTTAAGTACACTCGGTCATGTGTAAAAATTGATCAAAGAAATATATGACGTTATTATCAAGTCATTGGACGGGCCAATTATTCATTTTTATTCACGAATTTTTTTCAATTATTTTACTTGGCTTCATTTCAGTTCATTTTGGCTTATTATTTTCACGAACCCCCGATAGCTACATTGGTGGAGTAGCGAGTTGGTAATCTGAAGGTTGCGGGTTCAAATCCCCTCGGGGGCATTATCCTTGGTATTGCAATCACATCTTTCAATAATATATTGAAATGATAAAACTTTTGAAAAATTATTTTTACATAAAAATGATCCAACAAATTTTTCATCGCCAATTCTCATTATTATTTATTTCATCACAATACAAGGGACTGAATTCATGAATATTCCTTCATTATATTGAAAAAAAAAAACAATTTTACCACTTTCCAGAGACATTGGAGAATCCTTTTTTCCGTTTCCTCATTGGTCTGCATTTTTTTATTTCTCCTCACTGAAATAAACAGTAAAAAATAATTTTCCATTTCATATTCATCGAACTAATCGGATATTATTCAGTCAGTAGAAAGAGCAACGTGAAATTTCCCCTGATTCCGTTATTCGGACAAATAATCAATGAATAAATAATAGATTTGAAATAATTTCCATTCGATTTTCATGAAGTAGTATCTCTCACCGTCGGCGAACCCCACCTGTGCAAGATCCTGTGGTGCCGAGTCCCTCCGAGTTCCGCCGAGCGAACGTGTTAATGTGCCGGTCACCGATGGATCCCCGACGGTACCCCGTGCTACCTATACGCTGTTGTTACCTGTTGGCGTGCTCGCCCGAGCTCTACACATTCGGTATCGCTTACCAGGGCGGCCGATCCGCCGATTTTTACTCACTTCCAATACCCCAATCAGTGCAACAATTCCCCGAATTCCTTAAATCGTCTCTGAAAATTCAAAGTGCGAGTGATAAACGATTGTGAAAGAGTTCAATCGCATTTATAACTCCCTCATTATTTTGTACATGTCCACGTCGTCAAGTTCATGCGCCGGAATGAGTGACTCGGTGCACAGAATTACAGTGAGATTCGTTATTTTGTGAGAGAGCCACAGTGGGGTCAATGATTTACGGTGATTTCAACGGAAAAGTGGATTTTAACTGGAGAAAATTGTCTTCAGGTGTGGAAAATCATTGAATAAGCACAACATCAAGACCACAAGGTACGTCATTCCGGGGTTTTATTGACTTCGCGTGCGGAAGATTATCTTTACTCATTCGTAATGTGATCTTTCGTCATCCGGGTTATCGGCTACGATTCGTGATCTTCGATGGGGGGAAGTGGATCACGAATATGCGAGCAAGACATTGTTTGTAAACAAGTAGATGAGGTGATTGATTGGGGGATTCAGGTTTTTTCGGTGGGAAATGGGTTGTGGGGCTTCACTGGGGGGTAGAAGCCAACTCGACGCGTTTTTATATTCTCACTTCTTTTTTTTTATACTCATTTCCTGTTACATCGATGAGCCCGACATTATTTCATAAAAATTGAATTGAAAATCGACGTTAAAAGATGAAATACTAAAAGTATTCGTTAACTCCAATTGTTATTTCAACGAATTAATTGTTAATCCTATTCTAATGAAATAAAAATGGTATCACTTGTTCAGAAGATATTCATAATTTAAAAAAAACGTTCCGGAAGAGACGGAAAACATCATCTTCAATTGTCAACAACTAAACGGAGAAATTCGTCAACTTTTTTCCATTTTCAAGATCTTTCTGGAAACCTTAAAATGCGATCAGACTTATTTAAATCGCCTCGTTAGCTCCGGAAATATTAAGAAATCGATCGTCAATTCCTCATTATAGTTCCAATTAATTCATTTCGTCCATTTAAATGCCTGAAAATCAATTAAAACATTGAAAAATGAACAATCGCCCTGAAAACCAATAGAAAATTGAAATGTTTTCTATTTTTTTCTGTTCTTCATTCGTTTTGTTATGAATTTGTGGGGGCCCGGAAGGTCACCGCTCCAGACAGGTAGATGACACCTGCCCGGTTCAGTGCTGTACAGTTTTTCTCGTTTTTTTTCTTTTCCTCCCTGCGTATAACTCCGAGACACCTGTTACTATATTATCCCTGCGCTATTTGCTACAAACATTCCCCCCCCCCCCGTTCCTTGTCCTGCGTCTACCTTTGGACTCGGATACACCACGAGTACTCGCGAATTGCGAAAAAAAATGAGAGTGCAGAGGATGACGTTTAATGATAATAATTTAGTGTTTCATGTCGATGTTGTGAAAAACGAGATGGTAATTTTTTACTGCTCGTCCTGGGTTTTTTGCACGGCTGGGGGATATTTATGTCACTGACGGACCGCTTTGAGGAGGCATTCAGTCATCCTTTGCGAAAGATCAATGTTTCAATGGTTGGAGGCACTTTTCTCTCGGTTGATTGCAATTATCGTTGGCTTTAAAATGTAAAAAATCGATTCGTAATGAGGAATTGTCCCATTATTTATTTTTAACGGATTTCTAGGGGCCCAGGGGACACTTTCTGCTGATTAGCATTAATTTCTCTTTCGATAATTGTCTCTCGTCAATAAACAATGGAAAATGTCATTGGGATATCAAATTTTTAATCATCAAGTCTTGGGAATTAAAAGGATGAAAAAAATGTCAAGAGGATAATGCTCAACAATACGTGACATTATCTTTCATCGCTTTTTATTTCGACAAAACAATGATTAAAAATCGTTCTGTGGAATGCTCGATCGAACGTTTAGTCTATATAAATTAGTGTAACCGACAGAGTAAAAACCGGAAAAGGCGAGGGACACTGACACTGACCCCGCAGACAGTTGTCCGGGTATTAGTGTCTGCGCGGTAGATCCTGAACTTTCGCACGACTCGTATTTCTTCTCAAACTGCAAGATCAATACCCCGATGGGTCCTTGAAACAGCAGAATCCACCGTGAAATTCTACTTTCTTTTATTCCATACCTGGAATTCTCACCAATCAATGTCAATCCAACTTTCATTTGTGGTAAATCAAAACAGTGAAAGATGATCATTGAAATTTCTTTAGAAATTGGTCCATTAAAGAATCATTAATAATCGATAAAAAATGGAGGGGATGGGAATAGGGAAATTGGGGCTCAATGGGCTGTGGAAAGCTGCGGAAATTTTTATATCAACTGCACGATTTTCTAGTGAAGCGGCGAAACGAAGTAATAAACGATATGATAATTTATTTTTTGTAAAGTTTGAATATCTCTCGAACAAATTATGCGATTTGGATGAGTCTGGTCTCATTTTAAAGCCTGAAAAAATGTCGAGAAAATGAAAGAATAATTCTCCAATTCCTCGGAGCAGATCTCGAGATATTCCCAATTGAAAACCGCTTACTTTTCCCCATTTTCGTCAGAATTAATTTCACTTGGCTTTTATTTTTCGTTGAATAACTTGGAATCCGACGGAGATAGCGGCATTCTTGTAAAGACCTTTTTTGTAGTCCTCAGAGTGCTCTGTAAAAAAGGTCCTCACAAGAAATCCGCTATCTCCCTTCGATTCCCCGATATCCACCAAAAACTGGAATGCAAATAGGAAAAACAATATTTTCTCCTCCTGCAGTCACTCCCATCTGAATTCCTCTATGTAATAACGATCTAAGTCATACTTCTCGTCTGGAATCGAGTGTGGAATACCCGAGGGGACTAGTGTCGCGCAGCTAACCCACTTAGCGAACAGGTTTATCCATTCTCTGCGTACGTTGTGGAGCACCGACGTACGGTTTCTGTACTAACGGGGATCAGGCCGCATATGTATCCACGTCTCCTATCATTTTTTCTCTTCCCAGTATTCCCAGAATGAAACCCAGTGTTTTGCCGCGTGTCCTATCATTTCAGTCCTTCCTGATCAATCAGACAGGCAATTGAATTATCTCCGGTTTACACACTCTGGGTATCACTGCCCCGACAAGTTCAATGCTCATCCCCCAGGTGTTTAGATAATTCACCTGTGGGTACCGCTCATTCTGATTTCGATTCCTCGTTTGTTCAGACGCTATATCTCCACTTTTATCAGCGCCCATTTACGAGGTTTTAATTTATCTTCGTTATTTACTCTGAACGATGAATGTAACAGCATTTCTTTGGCTTATGAATTCATCACGCGAGTCCACGGAGTTGATTGCGGCATGAAAAAAATTCACTGATTCATCAATCGAGGATTTTGAGAATTCCCGACTATTTTTTGTTGTTTTTTAGCCAATAAATTGGAAAATTAATTTGTGGGGGAGGGATCTCAATGACATTTCAATGACATTTTGCAAGAAATTACTGTTTTTAATATTTGGTTTTATAAATTAATGATGAGCATTAATGGAGAATTAATTTGGAACGTCTCGATTTTTTTTATTAAACTTCCGGATAATTAAATGAATGGATATTACCGGTCAAGGAGGATCTGACGATGAACCTTGAGGATAATCCTAGTACGTGATTAATGATGATATTGAGAAGATTCATTACATTTTTACACCTACTTGCACAAACTGGTTAATGTAAGGCCACCGATCATCATTTCCTACTTTTTTTCTGGAATATTATTTCTCCTCGGAAACCCGAGGAATTTGTTTCTCAAAAGTCATAATGGGATTCACTGGTGCGTTTGATGATACAGGGGAGAAAGATCCGGATGTTGGAGATTTTATTCTAACGTGAGGTGAATATCATTAATGAAAACTCAATGTCGAAAACTTGGGATATTATTTTAGTCATAAATTAGAGAGCCGAAGGCCTAGACAAAGTCTAGAGTTGAATCATTGCGCAATCATTGTAGAAAAATTCAAGAAAACCAGAATTATAATTAAAAAATATACATCATCATCATGAGTCTTGGAGGCCGGATAATAGTCGTGTTCTCGTCATTGTTTCCCAAGATTTCGAATGTCTCGAAAAGAAATTCTGCGCTCGGACGGATCATAAAACCACAAGTTGCTTTTTCACACCTTAAATATTGAATTGTCTTCTTGATGAGTCGTTTTAAGAGAAAATGTCAAGAGATCTCTGGTGATTTCTCTTAAAATCACTCTCCCAGATGAATTTTAACGGCAGGTACAGTTTTTATTGACTAAATCCATTATCACTTGTGACCCGTTTTTATTTATTAGATATTTCTTGTGTTTTAGGTGGCGGGCCAGTGCGCACGTCGAACGAGACTCGAGAGATGGTCATCGTTACCCGGGTAAATCCATAAATAAAGTAGCAAAAGTGGAGAAATTGATTTACGCTGTATTTTTTGCAAAATATAATTCTTAAGTAGAAAATATGCGCTTCACTTACACTAGAGGATAAATTGTTGAACGATTGATTGTCTTAAATTACAGAATTTATTGAGAATTATTCCGTGCGTCAATCACAAAAAACTAATTTTTTTTATTTTACTATTTTCGGTGATTTTGGAAACTTCAACATTTTTTTTCTTCAAAACTAGAAGGCCTAGAAGAATTCTATTAACGGATTCAGAATCAGCGGAATTTAGTCTTTCTAATGCGGCTAATTTCATGAATTTAATTTAATAAACTTTAGAATTTAATAAAAAAATAAAATAAAAAATTAATTTTTCCCAAAATAAAAATAAAAATCATTCAACATTTTATTCACACCAATATCAACAATAATGTCATTCCCCTTTATCTGAAAAATTTTCTCTAATTCATCAAGTTCACAAGGTTAAATATGCATACGTTGAAATCGTACAGTCAATTTCACTGGTGATTTTATGCACGCGTACCTCTCCCCGAAAACTCGGTCAGTAGGAATCTGTACCGAGTGACCACTCACTGCAGATCCAAAAAATCCGTAAACAAATCCGACGATGAAAGCATTTATTAATCCCCGGGGCATGATAGCCCCTCAAGGACATCAAGTAGTACATTTGCCATTACAATATTATTAAAAGTCATGAATAAATCCCAATAAACAGATCAACATCCTAATCACACTGAGAAAAATTTCAATGGTAATTTTGACTACAAGGGAATTGTCGAAGAAATTAAATTTGCAGTAACAATAAACTTTGTAGATTGAACTAGGATTCATCGTTCGCTTTACCACCCCCAATGGTGTCATCAATTATGATGTAATTTTCACTTTAATAGTTGAATCTATTCCTTTGTAGTTGAAATTACCATTGAAATTCCTCTCAGTGCACAATCGACCGCTGAAAAAATCGGCGTAAGAACGAATAGTCCACCTGGACTATTCGAAATGAAAGTGTCCGACTTGACAAATGCGAAAGTTTTCCCCAACGCGAGGGGCGAGGACCCGGAAGTGCGAGCGTTGGTCCACCCCACGGGAAATCCAAAAATCCCACAATACCTAGGCCACTATTAGATCGCCATTTCGATAATCGAGGTGAAAAAAAATATATTAACCAGTTGTGTGTGCGCACCCACCAAAGAGCGGAAAAGGCAACTGGGCAAGCGGGCTCTTCTCGCTCTCCCGATGTTCCGAGACACCGAACAATTGGGACGCACACATTAAAATATATTGTACGGACACACGCGCTCGACGATACGTGGATATAACGCGCGCAATTATCTATGGGAATTCTCTTTTGGCTCGGTCGAGTAATCGTAATCGGTGGTATTACGGGTCCGCATTGATAATCTCGGTTAATTAATTGTTAAAGGGAATCCAGTGTTTATAAACGAAAAATTCAATTCCGTAGAATAATAAAATTTTTTGTTAAGGATCGTTAACCGTAGGAAGAATAAGAAAAAATCATTGAACAGCTAGACCTCATTATTATATCAGTATCATCAATCAATTCATCTTACGAATTTAATTTATCGATCAATTTAATTAATATCCAATCTGTTATCTTCGGAGAATTCTATCTGTGCAGTTGAGAATCTCTCAAATAATAACGGATTATTCAGGGGGAGAATAACAAATAAATTTGTTCCAACAGGGTGATTACATATGGATCGAACCAATATCGGGACGGGAATTCGATGTCGCCATAGGAGCAAGAGTAGTCTCCGCCGAGGGACGACGGATTCAAGTTAAAGACGACGACAACAACGTAAAAATCCCCCCTCAACAATCGAATTATTCAGCAGCGAACTGATAAAACTGTAAAAGTCAATTTTGGCTATTGACCAGTTTTCAATGAATATCTCGGAATCTAAGGGAGACAGCAAAATTGTTGTTATAAACTTTTTTGTAGAGCCGATTGAGCGCTACAAAAAATGTAGTTACAAAAATTTCGCTATCTCCCTTAGATTCCGAAATATTCCTCAAAAACTTCGCTACTGAATTGATGAAATAAAAAACTGGAGTAATTCTCATTCTCGATTATTTATTTCAACTTCCTCAGGAGCAATGGCTCACGCCCGAGCGAAGGATAAAGGCGATGCACGCCACCTCGGTCCAGGGCGTCGAGGACATGATAAGCCTCGGCGACCTCCACGAGGCCGGCATCCTCAGGAATCTCCTCATAAGATACAACGAGAATCTCATTTACACTTACACCGGTTCTATTCTAGTCGCCGTTAATCCCTACCAAATTCTGCCGATTTACACTGCCGAGCAGATTAAGCTCTACAAGGACAGAAAAATCGGGGAATTGCCACCTCACATTTTCGCCATTGGCGATAACAGTTATGCTCATATGAATCGGTATGGGCAGGATCAGTGCATCGTCATCAGGTAATCTTTTCAGTCTTCTTCTTCGTGTGATGGCTCGGGATCTCGTTAACACTTTGTAGATTGAAGACGTGAGCAAAGTGTTGAGGACAAGACACTTTCCCCAGACTGATCATAAAACTTCATTAATCTTCAGCTTTTACATTTCGTTAGAGAATAAAAATTGTCTCATTTCTATTCGTTCCCTGATTTTCACCAAAATCTTCTGCCTCCAGTGGTGAGAGTGGAGCAGGCAAGACCGAAAGCACAAAGCTCATCCTGCAATACCTGGCAGCCATCAGTGGCAAGCACTCCTGGATAGAGCAGCAGATCCTCGAGGCGAACCCCATCCTCGAGGCCTTCGGCAACGCCAAGACAGTTCGCAACGACAACTCCTCTCGCTTCGGAAAATACATAGACATCCACTTCAACGATCAGGGGGTCATCGAGGGCGCCAAGATCGAGCAGTACCTCCTGGAGAAATCGAGGATAGTCTCCCAGAACGCCGACGAGCGCAACTACCACATCTTCTACTGCATGCTGGCTGGCCTCTCCCCCGAGGAGAAGAAGAAACTCGAGCTCGAGGACGCGTCCCACTACAGGTACCTCACTGGGGGCGGCAGCATAACGTGCGAAGGCCGGGACGACGCCGCCGAATTCGCGGATATACGATCGGCAATGAAGGTTCTTCTCTTCTCAGACCCCGAGATCTGGGAGGTGCTGAGGCTGCTCGCTGCTTTGCTGCACATGGGGAACATTAAATACAGGGCGACTGTCGTCGATAATCTCGATGCCACGGAAATATCTGAACACACTGCTGTCCAGAGAGTTGCTCATCTCCTAGGTGAGATACTTAATAAACTAGTAAAACTTAGAGAACGACAGATTGAAATAAAAGAAGGGGTTCGTGAATAAATTAATGACTTTTGAAATTGAGGAATGAGGAAAGAAATTGAGAATAACAATAATTGATCGAAGCAATTTATTATGTCCTGGAATGCGACTAATTCCTTGCTACCTCCGCAATAATTCAATACATGAATTCAGTAGCGAAGCGGTAAACCGGGTCAAGTCGATTTTGACTTTTGGCCATTTTTTGACAAATATCTCGGAATCTAAGAGAGATAGCGAAATTTTGCTCATCACCTTTTTTATAACCCTCAGTTGGCTCTACAAAAAAGGTCATGACAACAATCTTTCTATCTCTTTTAGATTCCCAGATATTCGTCAAAAACTGGCCAATAGTCCAAATCGATTTAACCCGGTTTACCGCTTCGCTACTGAATTAAAATGAGTATAAATAAAATGATAAAAATAATGTGATTTTGGAATGAATTGATCATAATAATTTGCACAAATCTTGTATAAATAATTGAATTGTCCTCCGGCAATGCTATTCTATTCTCGTCTAGGTGTTCCTGTTCAGTCCCTGGTGGATGCCCTGACCAGAAGAACAATCTTCGCCCACGGCGAGACAGTGGTCTCAACCCTCTCGAGGGACCAGTCAGTGGACATCAGAGACGCCTTCGTCAAGGGAATCTACGGCCGACTCTTCATCCACATAGTGAAACGCATCAACGAAGCCATCTTCCGTCCGAAGCACAAATCCCGAAGTGCAATTGGGGTCCTCGACATCTTCGGCTTCGAGAACTTTGACCACAACAGCTTCGAGCAGTTCTGCATAAACTACGCGAACGAGAATCTCCAGCAGTTCTTCGTCCAGCACATCTTCAAGCTCGAGCAGGAGGAGTACAACCACGAGGGGATAAACTGGCAGCACATAGAGTTCGTGGATAACCAAGACGCCCTGGACCTGATCGCCATAAAGCAGCTGAACATAATGGCCCTGATCGACGAGGAGTCAAAGTTCCCCAAGGGGACCGACCAGACGATGCTCGCGAAGATCCACAAGACCCACGGCAGCCACAGGAACTACCTCAAACCCAAATCGGACATCAACACTTCATTCGGGCTCAACCACTTCGCTGGTGTCGTCTTCTACGACACGAGGAGCTTCTTGGAGAAGAACAGGGACACCTTCAGCGCCGATCTCCTGCAGCTGATTCACATATCGTCCAACAAATTCCTGCAGACGTGCTTCGTCGAGGACATCGGCATGGGCTCGGAGACCAGGAAGCGAGCGCCCACTCTCTCCACGCAGTTCAAGAAATCCTTGGACTCCCTCATGAGGACTTTGTGCAACTGCCAGCCCTTCTTCATAAGGTGCATCAAGCCGAATGAGTACAAAAAGCCCATGATGTTTGATCGGGGCCTGTGCTGCAGGCAGCTGAGGTACTCCGGGATGATGGAGACCATCAGGATCCGGAGGGCTGGCTACCCCATTCGCCACGCCTTCTCGGAGTTCGTCGAGCGATACAGATTCCTGATATCTGGCATTCCCCCGGCGCACAAGACCGACTGCAGAGGGGCCACTGCGAGGATCTGTCACCACGTTCTCGGCAGGTCGGACTATCAGCTGGGGCACACCAAGGTCTTCCTCAAGGACGCGCACGACCTCTTCCTCGAGCAAGAGAGGGACCGAGTGCTCACGAGGAAGATCTTGATTCTCCAGAGGAACATCAGGGGCTGGGTCTACAGGCGGCGCTTCCTCAGGATGAGGACTGCCGCTGTTGTGGTGCAGAAGCTCTGGAGGGGGTACGCCCAGAGGCAGAGGTACAAGCGGATGCGGAGTGGGTACATGAGGCTGCAGGCGCTGGTGAGGTCGAGGGTTCTGTCCCACAGGTTCAGGCACCTGCGGGGCCACATCGTGGCCCTCCAGGCGCGGGCCCGGGGGCACCTCGTGAGGAGAATGTACCGGAAGAAGATGTGGGCGATCGTGAAGATCCAGGCGCACGTCCGGAGACTGATCGCCCAGAGGCGGTTTAAGAAAGTTAAATACGAGTATCGCCTGCACATCGAGGCCCTCCGCCTGAGGAAGATCGAGGAGAGGGAGCTGAAGGACCAGGGGAACAAGCGCGCGAAGGAGATCGCCGAGCAGAACTACAGGGAGAGGATGCAGGAGCTCGAGAGGAAGGAGATAGAGATGGAGCTGGAGGACCGAAGGCGAATGGAGATCAAGAAGAACCTCATTAATGACGCGGCTAAGAAGCAGGACGAGCCTGTGGACGACAGCAAACTCGTCGAGGCTATGTTCGACTTCCTCCCGGACTCCAGCAGTGAGGCCCCCACCCCCGCCAGGGAGACGTCGGTCTTCAACGATCTGCCGGCGCCGAAGGCAGATCAGCAGGAGATCATCAGCCCTGTGCAGACGGCCTCGGAGGACGAGGAGGATCTCTCGGAATTCAAGTTCAATAAGTTCGCTGCGACCTACTTCCAGGGGAACATCAATCATTCCTACTCGAGGAAGCCTCTCAAGCATCCCCTGCTCCCTCTGCACACTCAGGGGGATCAGCTGGCTGCGCAGGCCCTCTGGATCACGATTTTGAGGTTCACTGGGGATCTCCCGGAGCCGAGGTACCACACCATGAACCGGGACACAACTTCAGTCATGTCGAAGGTGACAGCCACTCTCGGGAGGAATTTCATCAGGAGCAAGGAGTTCCAGGAGGCCCAGATGATGGGGATGGATCCGGACAGCTTCAAGCAGAAGCCCAGGTCCATCAGGCACAAGCTCGTCTCCCTCACCCTGAAGAGGAAGAACAAGCTCGGGGAGGACGTCAGGAGGAGACTCCAGGAGGACGAGTACACCGCTGACAGCTACCAGTCCTGGCTGGAGTCGCGGCCAACGTCGAACCTCGAGAAGCTCCACTTCATCATTGGGCATGGGATCCTCAGGGCCGAGCTGAGGGACGAGATCTACTGCCAGATCTGCAAACAGCTGACGAACAATCCGTCAAAGTCCTCCCACGCCAGGGGCTGGATCCTCCTGTCCCTCTGCGTCGGGTGCTTCGCGCCTTCTGAGAAGTTCGTCAACTACCTCAGGGCGTTCATTCGCGAGGGACCACCGGGGTACGCGCCCTACTGCGAGGACCGGCTGAAGCGAACCTTCAATAATGGAACGAGGAACCAACCCCCCAGTTGGCTCGAGCTGCAGGCCACTAAATCCAAGAAGCCCATCATGCTACCGATCACCTTTATGGATGGCAACACCAAGACCCTCCTGGCGGATTCTGCCACCACCGCCAGGGAACTCTGCAACCAGCTCTCGGAGAAGATCTCCCTGAGGGATCAGTTCGGCTTCTCCCTGTACATCGCTCTGTTCGACAAGGTCTCCTCCCTGGGGAGCGGTGGGGATCACGTCATGGACGCCATATCCCAGTGCGAGCAGTACGCCAAGGAGCAGGGGGCGCAGGAGAGGAACGCCCCCTGGAGGCTCTTCTTCAGGAAGGAGATCTTCGCACCCTGGCACGAGCCCACTGAGGACCAGGTGGCGACCAATTTGATTTATCAACAGGTGGTCCGGGGCGTCAAGTTCGGGGAGTACAGGTGCGACAAGGAGGAGGACCTCGCGATGATAGCGGCCCAGCAGTACTACATCGAGTACCACGTCGACATGAATGTCGACAGGCTCTTCGCCCTCCTCCCCAATTACATTCCCGATTACTGCCTGACTGGGGTGGACAAGGCCATCGAGAGGTGGGGGCACCTGGTACTCCAGGCCTTCAAGAAGAGCTACTACGTCAAGGAAAAGGTGCCGGCGCTGCGGGTCAAGGAGGACATCGTGGGGTACGCCAAGTTCAAGTGGCCCCTCCTGTTCTCCCGGTTCTACGAGGCCTACCGCAACTCCGGGCCGAACCTCCCGAAGAACGACGTCATCATCGCTGTCAACTGGACCGGGGTCTACGTCGTCGACGACCAGGAACAGGTCCTCCTGGAGCTGTCCTTCCCCGAGATCACGACAGTGTCTAGTCAAAAAACTAATAAGATGTTCACGCAAACGTTCAGTCTGTCGACGGTGCGGGGGGAAGAGTTCACCTTTCAGAGTCCCAATGCGGAGGACATCCGGGACCTCGTGGTCTACTTCCTGGAGGGCCTGAAGAAGCGCAGCAAGTACGTGATAGCTCTGCAGGACTATAAGCCCCCGGGGGAGGGCGCCTGCTCTTCTTTCCTCAATTTCTCCAAGGGGGACCTGATCGTTCTCGACGAGGAGAGCACTGGGGAGACTGTTTTGAACTCCGGGTGGTGCATCGGCACCTGCGAGAGGAGCGGGGACAAGGGGGACTTCCCCGCGGAGACTGTCTATGTCCTGCCTTCGTTGTCGAAACCTCCGAATGATATTCTCGCGCTGTTCAGCATCGAGGGTGGCGAAAATGGGAGGAGACTCTACCCCCAGCAGATGAATGGGGTCGAGTCCAGGGACAAACCCCACACTCTCCTGGAGTATGCGATCGATCATTTCAGGACTCCCCCCAAGAGGACCATGTCGAAGGCCCTCACTTTGACTGCCGCACGTCGGGGCCACGTCGACGAGCTCTGGAGACACTCCAGGGAACCCATCAAGCAACCTCTGCTCAGGAAACTCGTCTCCAAGGAGGAATTGGCCGAGGAGGCCTGCTTCGCCTTCAACGCCATCCTCAAGTACATGGGGGATCTCCCCACTAAGAGACCGAGGATTGGGAATGAGTACACTGACGTCATCTTCGATGGCCCTCTGAAGAACGAGATCCTGAGGGATGAGATCTACTGCCAGATCATGAAGCAGCTGACGGACAACAGGAACAGGCTGAGTGAGGAGAGGGGGTGGGAGCTCATGTGGCTAGCCACTGGGCTTTTTGTCTGCAGCCAGAGCTTGCTCAAGGAGCTGACGCTGTTCTTGAGGACCAGGAGGCATCCCATCAGCCAGGATTCACTGCAGAGACTGCAGAAGACCCTCAGGAATGGGCAGAGGAAGTATCCGCCGCATCAGGTCGAGGTCGAGGCCATTCAGCATAAGACTACGCAGATATTTCATAAGGTGAGGGATGGGTTTAATTAATAGACTTTTTACATGACACTCCGCGAAATCAAAAGATTAATTTTTGGGAATTTGAGATTAATTATTTGAGGAGTTGTAAATTTTAGATGTTGTGCCGAAATCAAATTAATTGAAGTGATGAGGACTCGAATTAATAAATATTCTACCATAAGAATTAATTCAATTAATTAGGGGACGGTGGGGCAAAATGAAACACGGGGCAAAATGAAACAGCAAGAAAATCTTGTGATCTAAGGGAGATAGAACGATTTTCATGGAAACCTTTTTTGTAGAGAATTTTACAAGCTACAAAAAAGGTCCTTTTCAAAAATGTCCTATCTCCTTTAGATGACGAGATTTACCCACTGTTTCATTTTGCCCCGTGTTTCATTTTGCCCCATGCTCCCCTGAGTAAATTAGAAAGAAATACGATGAAAAAAAATAAAATGAATTTATCACAGGTGTATTTTCCTGATGACACTGACGAGGCTTTCGAGGTGGACTCCTCGACAAAAGCCAAGGATTTCTGTCAGAATATCGCCCAGAGGTTGAACCTGAGGTCCGCAGAGGGGTTCAGTTTATTCGTAAAAATAGCTGACAAAGTTATATCGGTGCCGGAGGGCGACTTCTTCTTCGATTTCGTGAGGCATCTGACGGACTGGATCCGGAAGACCAGACCCTCGAAGGATGGGGTAGCCCCACAGTTCACGTATCAAGTGTTCTTCATGAAGAAACTTTGGACTAATACTGTGCCTGGGAAGGACCGCAATGCAGATCTGATTTTCCATTTTCATCAGGAGTTGCCGAAGTTGTTGAGAGGTGGGAAATTCATTTGATGTCATCCCTTTATTCCTCTATTACGTCATGACATCAGTATTTAATTGATGATGAACATTTGAAGAGAATAATTATTTTTATTCCTCAAGGATATCACAAGTGCACGAAGGAAGAGGCATCGAGACTGGCTGCCCTCGTCTACAGAGTGAGATTTGGAGAGAGTAAACAAGAGCTGCAAGCAATACCGTGAGTAATAAATCTAGATTTATAGGGACATCATCTCAGAGGATTGACCGATCCTATCTTTCCAGACAAATGTTGAGGGAACTCATACCCGGGGATCTGGTGAAGGTTCAGAGCGCTAACGACTGGAAACGTTCGATAATAGCAGCTTACAATCAAGATGCAGGTGAAGAGAATAATCAAAACACTTTACATAACATGAAGTTGTTCAAAAAATTGATGTGTTTTTTTAAAACGTCATGAAACGCATTTCCAAATGAAAATTCCTGGGAATTCCCCTTGTCAAGTCTCATGTAATAATTAATTAATTGACTTTCTGTCAGGAATGAGCCCCGAGGACGCCAAAATAACATTTCTGAAGATTGTTTATCGTTGGCCAACATTTGGGTCAGCATTCTTCGAAGTTAAACAAGGAACAGAGCCTAATTACCCAGAACTCTTGCTCATTGCTATCAATAAACACGGAGTGAGTTTAATTCATCCACAAACCAAGGTAAAATCCACAATTTCATAATGCATTGAGGGGAGGGGATGTAGCAAGCAAATTCGTAATGCAATCAATGTTTCCCTCGTCGTCCAGGACATCTTGGTGACCCATCCATTCACGAGAATCTCCAACTGGTCGTCCGGGAACACCTACTTCCACATGACAATCGGTAATCTAGTGAGGGGCTCAAAACTCCTCTGCGAAACCTCCCTGGGGTATAAAATGGATGATTTACTCACCTCTTACATATCATTAATGCTCACAAACATGAATAAACAGCGAACAATACGAATACCTAAACAATAATCATCTCCAGTACTTTTTCGTGAAACGAGGAGTGGAATAACGTCGCAGATTTTTTGGATATTTTTCTATTTTGATGAGTATAAAATTTTTATACCTAGAATTTGTACTATAGGGCTCAATAGGTGTTTTTAAATCGCAATGGTCCATTTGCAAATCGAAATTATATATATTTTTTGAATGTTCTGTTTTTCAATTTTGTGGCCGGTGGCTAAACGAGATTAATTAATTTCTCCTGGTGTTCAGTTCTTGTTAAATGAAGAGGGAAATTTAATTTTCAATAAATTTAATGGGAACTGAAAATGAAGGGAATTTGTCTCGTTCTCCCAGTTCGTCACTAAATTGTATGATTCGTGGGTGAATGAGTGTATATATTCTAATTGCATATTTTTAAAATATTCGTATTTATGCAGAGTAGGTATATTTGAGAATTATCGTGCTGAAATGATATTTTTATCCTCAGAATTGATTTTTCCTATAAATTTTTCTCAATTTGGTTTCGTCATTAGAGGCCAGAGTTCTCTTTTTTTTCTTGTCTCGTGTGAATTTCTGATGGCTTCACGTCTTTGGTCACAATGAGAATTATTTAATTGTGGGTAAATTCCCACACGTTTGGATTACCAACATTCCTGTGTTGGTAACAATAATACAACTTTGAGAAGGGATGTTACCGAGGTACAGCCCAACTGCGGATTTCGATTCTTATCTCGTTTCCTCTTTGAAAATGTGCTATGTATGCATGTGTATTATTAATTTTTTCCTCGTGTTTTTTTTTCTCACGAAGCACACGAGTGTGCTTTTCAATGGATGCCAATCCTTTTCGAAATTCTCAAACTATTTTTCATTAATTAATTGTAATGAGTTTATATCTAGTAATTAAATCGAGGTTGGAGAGGAGAAATTTATAAAAAATGAATAAATGATAATAAAAAAAATGAGCATTGTTACAAAAAGAAAATTGGATACTCGCTTTATTTCTCGATCGTCTGCTGTACTTATTCCATTACAAACTCAGTTGTTTTTACCTTTTCGTTACACTATGAGTGTTATAATTAGATTCTAGGGTCTTCTTAGGATTAAGGTAGTTTATAGGTTTGTTTTCGTGTGTGTACATATGTATAATATCCATATAGTACATATGGAGACATGCTGATGTATTTACAGTTAGGGGATTTTATCTCACATCGAATATTCAATTCAGCAGCAAAGTTTTTAAACTTGAATCCAAAAATTGAAAGTTTTCATTTACTAAATATGAGATTATCTCGAGAATGAGTGGCTCTAGGAGAAAATATCAAAGAACCTTTTTCGTAGAGGAAGGAATTTCCTACAAAAAATCTCTTGGGATTTTTTTTCGCACAGCCACTCATTGCCGAGATATTCCCATTTTTATCTTGACGATTCAGTGAATAATCAACTTCGCTTCTGAATTCTCTGAAAGACAGGCTTAATTTTAAATCATTTGAAGATTAATTTCATATTTACATCAATGATCATTAGGGTATCGTATAAAATCGAGTGAGACGTGTCTATTTGCACTCGTCGATCCACAATTGTCCGCTCACTCAGATAATCCTTTATTTACATTCACTGCATTTTATTATGAATAATTGAAAATCACTGGATGAGACAAAATGAGGAGTTGAAGCAGAGGTCAAATGAAACGTGATACCCAAGGGGATGATTCTAAATGAGCAAAAATATTAGACTGAAATAAATTCTACCCTTACAATTAATTATTATTTATATTCTTAATGGGGAACTGTTTTTGGAGCTCCTCTACACGCGAAGAATAATAGAAATATCTCTTTCTGGTATTAAAAAATCATAAATTATTACACACATCCTTTTCGTATTTAACATCTAGGGAGCAGTCCTTCATTAGTGGAGCACTATTATCTCGAGGGAGCGAAGGGGTGAAACATAATGAGACAATTCGTCTATTTCCAACGATAAAATTTTTTTTGAAGATTAGAAAAAATTTTGGTGTGACAGTTCTGACGAAATGTCAACGAAAAAATCCCTGGTGAATTACATTACATTTCTGCCCCTCAAGACCCCTCACCGCGATCGTTCGCGCACCCCCCCGGAATATCAAAGCCCAGGTTGCGTAGGTGGATGATGAGAATTCCAGGGAACATCAGCGATAGCAGGTGGCATACTCGCCTGATTGTGGCCAATAGCCCTGGGAGCCCTCATGATCTCGTCAGCAGGTGGACAGTGAGGCCTGGGCCCGGGCTCCGGAGTGTACGTAAAAGTGAGTCCAGTGGCATAAATGATGCCATCATTCCTGACCAGTGAGACGGGCACCTGCGTGGGCTGCCTGACCCAGAGCCACTCCCCCCTGAACAGCGATATGTCCGGGACGACACAGAGCATGATCTCCTGGCACCTGTACATGGTCTCGGCCTCGACGTCGCCGAACCACACCTGGAGATTGGGCGTGAAGTTGTCGCCCTTGAGCTCGAGCATGGCGACGTCCCCACCTCCATTGAGGTGCAGACTGTGGACGAGAGGGACCGGAGTCACTGGGGACCTGACGGGGCCCATTCCCTCGAAGAACTGGTACTCCGCCTTGTCGGTGCTGATGATGGTCCAGCAGGCGCCATCATTGATCATCTCCTTGTTGGCCTCCTTGGGGCAGGGCGTCGCCTGGAACTGAATGATCCTCTCCTGGCTGAGGCAGAGGTACATGTGGTCAGTGTCCTTCATGTAGAAGGCGCACTTGTGCAGCTGCGAGACCGGATCGTCGGCCTCCAGGCTCGCCATCTGCTTGTCCACCTTCCTGATGACGAGTCTGGGCAGGGCCATCCCCGTCACCGAGCACACCAGCTTGACGGTGCTGCCGTAGTGCACGTATCCATCGCGAACCTGGAACTCCTCGGACTCGGATTCGTTGTCGTCCAGCAGGTGAATTGTGAAGGCCCCCCACTGGGTCGAGCTGGCGTGGAAGTTGCCGTTCTCCACGTGGAGGTACCTCGTGCTGACTGTCTGCGATCTTAACCTGTTGAATAACGCGACTTTTGTTCCACTCGCTATGCAGAGGTCTGCGTTCTTCAGGGACTGCTTCTTCTTCGAGGGCTTCGATATCACTTTTATCCTCTTGCTGTGGAAGACTCCGATGTCGTGGCCACTTCCGTAGAACATTTTCACCGAGAGCATGAAGTGCTTTCGCTTGTCGGAGTCCGAGATGTAGAGGGTCTTGGCTGCGCAGTACTGCTTGCCGTTGTTGAGGTCCAGCTGCTGCATGTCCTGCTCGGAGTTCCCGATTCCTATGAAGGCGCAGAGCTGCGCCGACTGCTCGCTCTCCCCCTCCCTCATCATCTGCTCCTGGCGCATCCGCCAGCCGTCGCCGAAGAGGTAGATGCAGGGGGGCGGGCAGAAGAACCTCTTCTCGTTGCCGTAGGACTTCTGCGCGACTTTGGCGTGCAGGATCACTATCACCATGTCACTGCGGTCGCGCAGGTAGCGCTCCATCGCCTCGCGCGTCAGCTTCTGGTCCTGGTGGTGCTCCGGGCGGTAGACGTTGGTCCCGAAACGGGGGTAGGACATTACCGCGGTCGGGGACGGGGGGGACTGCATGCCGTGCGCCATCGCTGGCAGACCGAACTGGTGGGGCATTATTGGAGGGAGGTGATGGGGTAATCGTGATCCTCGGGCGGGCTTTGGGAGGCGAGCGTCATTGCAGGGAGCGCGATGACTCGGTGGAGATCATCTGGAAGCATTAGGGTTCTATTAGAGTGACGGGCCAAGTTTTTTTTGCCATTGTCCGGGGCAGAATTCAGTAGTGAAGCGGTTAACCGAGTCAAGTCGATTTTTACTATTAGCCAGTCTTTGCTGAATATCTCGGAATCTAAGAGAGATAGCAACATTTTTCTCATGACTTTTTTTATAACGCTCTATTGGCTCTACAAAAAAGGTCGTGACAAAAATCTTTCTATCTCTTTTAGATTCCGAGATATTCGTCAAAAACTAGCCAATAGGAAAAAACGACTTGACCCGGTTTACCGCTTCGCTACTGAATTATACTCGGAGATTTAATAATGCTCAAATACTTTCAAGGTATCCGAGCATTCTTTACATTTTCAATCGTCAAATTTGTCAACTGAATTGCGTGAGAGGAATTTGAAGAAATCGTTAATATTGAAATTGTTTAAACTTTTGGCAACTTATTTTTTTTAGACGTGAAATCGACTTTTGGTAATATTACGAATTTGAATAAATTTGTTATGAACAAATGATTTTTATGGGGGAAAAACGATTGTTTATAAATTATTTTCAGAAAATGCTCGTAATTTTAAGAAATTGCACTTTTTACATTACTTTATCAATCTTCCTCTAAAAGTAAACTTTCTATTCTATTTTTTCCAATAAAATAACGGTTCAATATTGAGATTAAAATTCAGCCCTGCAATATTTAAATAGTAAAATCATTTTAAAATGTCCGGAAATGTTCAATATATTTTCACGACAACACGAAAATTAAATTCTTTCCAGTATTTTTTGACAAAAATTATGAAAACAGGAATTAAACGGCTTGAATAATTATTAAAACAACTGCATGCAGCTCTGTTTTTTCTTTTGTCCAGCCTCATAATACGTGAGAAATCCCCTGTTTTGTTCTCCTTGTTAATAATTAATGCAGGAAAGAAATCCTGGTGTTCCAAATGAACCTGGGAATTACCTAGGTTTTTAGCGAGACAGGAAAGAGGAAATGCGTACGATACGTGGGAACATCGTCGAGGCCGCTGTATTTTTTTACGATCATTATTGTCGTGATTTTTTTCCCCCAGATCTTGATGAGTTCGAAGTGATCTTCAGAACTACTGCTCTGTGGAAATTGTGAATTCAATGGAATTGGGAGAACGAGTTATCATTGAATTGAATGAAAATATAACGAGGAAATTAAAAACTGTGACCTCGGGGAGTTAGTGACAATTACAGTGACGCGTTCTGTCACTTCCGAATGCAAAAACAGAATAGATGAGCTAGTCCATGTGCGCATTTTCATGTGCATAAATTAATTGGGAAGTCTCGAGTGTTTTTTATTTGCTCGTGGGGCATTATTCTTTGACACAATTTTGCCCCCAGCGTTATGTTACGAAATGTTTGTGTATTTATTTATTTATTTGTTTGTTTATTTGTTGGATTGAATATGACGAAAGATTGAGGGGATAATTCGTAAATTGTTTGGGGATTTTTCTTTAAAAGTTTCATTGTTGGAGTTAATCTATAAAATTCTGGGTTTTAGGGGCGGAAATGATGATTTTGTGATGATGTGGAGGTTAAATTAAGTGAGGATAGTGACATATTCGTTCGTAATCGAAAGCATTAGGAATTAGAATTTTTTTGCAACTGAATTTTGCCATTTTTCTCTCGTTTTTTGAGATCAAAATATAGATTTGGGGATGTGGACGATGATTTTGCTGCTGAGTACCTCAAAATAATGAATATCATGAGAGGAATACTTCAACAATGAACCTATCATCATCTACATCAACAGAATTTAATTATTTGAAGCAAAACGAAGAATAAATCGTCAATTACTCGTGAGTTTGTCTTTAAAAAATTCAGATATCGGAGTTTAATTTATGAAATTCTGGGTTCTAGGGAAGGAAACGATGATCTTGAGATCAAGTAGAGGTTATATCACCTGGGGCAAGTGACATAATTCCACCAAAACCTCTCCTTCCCCCAGACTAAACCCCCAATTCCAGAAATTGTGCTCATCCACTCGATTAAAAATTTTTCCCAGTCGACTTTCGCTATTTTCATTTCACTCTCAGGCTTGAAAAACAATTCGCGAGGGCAATAACGAGGATACGACTGATGAATTCGTGTTTAAATCCCTCAAGATCATGAATACCAAACGCGAAAAAACGAATTGTGCACGAATAACAGCGCAAAAGGCAATAAAAAATTGAAGAACTCGAGAAAAATTGGGTTCTTACCCTGTTATTGTTGTTCACTGCGTCCAGGATTCTCCAGCTAACCCAAGCATGATAGAACAGCCTCCAGGATATCCCTCCACAGCCACGAAAAACCCTCGAATATTCCACTTCAACGAATAATCTCCTATTTCTCACTCATCAAAATATTCCGAAGGAAAAATCACTTATTCAATTTGACACACACGCTACCGAATTAATCCCCCGCTTGTGTTGTATATTCTCTCCTTCTCGGATCCATTCAAAAAACACCTGTTCACTTTCCAAATTTTCCGACAGTCCTGCCAACAGTTCAACCCCCTGAATTACGCGGGCAAATTCGAATCGCAGGGGACGCGGCTCAGGTCCGTGGGTGGGCACGCGGAAATTAATTATTAATTAATTAGCCGATTTATTGGGAGATGGGGTGACATCTCAGTGAGGGGGACAGCCGTGACGTGAGGAGGTGTGAGCCGATCGGAGGGTCGTCCTCGTGCTCCGACACTCCCGGTGCAACTAAAACAAAACGTGGGACAGTGGGGAGTTATTACCGTCGCTCAAAGTCCCTTGAAGTTTCTATTGTTTTACCGTTGTAAAGAGTGACGGTGTGGTATCGACCCCAGCGCCTCCGCGGGATTCAGGGGGTGGGGGGTTCCACCACTGGTTTTTGATTTCACACGTGCCGGATTTTTTTAATTGCTTCGATTATTGATTACAAATCGGTTATTGGGGAGGGGGAGCTCGTGTGGTGAGGCGATTGTTAAAAACGGAAATATCTCGGGAAGGAGAGTTTTTAGGGGAAAATGGTAGGGGACATTTTTTGTGGGGAATTTTGTCAGCTACAAAAAAGGTCCTTTCATGTTTTCTCCTAGAAGCAATGGTTTTGGGTGGAAATGCTGAATTAGCAAGAATGTCAAAACCGCATTATCATGAATTGTCACAATTTGGAAATGAGTGATTATCTCGATAACGAGTGGTCCTAGAAGAAAACAACATTAGACTTTTCTGTAGAAAATTTCGTGGGCTACAAGAAACATTCTATAACATTTTCTCCTAAATCCACTTGTTTCTGAGATAAATCAAGAATTCGTAAACATGTCCGTCTAAACGACCGCAAGATTTCATCTTTTCACATCTCGCGACACCTCTAATTATCTCAGCTCCCATTATCCCTACAAGAAAACTTCATAGGACTTTTTCATCGGAAATTTTCTCCCCTACAAAAAAGGTCCTATAACATTTCCCCCTAAACCCACTAGTTTCCGAGAAAAACGTAAAAAACAGCATAACAAACATGAAAAAAAACTCATCATCCTTTCAAACGATCCTAATTAATTTCATAATCGCGTCTCCAATCAGAATCGACCGATCAAATTATCACGATCGAATAATTCAATATTCCATTGCTCTACGAGACTGTAGATGTAGCTCACCATCTCTTTAAACTTGCTACGTTTACGAGACATACACATAGAAATGGATTGCCTCCGCTCTCTTTATTCTTTATTCCCCGCCCGGCGTGGAATTGCTGCCGCAAAAGGATGTTGGGGTTACCCTGGAGGGCGTGGGAAAAACCTGCTGTGGGAAAGAGTGGGTGGCCTCTACCTCCACACACATACCACCACTCGAGTGTATCATTCACACACGCACACCAGTGCCCAGAGACTTCTATGAATCAATTTCTTTTTTTTTATGTACGATATGAAAAAACTAGATCTAAAAATATGATGCGATCGCTCCAGAGATGCCGCTGGAGAATTTTTTACTGTTACTGTGAGAAAAATAGGATGAGAAAAATATATTTAATGAATAACAAATTATTTTGTTTATAATACAACAAATTATTATTTTTAAAAAACTTGGTTTTATTCATTTTTAAAAAATTTCAAGTTTCATGAATTCTTTAGAAGATGAAATAGTATTTTTTTGTTAATCCTTTAAAAAAAGCGGTTTATATAATTTATTATTTATTATTTTGACTTTCTGTTGGTAATAATTGAATTATTCATGTAATTTTCTTAAATTTATTGCCGCAGAAAAAAATACAAGAGATAAAAAAGGTAATTTTGATGATTAGGGTAGTGTGAGAACCGTGGGAAAGACAAATTCGAGACAAGTGGATTATAAAGACTTTCGCCTTGATTTCCAGGCCGAGAGGGGGGCGAGGGGCCTCATCATTTCCCGTAGGCACTGATTTCAGTTTTTCGAAATTCCTGCGGTGAAATTGGACGGGACAAATTAACTCCGAATGTCTAATTTAATTAATTGGTGGAGATTGATGACAACTCCAATTGACGGATGAAATTATTACAATTGGGTCATTTTTATTGTTTCTACAATTGACGTATTTCCGCGGATGTTGGAAAATAGGTTGACATGAGTCATCAACAATATTATTATTATAAAGTGATGGCTTTAATTGGGGCCAATCGGGTTTTTTGTGTCCATTTTTTCATCGACATCAGGGGGTATTATCCGAGTTCTTTGAGATATTTCAACATAACTTTTTTTCCATTTGACAGAAACCATGTGACCGTTATTTTATGCGTTACTAATATTTTTTTCTCTCTACTAATTCCATTGGTAATAAACTTCCGAATGGATCCGTAACAATTTCGATTAAAAAAATGGAAATTCACAATTCCTATTCAACTTTCTCATTTTATCTGGCTTATATTATCTTCAACATATTTCGTTATTGAAAAAATTAATGAAAATAGGGATCAATGGACGTGATCGATATGAAAATATTACATTATATTCTTTCTCAATCGTTCCCTAAAATAAAAACTCTCAAACGACGAAATAAAAATTGTGAGACAACTGTACAGATGATTTATATTATTATTATTAATTAATATTGCGTAGAATTTGTTAAATTGAATGAATTGAAGAATTGAAAAATTCTCTACCCGTTAAAAAAAGAATTTCAGAAACAATTAAATTCAAAATGCTCTCCTCTAATTTACCTATTCATTATTTTTTCGCAATAAAATAAAATAAATGAGTCTTAAAAACCCGTCTAATTACCCCACATGCTCCAGTAATTTCAAATTTCCCGCTGCGTTGGCGTCAAAATGGCGCATTTAAATTGTACATTTTGTGCTGACTATAGTCCGCATTCTCTCATTAACGATCAGCTGACGAACGCTCGCCGGTTGTTGACAATAATTAAAGCATGAATAATCGTTCGCGCAATTTTACGCCCGAAAATAAAAAAAGAATTGGTGAACAATGGGAGTAACAGGTTTGTGGAGGTTGATCGATGCTTCGGGGAAGCCCGTGCCCCTGGAGTCACTCGAGGGGAAGGTTCTAGCCATCGGTATGACCTCTGCCTGTTGAATAACAGCTCATTAATTAACAAAAATGCCTTTTCTTCATTTCGAAAATGGGAAAATGCTGAATAATCTTGATTTTCACAGACGTTTCCATCTGGATCCATCAGGTTCTCCAAGGATACCAAGATAAAAGGGGAAATTCCCTCCCGAATGCTCATCTTCTGGGTCTCTACAACCGAATCTGCAAACTACTGTACTTCAAAATAAAACCAGTATTCGTATTCGATGGCGGAGTTCCATTGCTCAAGAAAAATACTATTGTAAGAGCTTCTTATCTCAAATAAGAGCCCTTTCCCAAATATTAATAATAATGCTTCCCATGACCGTATAAATATTTTACCGATACTGTTCCTTCCCATTTTTACTTTCCGAGTTTCAACCATCGTTCTCTCCGAGGTGTTCCCTCGTGGTCACCACTCCACTTAGTGATTGCGCTCAGCGCTGCTTAACTTCCCAAAGCTAAACCTGCTCACCTACGCAGTGCACTAGCCCCTCAGGGCAGCCTCTCATAACGAATAAATCTTTATTAAAAAGATTAGGGCGAAAGAAATCACTAGCGAAGCGGTAAACCGGGTTAAGTCGATTTTGACTATTGCCCAGTTTTTGACGAATATCTCGGAATCTAAAAGAGATAGAATAATTTCTGTTATAACCTTTTTTATAACCCTCAATTGACCCTGAAAAAAAGGTCATGAGAAAAATTTTGCTATCTCTTTTAGATTCTGAGATATTAATCAAAAACGGACCATAAGTCAAAATCGACTTGACCCGTTTTACCGCTTCGCTACTGAAATGATCAAGTAAATGCTAGAAGTGACGGACACGTTCGAGAGACGAGATAAAAGCATAACGAGCCATCACTACACTGAGAAAAAAAATTATTTTTGCCAAATATTCAAAATCGTATTTTTCCTATTGAGTCATGCTCAGGTTGCTCGAGGGGATGACTCCAATGATTATTCGTTTTTCCAAAATCTCTTATTTTCTAGAGGGAAGAATTTCGATTAGTATTTTAATGTCGATAATTATTGAGGGAGTGCACTCAAGGTGATAACTAACATGCTCATCTTCTGGAGCAATATAATTGTCATAATTGACACCCACTGAGGATTGCCTGGGAATGACGACTATAAATCCTTTCAGTCTTCATCCCGCCCCAGCTGAAAAAACAGTTCTATTCGTATTCGTTCGAACTGAAGTCCTCATTCTAAAAATTTAACTCCTTGAGGAAATTTCTGAAAATGTAGACATATCCACGGGCATTCCAAGCTGTTCGTAACGTTTCCGTATCGAAATTTCTTCCAGGCAGCTAGAAAAAAGCAGAAGGCCCTCGCCTCCTGCAAAGCCGAGAGGATGAAGAGCGACCTTCTGCTGAACCTCATGAAGCACAGCCTCGTGAAGAACGTCCTCACCAAGAAAGCCCCTGGAGAACTGGAGGGGTCGACCTCGAAGCCCCTGAAAACCGTCAACGACATGTTCAAGCTCCCGATGATGCCTCCCCAGGCCCTCGAGTCCAGTTCGGACGACACAGACTCGGACTCAGACGACGTGAGCCCCCGAAAGCAATCGAAATGGCGTGGGAACATCCACACAGTCGACATAACATCAGACGACTTCAAAAACCTTCCCCCGGACGTTCGCTACGACATCCTGACGGACCTGAAGGAGACGAGGAAGCAGAACTCGTGGGCTCGCTTGCACGAGATCCCAGAGGAGTCCAATCAGTTCTCGAATTACCAGATGACGAGGCTCCTGAAGAGGAGGCAGGCGCAGGAGTTATTGGAGGCCACTGAGCAGGAGATGGGGGGGAAGAACCTGACCCTCGAGGAGCTGGAGACACTCATGTCCGAGCAGGGGGTGGACACCACGTCCAGGGACCTGGCGTACAGGATAGCCTCCGACGCCGTCACCAGGGTGATCTACATCAACGATCCCAAGCGTCTGACCACCAGGAGAGACGACCCTGGAACTTCCTCTGATCTCAGCCAGCCCAGTTGCTCCAGAGAGCTGGACCAGGATGAGGGACTGACTGTCATTCCTGAAGAACCCTCTTCGGTGGTCGACGACATGGGAGAGTATGACCTCGACTGGGACTCCGATGTCGAGGTGATCAGCTCCCCAGTGCCGAAGAGGTTCTTCGGGAAAGTTGAGAAGAATCCAGCCCTCAATTACATGGAGAACAACGAGCTGTCCCAGGAGCAGCTCCTAGCCCTGATCGAGGAGAGCAAGTTGAGTGTGAAGAGGGCGAAGGCCGAGGAGAGGACGAAGAGAAAATTTCCTGGGGAGGGAGGGCTTTGGAGGAAGAGGAGGAGGAGCTTTGATATAGAGGACATCATCGGGGTTAAGGAGGAAGTGGAGGAGGTCACCGATGGGGGGGATTATGGTGGTGATTTTTCCGAGGAGAAGGCACTGATTGGGGTGGGAGGGCTGAGGGGGTTGAGTGAAGACTCGGAGTCTGATGATTCCGGTGATTTCGTTGAGGTTCAGGACGTGGAGACTCCGGAGTTCAAGCCTGAGAAGAAGATGGAGATTGTTATTAAGGTGGGGGAGGGGGTGGGAGATGATCTGTTTGCTGATGTGTTTGAGGGGAGGGAGGTTCCCTCGGGACTGGGGAATGGTAGCAGTGGAAATGAGGAGAAGATTGAAAAGATTCAGGGACCGCAGGATTTATCGAGAATTTCTAATCGGAAATCGAATATTGAAAACGAGGAAGTCAAAGTCTGTGATGAAAAGGAAGAAATTGAGGTGGTGAATTCCGAAGGAGAGAGGACAGGGAAAATCGGTGGTGATGACCTGAAAAAATTAACCACCTTCAATGTTCCTAAAAAAATTGTTGGAGAGGATAAAAAAAATGCAGAAGAACGAGGAGAAATTGCTTCTCAACAGACTGCTGACGATGAAACGTCTGAGGAGAGTCCTGAAGACTTTGAGAGGCAAATCAGACCCTCAGATTCATCAGGCAGTCAAGAAAATCTTCAGGAAACCGATGTTACCACCACCTCAACCACGAAAAATGACCAGAATTTTGCTGAGCCATCTGGACCTCCTCCAAAAGTAATAGAGCTTCCTGAAGATCATCCGAGAAGGCCTTCTGACAGGATAACATCCGTGCTAACTCGTCTGGCCTCTGAGAAACCCGAACTCCTCTCGAAGGTCTCCAACGACCGAGAACTCGAGGACCTCAGGTCGCACCTGGAGACCGAGACTGAGGAGTTGAAGCAGAGCATTGGAAAACTGGATCGACAATCCGTGGAAGTGACCGAGCAAATGCGATTAGACGCTCAGGATCTCCTCCGCCTCTTCGGGATCCCCTACGTTGTGGCCCCGCAGGAAGCCGAGGCCCAGTGCGCCTACCTCGAGAGCATCAACTTGACTGACGGCAGCATCACTGACGACTCGGATATCTGGCTCTTCGGGGCGAAATGCGTCTACAGGAACTTCTTCAACAACGCCAAGAAGGTGATGCAGTACTCGTCGAAGGACATCGAACATCATTTCAAGTTGACGAGAGAGCAGATGATCCAGCTGGCGCTGCTGGTGGGGAGCGATTACACCGTCGGAATTCCGGGGATCGGTCCAGTGACTGCCATGGAGATTCTCGCCAGTTTCCCGGCTGAAGGGGATGACCTGCTGAGGGGGCTGACGACCTTTTCGTACTGGATGAGAGGTGAGACGCAATTTTTTTGAAGGATTTCATGTCTCAATTTATTTTTTTATTTGTTTGTTTATTCTTTGGTGATTGCAAATTGTAAGTTTTTATTTTTTTCACACCGTCACGAGCCTCTCCCTCTCCACTTTAATTGCAGAACATGAGTGTTTTTAATTCTTTTTTCAATTCTAAATTATCTGTCTGTATATTATTTTTATTTATTTATTATTTATTTATATTATTTATCTGTTATACATAGTCTCGTCAATTCCTCTCTTCAACAGCTTTTTAAAGCCAAAAATGGGCTCTGAGGATTTGAAATATTTATTTATAATTTACTTTTCGGCATTAAGCAACAACTGTTCGGCAGTTATTTGGTCCGGTGAACTAGGTAGCGACGGAGTCTTAATTGTTTTTTCAGAATTTTTTATTAATAAGATGAAAATTAGTGTCTCAATTGTGAGATTAATTCATCGATTTATTAGTCAGCGACTCTTAATTCCCTTTTCTTCAAATTCTCAGGGGTTTGTAATTAATTTTATTTAATTACATTTTTTAATTGATCGATTTTTTAAATCCTATTTTTAAAAATACGCATTAATAATTTTCTTTGAATGCGACTGGACACGGCCTCTTCTTCTAATATATAATTCATTCAATTTCTCATCTTTCGAATTATGAAAACATCAACCCTTCCAGGTGGGAGAATCGTGGGACCTGGGAGGGGCGTCCTAAGGAACAAATTGAAGAACATAAATGTGGACAGGGGATTCCCAAGTCAGGCGGTGGTCCAGGCGTATCTGTTCCCAACCGTTGACGAGAGTAAAGAGAATTTCTCCTGGGGAAAACCGAATCTCGTTCTGCTGGCGGATTACACGAGGGCAAAATTCGGCTGGACCAGAGCCAAATTCGATGAGATCATGACGCCTGTGATGAAGAGGCTGGAGGCCAAGTCCCAGAAGGATCTGCTGGCGTACTTCAAGGTCAACAGTGTCCCCAAGGCGATTGAGCAGGGGCTGAGCAAGAGGTTGCAGAAGGCTGTGGAGAGGATGGGGAAAGGCCCTGGTGAGGATGACGAGGGGGAGGAAGTTGTGAAGGCTCCCAGGAGGAAGAGGAGACCTCCACCGAAGGATAAAGGGGATGAACAGCTTGATGAGGGCTCCATCGAGGCTGACGCTAATAATGAAGAGAAGAAAGTCGTGAAACCTAAGAAGGAAGTCATTCCCCAGAGGGAGAGAGACAAACAAAACGCCTTGGACAAGAAACTGAAAGCCATCGAGGTCTTCAGGAAGTCCAGGAAAGGACCGGGGAAGTCGAGGAATAAAAACGCTCGTCCGAAACGGAATGCGGTTCAGAGGGAGGCGAAGCTTTCGGAGAGCAGCAGCGATGGGGAGTGAATTCACGAGATCTCCTCTGAGATTTTTTTAGTTATCTCTGAAACGAGGGGTCCTAGGAGAAAATGTCAGAGAAACTTTTTGTAGCTGATGAAATTTCCAACAAAAATGTTTTCTGGCGTTTTTCTCTAAAATCATTCGTTATTTAGATAATTTCACATTTAACAAAACGTAAAAAATTGTGAATTCACGAGATCTCTGAGATTTTTTTAATTATCTCTGAAACTAGGGGTCCTAGGAGAAAATGTCAGAGGAACTTTTTGTAGGTGATGAAATTTCCAACAAAAATGTCTTGTGGCATTTTTCTCTAAAATCATTCGTTATTTAGATAATTTCACATTCAACAAAACGTAAAAAATTGCTGTCTCCAGTGATGAACCACTTCTTCAGTATTTCCTTCTGCTTGTGATAATTAAAATGTACAAATTAACGAAATGTGTGAGCCATGAACATAAATAAAAATATTCTCTATATTTACATAATACATGAATTTACATGAATTGACAGGGATGAATTAATTACAAATTGATATCTACAATTCTAATAGCCAGCAACACCTCCTTGCCGACGATAATCCGAGTTTGCGGTGATTCCCTCGTGATTGAGTCTAGATATCGCGCAGATTGCGCTTCCGATTCCATTGAAGTAAGTGGTATTGTGGCCGATCTCTATCATGTGCTTGAGGAGAGGCTGGGAGAAGCCCTTCTCCACCTCGATTCTCATCGGGAGCACCTGGTGGTGGAGGCGCCTGGCGTCCACAGCTTCTTTTATGTTGTAGCCAGTCCAGAGGTTCAGGACCATCGACAGGGCCACAGCACTCGGGATTTTCGAACCTCCAGCTGCTCCAACCACCATTTGCACTTCGTTTTTGGAGTTTATCTGGTGAGAAAATTTAATCAATTTCATTATTTTTGTTTTGGGGAATTAAATTGTTCAATTTCTTGCCAAATTTCTTTAGCTCTTTTCAATTGTTACGTTAATTCACAGAATAATTAAAAAATACGAAATAAATCATGAATTTTTTTGCAATTGCAAAAAAATTTTTTTATATCAAATAACAGTTGATTGGAATTAATGAAGATGTATAGTCGGAAATTAATCAGCTTGTTTCCTCAATCAAATCTCATTTGTGTCTCGGAATAAATTCCCCCAATTATCCCCTCAATTTATCCCCGCTTATCAAAAAAATGAGGAAATTTTTCGTTAAATTTACAACGAACAGAGCTTTTTATAGAAAAATCGCTGAATCAAGGTCTAAATAATAATAATCACTGACGAGGGGAGATTAACAATGGGGAATTAACATTGAAAATTTTCCGCATGACACGAAAAAAAGAATAGTCTAAAAAAATAGTTACAGCATAGTTAACTAGTTATAGCGTTCATAAATCAATCGAGCGATTAATTCTCCATAACTCAACCCCTTCACGACACTTATCTCCTCGGTATCGAGCGGAAAAAAAATGTACTTCGAGGCGAAGATCGAATGTCAGTATTATCCATTGAGAATAATTTATCTCGACGTTTCGAGGTACTAATTCTGGACGGAGGAGTGCGTTTCGGAGTATAAAAAGCTCTTTTGTTGGGTAATTGGTTTATCTCGGTGATACTCACCACAATCGTCGGTACCATTGAACTCATGGGTCTTTTACCAGGCTTGATAAAGTTCCTTGGCGATGGAGGGAGATCAAAGCCATTTGTTATGCCGGGAGAACTGAAGTCGTCCATTTCGTCGTTGAAGATTATTCCGGTTGATTGTGATCGCCTCATTGCACCAAATCTAATTAATGATTCAATTTGAATTTAAAAAAATAATTTATCCTGTGATAATGCGCAGTTTTATGATAAAAATTGAAGGAAATTGAATTCTCAATAAAAAATAATGTCAACTAGATGATTATTCAATAAATTAAACACAAATCTGTGGATTTTCACTAAATTTGAATTTTCCAACAACTGCAGCATTTTCATTTCATTTAATTAACATAAAAAATGACTAAATAATGATGAAGGAGAATAATAATCAGTAATAATTCACTTGAATCATCAATTGCAGTTGTTATCAATCAGAAAAATTATTTTTCCCCTCACATTTGATTTATAGTTGACGTTACAGATACGGCAGAGCCGTCAGGAGCCAGAACAGACACGTGAGAGGTTCCTGAATCATTAGGAACAGCCACATCCACTCCGTAGTACTTCGGGTGAGTGCTTGTCCAATCGTCCTTAATCTTGCTTCTGATCTCCTCTACGTAGCTCTGAGACGACAAATTCGCGATTATATCACCTAAAGAACATTTAAAATAAATAAAAGAAGAAGAAATCAGTAGCGAAGTGATAAACCGGTTCAAGTCGACTTATCTTCCAGTTGAGTTTTTGAGGAATATTTCCGAATCTAAGGGAGATAGCGAGATTTTCGTTATTACCTTTTTTGTAGCTCTCAATCCGCTCTACAAAAAAGATTATAACAAAACTTTTGCTATCTCCCTTAGATTCCGAGATATTCATTGAAAACTGGTCTGAGAAATGATTATTCTTCTTGAACAGTGAGAGCAGATGAGTATCAAGCCATTTTTTTTCATTTCTGCACACCTAGATCCTCGAATTTATCATCCCCCAGCTGCGTTCGCCTCGCGTACCCCCACTTGAAGGCTTCGATCATTCGCTGCCAGAAATCTCCCTCATTCGATGTTGGAACGAGTCCTTGCAAGACATTTAGAATGAATGTGAGGATTAGTCCTGAGCCTGGGGGTGGGGCTGAGAGGACTGTGAACTCCCCGAGAGTTGCTTTAGCCGGAGTGTTCCACCTCGGTCTATAACATTCCATAATTAACTCCCTAATCAATACTTCCTTAATCAGCAATTGATTGATCCATTCATAATCGCTTCATAATTATCAATCAATTGATTAATTCTTCATCAGTGTTTGATAAATTAATCAATCAATAGTTTATTCATAATCAATTGATTAATAAAGATGACGAAAGAATTGAGCAATCAATTGACTAATCAATTAATTAATTACCTGTAATTTCTCAAGTCATCCATCTCCATAATCCCCCCAAATCCCTTAATTTCCTTGATTATCTGTTCACCCATCGTGCCATTGTAAAGAATACTTGGGCCATGTTCGCCTATCAACTTCAACGTTGTATTCAATTTCGGCCGGAAGAGTCTGTCACCGACCTGCAAAAATCGATTGATCGTTTCGCGTGAATATTTTACTGAGCAATTTATTCATTCGGGAAAATTACCGTCCACGTCCTCCCTGTTTTGGGATTGATGAGGATCTCCGCGAGACTCGGCTGCTCCTTGATCAAGTGCTCCTTATTTCTGAAATTGTGGGCAACGTATTCGTTGATTACAACTCCTTCTTTGCACAGAGCTATCGTCGGCTCGAACAAGTCCTTCCAGGGGAGTTTCCCGTATTTCTGGTGGGCCGCCCAGTATCCGGCGATTTCGCCGGGCACAGCGATAGCTAATCCACCTAAATATACAATCTCGCGATGACCAATTCAATTCTACTTAATTAACTCAATACCGAAGGGTTAAAACGAAGTTAATTTAGCTATCACCTGAGTTTTTTAGGGATATCTCCGAATCTAAGGGAGATAGCGAGATTTTCGTAATTACCTTTTTTGTAGCTCTCAACTCGCTCTACAAAAAAGGTCATAACGGAAATTGCGGTATCTGCCTTAGATTCCGAGATATTCGCTGAAAACGGACCGCTAGTCAAAATCCACTTCAGCTCAACTCTCTCATCTCAATTTTAATTTAATTCATTAATTTTCTTCATTTTGTCGTTATTTTACACATCATTTACCAGTAAACAATCACGTCACATGACTTTACATCCTCAAATCATAAAATTCGGAGAATTTAATTTACAAACCGAACAATGAAAGTGACGCGTTCCCCTTGAACATTTCTTCGTGCGCTTTACCAGGTGCCGTTTCCCTCGCATCGAGGAACACGGATTCGTTCTTCTCCGCGTCCCAAATCGTCATCAGAAATCCTCCACCGATCCCCATACTAAAATTAAAACGACGATATTCCAGTAATTGAAATGATCGTTGCGTCATTACGAGTTGCAAATGCAATTGAATGCCTGCGGGTACGATGACACGTCATGTGTGTGGGATTGTACCTGTGAGAAGACGATACGCCCTCGCACAGAAGTGCTGCTATCGCCGCGTCCACCGCTGAACCGTTTCTCCGGAGCATTTCAGCCCCTATGTCCGAACACTCCAGTCCATTCGTTGCTACAGCAGCCTTAAATTTTTTTTTATTATTAAAAACACTTCGTAGTGAAGATGATAAAAATATCCTAAGGGTTTTCGAAGAATGAACGACTATTTTCTTCTCTTCTATTTTTTTTCTTATTATTCTACTGTTTGTAGAATAATAAGAAAAAACCTGAGGATTGCTAAGACGTATTCAACGGAAATAAATTCCTCATTGCCTTGACTTTTTCAATAATTACCTTTTAATAAGTACTTTTTATTAAAAGTAATTGCTACCTTTTAATAATTACCTTTTGAAATTCTCCTAAGATTGATTGACTAACGAATTTGCTCTCCCACTCGCGCGTTTTCTCTCCCGAGCTATTCGCATTTCTCGTGAGAATAACAATAGCGACGATGACACCAACGGCCACGCAGAGCCCCACTATCATCCCAATGACAGTTCCTTTTTTGAAGCTGAAAGAAATCATGAATTTCATCGGAGGAACAATTTTACTCAGGATTGTGACACTATTTCGAGGCTCGTCGAGCGTGACCCGATGCCTTGATACGAATGCTCAATGAATCGTGTCCTTCCATTGCTGTCACGAAATCGTTATACGTTTGTTGATTAATTGTGTGTCTCATGGATACGCTATTATTATCGCTCTCGATTATTTCGAGGGAATTAGAAGATTGGAACAGCTGAGTTCCCCAGTAATTTTACGGTGCGTTTCGAGGCTCTTTATTCATCAGTGGTAATGGGAATTCATTCGGATGCTCTTACGCAGATCTACACATTCGTCAACCCTCTGGCCTTGAGTGGGATGTGGGGAACAATCGAGCTCATGGCAAAGTGAAAGAGTAATTCATACAGTTGTTCTTATGACGGGAAAACCGAGCACCGGAGTTTCTACAATTGTGAGAAAAATTGGAACACAAACATTTGGCAAAAAATTATTTTCCTTGCCATTATCTTTCTATAAATTAATAATTACAATGGTCTACACTTGGATAATTCCCGAAGCGCTCAAGGCCGGATAAAACGCGAGGGACGCTATAAAAGAAATAGGAAAACCGTGTGAAGATGATAAAAATAAACTATAAAACGAGACATAAACATCCTGATTCTTCACGCGGCTTTGGTGATTGAAAATTGTAAAATAGAAAAACGTAACTAAATAATCTATTCTCGTGCGCGGGAAAAGAGCGCAAAGTGGCGGCCAGAGAAAAATTCCAGCGGAAATTTTATTAGAATAAATGATAAATAATTTTTAATCCCTGAAGATTATGCTTTAACAGCTCTAGAATTTTTATAAAGAATTTCCCCGTGCAGTGGATCAATAAGTCAAGGTCACGCAATTATTTAAAAGACACGAAATGTCAAATGAGAAAACGATCGATGAATGGAAAATTCAAAAAATGCCTTAGAAATCGGCAAAAACTGAACAAAAAGTGTCTTATCACTTGTACTCGCGGTAATTACTAGTTGTCGGAGTAGCCACCCTTTACGCAACCCTGGCTAATTCGCGGTTTCGCTGAAGAATTTGCGATACGTTGGCGCCGGTTGAGCCTCGGGGAAAAAGGAAAAGTGAAATGGAAAATCGAGGAAATTGTGTTCCAGCAAGAATGATTCGCAGGAATTCACTTCAATCAATTAGCGCATCTGGCACGATGACTGACCGATTTGTCATTAATTGGTACTATCCAGGCCGTCAATTAGTGCGCGCAATGAAGATATTACCGGGGGACGGGGTTATTGGAGTGCGCGAGTGAAGAGGGCAAAAGAATTAGCGCAATTGCACTTGTTTTATGGGAATTTTTGCTCGCATTACTGAGTGAATTGTTAAGTAATAGGTCTCTGGGTACTTGGGCATCGCCATTGGGTAATAGTTTAGTACGTGAGGAAAGGATTTAGGTGACGATATCCTCGGGACCATATAATCGAGTAATCTTCGCACGCACTTCGGCTCCTTTTTCATCGTTGAGCCATTCTCGGAATTTTTCTGTTTTTTAATATTTCAATAAGTGATAGCTGTTTGATGCGCAAACAGGAGGTCCCGAAATGGGGTATTCAGGTGTTCAGTAACTGGAACACTGAGATAACACAAACGCCCCGAACAACAGTTATTCCACTGAAGGTTTTCGGCTCTTCGCAGACGTGATGAGTTCCTGCCAAGTAAAATGGCCCATTTGTGTACGCTGTTGGAAGAAAATTGAAATTTCAGGACATTGAATGCGATTCTAGGGGAAAAAATCGCGAAAATTCAGTGGAATTTCAGATTTTTTAACAGCATTGAGATGAAAATTGCTCAACCTCTTTGAATTTCCAATGAAATGATGAATATTCAGTGTCAAATTATGATGAATATGATGTCTACTAATTTTCAGGGAATGATTGACCTGAAATTCACAGTTCTCATTGATTTTCCATGAAATTCTGAATTTTCAATGACGAAATACATTGAAACTTCAGCCAAAATTTTTTAACAGCGTCATTAAAAAATTAAAAGGAAGAATTTAATCTTCTGAAAATGCAGTCCGTGTTAATGTCCCGCCGGATTTAACGAGGCTTTAATTTAATGAGAATTTAATGAACGAATGAACGAATGAAAAAAAAATACTAGAGTCTGTTGTGTACATAGGTAGTAAGTTAACACATGCACGAAATTGATGTTATGTCGGTGTTCGGAAGCATTACCTTCACGGTATCTTAATAATTATTACGACTAGAATCGTAAATCATTTGCCTTCATTATGCGGGAAAAAAGTTATACCGCAATTATCTTGCGAATAGTTATAGTCCAGACGGCGTTAGCGGGGTCAAACATTATTTGAATAGATGATTCAGACGAATAATATCCCAAGAAAATAATAGAGAAGAATACCTTGAAATATTTTCATTTCGTGGCGAAATAAAAATCATCTAATTATGATTGATTCTTATTTAATCATCTAATTAAATAAGAATCAATCATAATCAACAACCATTGACGACAGAAAATCAACAACTGTACACGAAATAATTTGAGAATTAATGTCTCCGGAATAAACATTTATTTTATCATTCTCCTGTCGTAAAAGGAATTCACATTCTCTTTCCTCATAAAACAAACGCTATCACGTGGCAATTAAAAATATCTCCTCAGCTAAATACTTCAAATTTTGAGAGCATTTGTTTCAACAGACTCGTGTACAGAGAAAACCGATAAATCTTAATCCCGCCGGTTGATGATTGAAGTTATCTCCATTCGAAATCTTCAATTCAGTAAAAGTAACACAACGTACACTTGATAAACCCCTGTATCAGGGTAATTATCCCATTGATGTGTGACAATAGTACTTTTCAGATCAGTTGTCTGGATGAAAATAATGATGATAAGATAAAAAATAAGTACGCTCCTTGATTGCAATCATCAGAAGTGAGTTTTGTGCGCTCTAATTGATCTAGATCGCGTCCATTCATCATTCGCGATTGATTCGGAGATAAAGACGTTTTATAAATTCACTTCCTAGACATTTCTTAAGAATATCGCGAGATCTGATGACGATATCGAAAATTTTATGAGGATCTCTGTCAAGCTTCGGTCTGTCTCCACAAAAAACCGCATTCTTAGCCAAAATTTCGGTCTCTCCTCTACATCCTGAGACATTTCATTGAAATAATCTGTTGTCACCCCAAAATGCAGGAAATAATTTTTTTTAATCCGACGGAAACTTGAAATTTTTCGCTCTTAAATTCCAAAGCCAATCACCAAAACCCCCTCGACCTTTTGAATCTGAGGGTCTGTAATTGCGTGCGTGCCGAAATTTCCACTGTATTCACTCCACCCATTAAATACTATTACAACAGGAAAAAAGCAACAGCAAAAATGTTCGAAAAAAAATAATTACCCGAACATGTTGATCACAAGTGCAACGACAACCACGAGTGCGAGTAGGTAACCGTTCCTTCCGAACGGACCTATTGGTCACAACTAAACGTTTTACCGGTGGCAAACGTGACTCTTATATATGGCTACACCATACACGTTTGATCCAAATGTTCAACTTCCCCCACCTCAGTTCCACGTCAAAGTATCTGATCAGTCATAAACGACTCCTCGAGTATGCAGACACTCCAGCCACTCATCGTATGGAGTTGCACCGAGTGCTCATTACGCCTTTTCATTCTGATTAATGCGTGTCGAGTTGCCTCTAATTTCCTCGCACTGATGATAAACAAATGCCAGGATTACATCGAATTATCACAGCTGTTCGAGTGATATTCTCGGCTCTGCAAGTCAGCAGGCGTCAATGGAATCATTCATGGAATTATCAATTGATGATGAAATCACGATCTGCGTACTCCCTCCTGAGTGTAATTGAAATTCGTGCGTCGGCGGTGGGTGGGGGGACGGCGAATCACGAGCCGCAGCTGTGCCCCCACCACTCGATATTGTTAACCGCGCGGAGAATTGGGGATGTGCCAACGGCCGCAGGAGAGGCGCCGCAGGTGCCCTTTGTCGCGAGTCGATTTTAAAAATACGTTTCAGCGGAGAAATCTAGTTTTTAATTTCACGAAAAGATACCTCAGGTTGCTTTCCTCATTTACTGGGCATGGGGGGAATTAATTATGCGAAATTTAATGATCAATTGACATCTGTGTATTGGGCCCCGGGGGCCACGGCCCTGTGCGCACGAGCCCGCGGCCGCGTGGTGACCGCAGCGGGTAGGAAACTCCGCAATCGTCGGGAGAGGGACTCGTTATTGTGGAATTATGAGATCACGGCGGACGCTGCGAGAGCCGCGAATTAAATTATCATCGATCAATGGTCATGGATCGTAGGCTGTGTCTGGGAATCCCGCTGTGCTTGTGTTGGTGGGATTTTCGCGGAGGATTTTCCAAGCCCGTTACGGTTTTCTGGAGAAACGCTTCGGCTGTTAGAATTACATTTTTTAGATGCGGCGAGGCGCAGGGGACGGGAGTTCCCCGGCGTCAGTTTTCTATAGATTTTTTTTTTAATAAAAAATAAAATATATTTTTTCTTCTGTGGTATTTTTTTTTGTTGAGAACTGATGAATTGAAAATTAAAAAATTTTTCACGGAGGTATACCGTAAGAATGTTCATAATCAGGAACGTTTTTGCGATATTCTTGCGTTCTTATGATTTCCTGTATGAGTTCATTTTTGCCGTGCAGGAATAGATTTCAATGTCAACTATTATCACTCCATTTGAAACTAAATGAATCACGTGGAAAAATATAGAAATATTCTTTTCACAAATTGGAGAATAATAAATAGGACATGGTATTACCCAATCATCAGTTACAAAGGCAAGTGTCACGCTGACGATGCGGAATGTCCGAACATCAGCGCGCAACGTGGTTGAGCAAATCCGGCGTGACGTATGTCTCATTAGGACGGGTCCCCATAAATCGTCCACGAAAATTCAAAGGTAATTTCCTGTGGACGAGAATTTCTCCCTAATTTTGTTAACGATGACGTTCGGAGGATGTCGACACCCCCCGGATGCTCTCCATTCATTCGAAAATTAATATTGTGATTAATTTTAGCCTCGAACGGAAAATGAAGGATAAAATTAATGATTATCGAGATCATTTCTCAACCGCAGGCTTCGACAATGATTTATAAATATGCCCCATTCCATCTGATTCATCCTCTTAATTCCATTATATTTTACCAATTTTTTTATGAATTTAATATAAAAACGGTTGAAATTTTTTTTTTAAGTGAAATTTTTATGAAAAAATTTTTTACTTGAAATTTATATTTAAATCTAAATAATTATTTAATAAAAACAATTATTTAAATAATTTATATTTAAATTTTGGAATAATCTGCGACATTCCAAAACACTTTGGATTTTTAAAAAAATATTAATAATACATTGAATTGTCAATAAAATGATAAATTTTTTTATGGTGTTATGAACATCGAAAAAAATATTAAAAACATTTCCTTTTTGCCCCATTCAGAGAATTATAATCGTCAGGTAAGAAATGAAATATTTATAATTATCATTGAATTCTGTATAAACATGCTTTCACAAGTGTCACAAGGCAGTGCGCAGGCGCAAGGCATGTTTTCGTCCTTCCATTGGCGGGAAATCAGTCGCTCATAACCAAGAAATAGAAACAAAACTCAGGGCGTCACCAGTGCCCTCAGTCTTCACCATTCCTATTTAATTGTTTATTCTTGATGAATTACCACAAGTGAATAAAATGCAGGCATTTCTGAAGACTGGTAAGGTCGGGTCGACTGCTGCGACCAAGCCCTCGACGTCCAAGGGCTCCAGAGAGCCGAAGAGTGCAGCTGCACCCCCTTGGGTCGAGAAATAGTGAGTGCAGGTTCAATTGCAGAATGAAATTAAACTCCAATTCCCTAATTCTGAATTTCTCCCAAGTGAACTGATTTCGTTGTTGAAATTCCCCGTTCAATTGCTTCACGATGATTGAAATGAGGTGTTTTCAGTCGACCTAGGACAGTTGAGGACGTCGTGGAGCAGGGGGAAGTGGTGGAGGTCCTTCGTCAATGCATGACTGGTGGGGATTTTCCGAATTTACTGTTCTATGGACCCCCAGGAACAGGTAAGACCAGCACGATTCTTGCTGCTGCGAGACAACTCTTCGGGAATATGTACAGGGAGAGAATCCTCGAGCTCAATGCCTCTGATGAACGGGGGATCCAGGTGGTCAGGGACAAGGTCAAAAACTTTGCGCAATTAACTGCTGGAAATACCAGACCTGAGTGAGTTCTATTTCACGTCAACGTGTTCGTTAAATAATTATTCTTTAAACTAGAAGGCAATTTCAAGGTTTTTAACGTTCCAACTGATGATTAGTTTATTGTCGGTTATCAAATGATTATTTCAAGTCAATGATAATGATTTTAAAAAAAGGGAATGGCTAATTTTAGTTATTTAAATAGTTTAAATAATTATTTAAGAATATTTTGTTATGGTTCATGATTACTTTGGGGAGATACTAAAATTGTTTAGTAGTCTGCAAGTATTTTTGGATAATAATAATTGAAGGAAATGCCAATGATGATGTAGTAAAAGGTTTGAGGTCCATCCAGAAACGACGCAGGGAATTCTACTATGATTCAGTCTCGTTGTTCTCAGGGGTATAATCGAAGATTATTTTAATACCCTTATTGCCAACTAGATACCAATATCTGCTCCAATCGAAGTGTCGAAGTCTGAAGGGTTGACTTGCGACAGAGATGAGCATACAATTTTTCTTCTTCATTCTTCTCCTTCTTCTGATGATCTAGTTGAATTCCGGTGGAGTTTTTGGTGGATCGAGTGATACCAAATCAATTCTGAGGCTCTTCAATACTTCTTTAGATATTGAGGAACTCCACTATTTGAAAAAAATTATCCTAATAATTTGTTTGGGGAATTCAATTCGATTTATCGAATTTTATTTGTTGAATATTTTTATTGTACAGTGGGAAACCATGTCCCCCCTTCAAAATAGTAATTTTGGACGAGGCTGACAGCATGACCCACGCAGCTCAATCAGCCCTTCGTCGAACGATGGAGAAAGAGTCCCACAGCACTCGTTTCTGTCTCATCTGCAACTACGTCTCGAGGATCATCGAGCCCCTGACGTCGCGTTGCACTAAATTCAGGTTCAAGCCCCTCGGGCAGGAGAAAATAATCGAACGACTCGAGTACATTTGCAAGAACGAGGAGATCACAGCTGACAAATACGTTCTCACGAAATTGGTCGATGCTTCTGGGGGCGATCTTCGAAGGGCCATCACTTGTCTCCAGTCTGTCACGAGGCTGAAGGGCAAGGGAATCGAAATCACTGTGGACGATGTACTCGAAGTTACTGGGGTGAGAGAGAAATAATCTCAATCTCAATCTATTCTCAGAGAACAGCGAATTACGAAGATTTAAAAATATTTTCGCTGCCTCCATTCTTTTACTCCATTTTTAGTGAATTCTTTTGATGACAGGTAATTCCAGACAAGTGGCTGTCCCAATTGCTGGAAGTGTGCGAGGGCAACGACTTCAAGAAAGTCGAACAATTCGTCGATGAGTTCCTGCTGGAAGCCTACTCCACGTCACAGCTGATCGAGCAGCTCAGTGAGAGAATCATATTCTCGGATTCATTCAGTGATAATCAGAAAGCCTTCATCGGAGAGAAGCTCGGGGTATTGATACCAATCTTCAAACGTGAATTCATTTCATTTCTCAAATCGTTCACTTTAGCCATTCCTCAACACTTTAACATTTTTCTCTCGAAAACGACGTGTCAGAGAGATTTTCCAATAACATGATGTCAGTCTAATTAATATTGGATTATTATTCATTATTGTCATCATCCGGAAGTCATAACAATGAATAATTAATGATTATTAATCAATTCTTGCAGGAATGCGCCTACAGATTGTTAGACGGCAGCAGTGAATACATTCAGCTGATTCACCTCTGCTGCATCATCATGCAGGCAAATCGAAGAGGTTAAATCAATTCTCCCATAATCAATTTAAAGAGAATAATCACATTACAACCCATTTCTTTCATGTTAAAATAAAGGTAAATAAATGAGAAAAATATTTTTTACAAAATTTAGACTTCCGACTCATGATTTTTATTGATACAATAGCCCATTGAGTTTACAACGTTTGTACAATTCACTTATTCCCCCATTCTTCATCATCAATTAAAATATTCAGGAAACAAGACGAAAAGGGTCTGAATAATGATAAATGAAAAAAAAATCTCAATTACTCGTCATCGATTATAAATATATAAATATACAGCTAAAATAATGTTCGTAGTGAGTGAATTTATCAATACGGTGGGGGTTGATTGTGGTAGGGATGCTGGGGTGGTTGTGTCAGGTGCCTCTGGAGGTGTGCAACCAGTTGTGGAGTTGGTGGTTGGCCATTGTTACCAGACTGTTGCTGCTGCTGTTGTTGGGCTTGGGCCTGTTGGGCCTGCTGCTGTTGCATCGCCAGCATCTGCTGTCGCATCCTTTGATTCATTGCCTGCTTGTAATGATAATAAAAATAATTTTCATTAATTAGCCGCGACGACGAGTGACAAAACCCTAAAGATTGTGAGTTTATCTCTTAAACTAGTGATTTAAAACGAAAGTGTTCAGCCATTTAAAATATTTAAAGCAGCCATTTAAAGCAGCTGCAAATATCCTTAAAATGCCAAAAGAAGAAAAAACCTGTTGTTTGTCCCCTCCTCCCCCTGAAGTAATGAACCTCACCTGCTGGAACTGCTGCTGATTCGGCTGCATGGCGACACCCCCTCCGCTGACGCCCACCCCTGCAGGTTTACCCCCAGCTTGTCTGTAGGGTGGGGCCGGTTGACTCTGCACGCCCCCCCCCATGGGCCCCATCGCATTCATCGTGACATTAGGCGCCTGCAAATACGGCGGTCTTGGTCCAGCATTGGGCTGCATCCTCTGCTGCTGCATGTACTCCTGCTGCCCCCTCTGCCCCCCCATCAGCTGCTGATTCTGAAACATCATATTCTGCTGCTGGTTCATCATCCCCTGCTGCTGCTGTTGCTGCTGCTGCTGCTGCGCCTGCATCATCTGCTGCTGCTGTGCACTCTGGTGCGGCTGCCCCTGGTGCCCCGGGTTCTGATGCTGCGCCTGTCCCTGCTGCGCCCCCTGGCCAATCATCTGCTGTCCCCCGTACCCCGTGTAATTCTGGTTCATCCCGGGCTGCATGTTCCCGTACATATTCTGCTGCTGCTGCTGCTGAGGAGCGAACATCCCCTGCTGGTTGATTCCAGGCGCCCCGTGGGCAGCCCTCAGCTGCTGCCTGATGAACTGCTGCTGCCTCTGCATCCCCTGGAACCCAGGGCCCCCAACGGGCGCGTTCGGCTGCTGCTGCCCCCCGATGAATTGATTCGGCAAGCGATGCCTCAGCATGTTGGATAACGCCTGCTTCGACTGGTTGTTCATCCCCGGCCGGTCGTACCTCGGCCCGGCCACTGGGGTCTGGGCCATTTGTTGGCCATAACTGTACTGCTGAGGGGGCGCTGGCCCCTGCTGGTTAGGGTACCACTGCTGCTGCGGCTGGGGCGCCTGCGTGAACATTCCAGGCTGCACCTGGTTGGCGGCCTGAGGCTGCGGCTGGGGCTGCGCCTGCTGATTGTACGGCATCTGCTGCATCGGCGGCGCCTGCGGCATCTGCTGGGGCACCGGCGCCGTCGGTGTCGCTGCTTTACTCCTTCTGTGCCTCCTCGGGGCCTTCATCGCTTTCCCCTTCCCGGCCCCTGCGTTCACCCCAATGGGACCTAGTCTACTCGGAGAGTCGACGCTCATGGGGGTGTCCGCCTTCCCGGGCTCATTCTCCTTTTTGTCGGGCTCCAGGTCCTCTGGGGGCAGCGGCGGGGGGTCCAGGTAGTGGTTGGCCGATCTGATTTGGCTGTGGGTGTGGTAACGCAGGAGTTTGTGGGCGCTCTGGTACGTCAGGGGCTTGCGCTCGATCCTCACTGCCCGGAACCACGTCCAGGAGAGCGGCGCCGGGTTCTTGTGGCCCTCCAGCAACTCCCACGCGGAAATTCTCTGGTGGTCGCACACCTGGAGCCCCTGCTTCTTGTCGATGCTGTCGAAGCCCGCGATTTTGTTGCCTTTGGTGTCGGTTAGGGAGCCCACCGGCTCGCAGGTGATCACCTCCATCGTGAGTTTTGGCAGTGGCAGGAGCTGGCGGACGTACTGAATGCTCTGGGAATTCCTGTCCCCCAGCTCCTTCTTCAGTTTCTTCATGAGGTTCTGGTAGTGCTTCTTGTTCTCGTCCTTCTCGGATTGGGAGTCCGAGACCAATGTGGAATGGATCAGCGTCGCCAGCATGTCGATTACTGTTGTGAAGAGCTCGGAGTTGTTGTTCAGGTCGATCACACCGTAGCTGACTAATTGGACGAGGAGGATCGCCCAGTCGATGGTGACTGTGGTGTTGCGCTGGATCGTGTCGAAGACACCTCCGACGAGGCTGAAGCGCAGCTGCAGGGCGTCCTGCAGGACCTCGCGACTCTTCGGGTCCTCGGAGGACACGTTCTTCTCGTCTTTTGTGGTGTTCAGGAACTGGGACAGCTGGGAGTGGAGGGACGTCAGGAGACCCTCCCGCTGGTCGTCCTGGCCCTTGAGGCACGTCAGAACCAGCGAGAGGAAGGGCTGGTGGTTGAACAGCGAAGGGGACTTTGAACGACGCTCACGACCTGCTTTCGTCCAGTTGCCGGATTCCAGGGAATTACCCGCCACCTGGAATTTTTAGGATTTCCACCGTCACTGATTGCACCACTGGGCTGCGGTCAGTGAGTCCTCGTCCGAATTTTAAAGGAAAATTTGGCAAGACTGTCAGCACATTTTTTTATTGATCGCCAGTTTTTTAATTTATGAATGGACAGGGTGTCTGCAGTTCCTCAGAAATTGTGAAATTTATGTTTTTGAGAAGAAAGGTTTTAGGTATCGGGACTGACCCTTCAGACCTCTCAAACAACTAATAAAAACATGTAAAACTATAAAATGACCAAAAGTCAAATCCTATAATTTCAATTAAAAAATATAATTCTTTGAGAAGAAAAATTATGGCTGTTTAAACTACACGTAATGATGCTGAAATACCACAAACCTTCAAGACTCTCCCCTGCACAGCGCTCGGTAATTTCGAAACCAAGGGTGCGACCAGCCAAATGGAGCCAGACCTCTTGTCCCCTTTACTGCTCGTCGGGTTGTTCAGTTGAAAGACATCGATGGCAGCTTTGGCAACGGTGTCCAGCCACTGGGACAGATCGCTGGACCCTGGTGAGAACTGTTTATACATCAGCTGGAGATCCAGCCACGACATCCTCAGGCTCCACTGCTCCAGGTTCTCCAGGATATTCGTGATATGCGTTCTCTGATCGTGAAAGGCATCCGGCGAGGTGTCGGGATAACAAATCATGTGCAGAAGCCGTTGGGCCTGTTTCGCCGACAGCATGTTATCCAGCAGCATCTCCACGTGGAACAGCTCTTCAGGATTGTGCAGGCACTTCTCGAGGACCCACTCCTGACTGCAGATCTGGCGCAGCACGTGCTGAGCGAATTCGCTCAGTCCCTTGACATTCTCGGTGATGCCAGCACTGCTGCTGGAGGAGGACATGGCGAGGTCCAGCCCGAGGTCATCCCCGCCCCCGAGGATGTCGCTGGTCCCCAGGATGTGACTGATGGACAGCTCCCCAGCTCCTCCCCCCACACTGGCAGGGCCCGTTCCCTTCCCCGAGTGCGTCAGAGGCACGTCCGGCTTCTTCGGTGGTTGTTTGACAGCCGTGGCATCCCCCACCACAAGAATGGCCTTCAACACCGCCAGGACCGGCCCCACCCTGATGTTATTATGCGTCGCAGCCAGCAGATGCCTGTCGCAACTCAACTTTATGCTGTAACCCCGGGGATTCCCACTGGGGAGGGGATGGGGGCTCGTGCTGACCGAGTACAACGAGGGCTGGGGGCACTCCACAGTCTTGAAGAGCCTCAGCACCAGGTGACACGTCAGCCTCCCCCTGGACTCCGACTCCGTGTCGGCGTCCCCTCTCCCGTCGTTGCAGGCCCTCACCAACGAGGGCAGCGCAATGTGAAGGACAAAGTCCTCGAGGCTGAAGCAGTGCCTCGCGATGAGAATCGAGATGAACACAGCCAGTGAATTATGAATGCTCAGGTCCTGCACGTCCACCTGGTTGAGCACGTCGATGTAAAAGGGGAAGCTGTTGGCGGAGCAGCAGAGGGCCTTGAACACCCCCAGCCACTCGGCGCTCAGGGCGTTGCAGCAGGCAGTCAGCTCTGCGCAGGTGATGGCAATCTCGTTCAACTTGTCGTTGTCAGTTTCGCTGCAGACGGCGACAATTGCGTTGCAGACGAAGCTGTACCTGTTGGCGGGGGTTTCGTTGAGGGATCTCGCCCACTGGGGCTCGATCTTGCCGCCCCTTCGAGGGCTGTTGAAGACGTCCACCATGAACTGGGAGTTGTAGGCGTGATTAGAGGAGGTCAACTGCACCGCGCTGTACAGGGCAGCCCTGATCTTCGGGTAGGCGTTGCTGAAGGCCTCCACCCCGTGGGGTTTGGTCTTCAGCAATGAGCACGAGGAGTAGAGGTCGTACAGCTGAGAGAGGATGCACCTCTCCGCCGAGCTGCAGTCGCTCGGGTTCGACACGTGCTTCACGACTTTACACAGGAGATCGAAGACCGCTGTCGTCTGCTCGGGGGACAGCAGGAGGCAGCAGTGGTACCTCCTCAAGACTCCGACTACGTAGAGGCTGAGACTGGTGGTGTAGCTCCTCACGAGTTGACTGTTCTTCAGGGCCAACTGGGACTCGACTTCCGGCAACTCCTTCAGGATCTGGATGCAGACGTCTATGAGCCCGTAGATGTTCAGGGCGAGCTCCATCAGGTCGAAGAGGAACGCCACGTGCTCCTGCACCGGCAGGTAAGACGATCCCGACAGAGCGAAGACGTTCAGCATCTCGATCACCTGCGTCGCGCACTGCCAGGTCACCACGTGCTGGTCGAAGTAGCTCAGGTTCTGGAATTTCTGGGTGATCGCCTCGAAGTTGAATTCGTTCCTGGAGTGCTTCTTCACTTTTCCACCCTCGGCCACGTCGATACTGAATTTCTTGCCGAAGAGCTTGCAGACCTCCTTCGTCATCTTCTTGACCCCGTGGCGGGCCTCGTCCCTGACCCGCCCCACCCCGTAGAGGAGGACGTGCCGCTGGTTGCAGTCGTGCTGACTGCAGGACTCGTCCTGAGGCAGTGGGAAGTGCGTCGTGTAGAGGAGGTGGCGGCTGGGGCTCGTGGGGGGTTTAGTCTCCAGTCCTTCAGCCGAGTGTCCACCGAGGTCGTCCTTAGGGCTGTCCGGAGCGTCCATACTGTTCTGCTGGTCTTCCTTGATGTGTTGCAACAGTTTGTCGAGGTCGTCGTCGATTTTCGAGTCGTCCAGGTCCATCCTCCCGTGATCGGAGACCTCCAACTTGGTCGGCTTCAGGTCGATCCCAGGGAAGAGGCTGTCCTCGTCCATGGGATCTCGATTGCTAGGAGTTCCAGGCTTGCTAGCCGTTGGCCCCTGTATCAGATCCCCTCTGGATATCAGCGTGCACATGTAGGCGTCGTGCGAGAATATGTCGTGCCTGATCAGCTCCGAGAACAGGTGCACCAGGTTGGTGAATTGTGCTTTAGTCTGGGGGGTCGAGTTGTCCTGAATGGGGGCGTCGGTGTCCAGGAACTTCATCAGGAGCGGCTGGAATATGGGAAGCGTCGGGGGACTTCCATTGCTGCAGACACTGTCTTTGTCGTTATCGTCGTTATTCTCACCAGTGACTTCGGCCTGCCTCTTCTCCAGCAGCTTGGCCACCGCCATTGCTCTGTGCTCACCCCAGCGCTCAGCGGACACCGCCCACTCACACAATATATTAACAACAGCGGAGTCCTGCTGGGGGGTGTACTCAGTCTTAGTTTGTTCCCTCTCGCTATTAGTCTCTTTCGGGGGTGGGGTGAATATCTTGGAGTAGAGGGTGTCCAGGGAGTTTGTCGCGTCCATTCTGTCGAAGCTGTGGCGGTCGAGGGCGTCGAGGGCTGCTAGAACGCGGGTCGTCGTCATTCCAGCTGAACTCTGCTGCCACTTGTCGCAGGACCACCTGCCCTCGGCTGCCTGCGAACGCAGTCTGATGTTCTCCTGGGCGATCTTCAACTGCTGCATCGTCGGGTTCGAGGCTGTCGAGGGGGGACAGGGGAGGCTCGCTGGGGGGCAGGGGAGGTAGTCCAGGGGGGAACCGTTGAGGACCGATGGGGCTTTGCCCTCGCCGACGCTGTTCCAGACGAGGGCCGTTGGACACTCCAGGATTATCACCTGGATTATGGCTGACAGGGAGTAGATCACTCCCCTGTGATGTGGACACGACAAGTAATCGTTGAAGGCCGTCGTCAGGGGGTTGGCCATCGCCTGGGGGATCACTGCGTCCTTCCCATTCTCTGGCTTCATCGGGGGGATCGTGGGACTCTGCGGGGACGTGGTCATGTCGATGTTGCTGAGCATGTGGGCCAGCTTCCTGCAGCAGACGTACGCCAGGCGACGGGCCAGCAGCTCCGACTGCACGAACTCCTCGACGTACTGCAGCGCCAGAGGCAGCAGCAGCTTCAGGATACCGTCCTCCGAGGGGGCAGAGCGCATCTTGTCCAGGAGCTCGAGGATCCATTGGAGGAGCTCCTGGCGGTCCAGCAGACCCTCCTCGAACATGTACTTCGCCAGTTGGACGCAGTAGTGCCACTGCTTCAGCGCTTGCCGGTGCTCGTCGTTCATCGAGGGCGTCGGCGTCGACTGCTGACTCGAGTTCGGGGTCGAGGGGTTCATCGAGGGCGTGCCGTTGCCTGTTGTACTGCCGTTCGGGGTGCTCGTGGGGTTGGGGTTCGAGGAGGAGGCTGATGGGTTCGAAGTGCTCGTAGGGGTTGTACTGCTGCTCGACGAACTGCAGGAGCCGTTTATCGTCGGGGGCGTCGTCGAAGGGTGGTGCAGGGGGTTCCCAGAGTGGTAGTATTCCGATATCTTCGAGAGCTGGTCTTTCAGGAATTTTATTAGGGTCCCTGTCCACTCTGAAAGGGGGGAGTGAGAAGGTGAATGAGCTCACTGGGGGATTTCTTCAGGGGATGACAAATCATCGTTTGATGAAGTCTTGTGAATGCTGGAATTTCCAAGTTGTTTGGAAAACATGGAATTTCTAATAATTAAATCAGTAGCGAAGCGGTAAACCGGGTCAAGTCGATTTTGACTTTTGGCCATTTTTTGACTAATATCTCGGAATCTAAGGGAGATGGCAAAATTTTGCTCATTACCTTTTTTATAACCCTCAATTGACTCTACAAAAAAGGTCATGACAAAAAATTTTCTATCTCTTTTAGATTCTCAGATATTCGTCAAAAACTGGCCAATAGTCAAAATCGCTTCGCTACTGAAATGGGAAAATTCAGTTTCTCACCTCTTGTTAATTAAATTACAAAAAAACAACTTGGATGAATGAACGCAATAAATTGAGAATTATATGTGTGTCCACTCATTCATCAGTAATAAAGAATAAAAATAATGTTAAATTCTCTCAAATTAAACTCAATAGATAAAAATTTCTTTCCAGAGCCTGAAGAAGCTAAAATATTTAGCGAATCGTCGCATCTATGACAGATTAACGAACGTCGTTATATTATTTCCCCAAATTTTCCCCTGATCTCTAATTAAAAATTTATGAACATGGAGATGAAAAACGAAATTAATCCTCTCACACTTACCTGTCGTGGGATCGGGCAATTGCCTCTTCTTCAGCTTGGACTCCGAGACAGCCACAGTATACGCAGAGCTCAATTTAATGAACCACGCGGCCCTGAGCATGGGCACCTGGTACTCGCACAAGGTCATGAAGATCTCCTCCTTCTTATTGAAATTGGGGGCCTTCTTGGCGAGTGTCATGAGGGGTTTGCACCCCGACAAGTCCTTGAACCAGGTTTCAATCTGGTTCTTCGTCCTGGCAGTGACTGGCCAGAAGTTGTCCTTGGTGTTCATCTGCTGTCGTTTTCTCCCAGTGTCAGGCATCGTCGCCAGCTCCTCCTTCTTCGCAAGAATAGCATTGAAGTAAGCGCCGACTTTGGCAGCAGTGACATTGCAGTGTCTCGCCGTTCCAAATTCATCGGACAACGAAGTGGTCGTGGCAAATCCGTGCTTGACGTTCGTCAGAGTCAACTCGTCCTCCTTCTGCTTGGGCTCCTGGGGATAAACATCTGGCGGGCCCAGTCTGGGCCTCTTCAGGGGCCTTTTCTCATACAATATCCCCATCATTGTACCACCAATTCACTGACACTCGACACTATCACGAATGCAAAATCATCTAGCTCCCGTCGACAACAATTTGATGATTACTTTATTTATTTCTTTTTCGTGTTGACGTCTGGGTGAAATCGTACATAACCTTCCCGCGGAAGGCCTCAACTCTGAATCCCTCGGCGCGATCAAACGATAACGTCGATGTTTCTTACTGCTCCCTGATCATTATCTATTAATTACATGATTTATTCAACTCGTCTAGGCCCGGAGGGAGGGTCAAAGGGAGCGATCGAGGAATTGCACTGAAATCACCATCGACGCCATTGCCGAGGGATTCAGTGGGTTCACTCGTGCCACTCGTGCGTCATTTCTATTGGTCGACTTACCGACCGTTGATGTGCCGTTATGTTGTGCCTGCTCATGCCCGGAAAACAGTTTGCTGGAGGGTTTGTATTGTTTTTTGGGGAGTGATGAATATTCTCGTGATTACGTGAAGTCATTTCTGGGCCATGGCCTTGAGGACTCTTCTGTGGCTCAGGGAGAGCCCTGGCAGGTGGTATGTACACGAGTTTTCGGGAATTTTGGGGCGAGGGAGGTTATGCCGCATTGCATCACTTTCTCCAGGGGTTTCAGGTGATTATTTTCAATGGGTTTGTTCCAGTTTGTTCAGGGGACAGGGGCATAGGGTCCTGGAGGTGCACAGCAGCTCCAGGTGGGCCAGGGGGTTCAAGAGGCTCAGGACTAGTGAACGGTCAGCCCTTTCGGATCCCATCGGAGGGACTCAACTGACGGCTCGGGGACAGCTGTGGAAACCACTGGGATTTACTATTCTCGTAGGTTTATTTGCCCGGCGTGGGAGGGGGGAGGGGTGAGGGGGAGATGTTGGTGATTAAGAATGATCCCCTCTAATTAACAAAAAGAAGAATTTTGCTGTTCATCCCCAATATTCAGTTGGGATCAAGGGAAAATTGGAGAATTAATATAACAACGTTCGTTAATTCGTCGTAGATGCAACCCTTCGCTGAATATTTTAGCTTCCTCAGACTCTGGAAAGAGAATATAAAAACAGATGCAACGTCTGTCTGTCAATTATTGCCTTTTTTAATTATTGATTAATATCTCCCCTCAAATCTACTCAGATGTGGAAATGAAATGAAATCAAATGGAATTGAGTAAAACTACTGCATTAATATTCCAGTTTGGAGGTGCAGTGCACATTGGAGCAGCAATTTGGGAGTACGAGAGAGTCAAGCGTCGCATACTCAGATTGAAACAACGAATTACGGAATTTAGATTTAATGTACGTTTTCAATTATTTCAGAGATGAATTCACCAGACTTTTCAATTTATTTCAATGTTTCAAACGTTAATTACATTATCCATTTGAACTGAAGTGCATAATTGATGAATGAGATACTTAAATCTCCAGAAGACTGGTACGAGAGGAAGATTGCAGGCCTGGTGGAGAGGTCTGTCAGAGAGTCAGCGTGTGTTTGCACCCATATGTTTCTTGAATGTAGTTGTCTTCCTCGGCTGGAGGATACCAGCCCTCAAGAATACGATGGTCCTTTACTTCTGCTCAAACCCTGGCTCCAGTAAGTAAGGGAATGCCAGGAGTCCAATTCAATTCATCAGAATGTTTATGTCAATTGAGTTGATTTTCTTGTTTTCGATTTTTAGAGGCAGTCTGCTGGCCAATGCTGCTCTCAACGTTTTCACACAGCTCTGCACTCCACTTAGGCGTTAATATGTACGTTTTGTACAGCTTTGGAACAATGGCTATTCCCACACTAGGACGAGAACAATTCGCTGCGCTTTATTTGACGAGTGGAGTTGTCGCTAATCTAGCTAGTCACCTGTACAAAACGGCTTTTGGTCTGCCTGGATTGTCCCTTGGTGCTGTACGTTCAGTGAAATATCCATTCTCATTTCCTTTTCTTATTTAGAAGGGGAAACGATTTTTAAAGTGGAATTTTTTGCCATTTTTTTTATATTCTTTTTTAGTCTGGAGCAATTATGGGAACAGTCTCGTACATTTGCATGCAGTATCCAGACTTGAGAGTTGCTATTGTATTTCTACCGATGTTTGGATTCACTGCTGGATATGTAAGTCATGTAATTGATGATGTGGGTTAATTTGGATTGATTATTGTTTGTTTTTTTTAATTTCAGGCACTTAAAGGACTACTCGCCGTGGACACACTGGGCTGTGTACTTGGCTGGAGATTCTTCGATCATGCGGCTCATTTAGGGGGAGCTCTCTGGGGACTGTGAGTATCTAATGAACAATTCAACGACTTTCCATTCAGCAAAAAACTCTAAATTACTACTTCGTTGATGAATTAGTGGAAAATTGTCAGAGTTCAATAATCATTTTAAAAATGTCCCACAGATTCTGGCACACGTGGGGTTCCCCTCATCTATGGCAGAAACGAGGGCCTGTAGTGAGGTTTTGGCACCGCCTACGGGATCCAAAGGAAACTCGGTAATCCTCGTCAACACTATTTTTTATAAATAAATAATTAGCAACAGGTTCTCATCGCACGAGCCCACAAAATTGATGAATAAAACTGTAAAAACTGTTTAAAATATTTTTGCTTTTAATGCTTATTATTTTTTCTTGTAAAGTATAAATGTTATTGGATAAATTCGTAAATTCAGAAATAAAAAAATCGTCGGGTTTTTAATTGGCGTTTAGTTCTTGAGGTACTTCACGTGGTGCTTGATGTGGTCCTCGATGAATGTCGAGATGAAAAAGTAACTGTGATCGTAGCCCTCTTGATTCCTGAGGATTAGAGTGACTCCGGCATCCTTGGAGGCTGCCAGGAGGTTTTCGGGAAGCAACTGGTGGAGGAAGTTGTCGGCTTTCCCCTGGTCCACTAGAATGTCCAGGGGTGGCCCTGAGTAGGTTTTCATGAGGCACGTGGCGTCCCACTCCTTCCAGGCTTCTTCGTCTGGGCCGAGGTAGGCAGAGAGGGCTTTCTTCCCCCAGTCACTTTGCACGGCATTGCTTATTGGGGCGAATGCAGAGACGGTCTTGTACATTCCAGGGTTTTTGAATGCACAGATTAAAGCTCCATGGCCTCCCATACTACAGAACAAATTTTGATGAACTAATTTGACATTTTTATGAGTATTTGATTGTAGAAAATGATTCTGAAGAATTCGAAAATGACTAGTAAAGTCTTTACATCTTTACAAATGTTAATTTTTTTTTTGAAAACCATTTTTGGGAAGAATGCAACATTTCCTTCTAAACCCTCTCATTATCAAATAATTAAATATTTATCGAAATTGACCAAGAAGTCAAACAGTCACTTTGGATTTTTTATAAATTAAACCCGAAGGCGTAATGAAAGTAAAGGTTGTTCTTGTAACGATTGAGGGAAGATGAGTTGTGTTAAGATACAGTTTCGCACTCCCGGGGTGCCTCACCCGCATTTCAAAGTGCCAACAACTCGAATTATGCTGTTCTACCCCTTTTAATCACCTGTGGCCCATAATCGACTGCTGCGAAGGCAGAACTGGAAACTTGTCATTCACCAAAGTTGGCAGTTCCTTCGTGATATAACTGTACATCCTGAAATTCTTCTTCCACGGCTCTTCAGTTGAATCCACGTAGAATCCCGCACCTTGTCCAAGGTCGTACTCCTTGTCGTCAGGAATACCCTCGCCCCTGGGACTCGTATCAGGAATTACCAGGATTACCCCCTGTTCAGAGGCGCACCGCTGGGCCCCAGCCTTCGTTATGAAGTTCTGCTCGGTGCAGGTGAGCCCCGAGAGCCAGTAGATCACTGGAACGGCTTCGAATTCTGCCTGGGGTGGCAGGTAAATTCCAAAGTTCATCTTGCATTTTAATTCGGAGCTAGAAATTACAAATGCGTCATTTCATATCGTCAATAACTCGAGATTGGCAGAGTGAAATTCGGTAATTTTTTTTTCTCTTCGTAGGTATTTTTTCAGGCTTTAAAATGAGATTTTAGTCGTCCAAATCGCTTCATTTGGTCGCGAGAAATCGACGATTTAAGAAGAGTTCTTTTTTTATTTTTTTGATCTATTTTCTCTGTTTTCACCTTTCGTGAGAATACACCTTCTGCCATCCCCCGAAGCACTTATTACTCGAGACCAACGTGATTTCTGACATCTGAAATAGTAAATTTGAGTGAGCGTTCTACAAAAATCACTGATTATAGGTTAGAATGCGTTCAAAACAACATTTTGAAGAAATTTTCATTGAATTCGTACCTTGATGTCTTTTGATAAAAGTCTTTGAGATGTAAAAATTCTACGGAAGAGTGAAAAATGTCTTGTGACTGATGATAATGATGTCCAGCTACTGATTTTGATGACTCCAGGGGAGCAGGAATGACTGCCGGTTGCAATTAGCTTCAGCCACTTTCCCATTGAATGGAAATATTTGCCCAAATGGACGTATGTAATCTCTCGTTCACGTGACCTAACGATAAACATCGAGAAAAAATGATCAAGTCGTGACCTTTCACGAGACTAATACATTTATTGCAATATCGAATAACAAAATAAAGTTAACAAAAAGTACTGTAGAAAATTAAGATTCATAATCAATTGTCTCATCATTATAAATTTAATTATTTCTTCTTCGAGAATGATTGTCGATTTGTGGACGATTGCTGGCTCAAGCTGGACGTTCTTTCCGATGATTTTGCTCCCCCAACGACTGAAAAATCGACAAGAAATAATTTATCAATAAATACAATGGAATGAATATTGAAAACAAAATTATTTCACCATCAAACACGACTTTAGAGGGAATATTCTGGATTCTACTGGCACTTTCCCTCGTGGAAGTCAATCTACTCCTCTCAGATGAGGCCACAGAACTCCGAGTACTCTCACACAAACTCGGAGTCGGAGATGGCTTCAGATATTGGGCGCAGGGAAGCGCAATATTCTTAGCCCCCAGCAATTTTTTCACGTAAACCTCAGCCTCAACGTGACGAATCGTGAATTCCGTGACTCGTTGTAGGGCGAGAAAGTTTTGCTCTTGAAGTTCTCTAGTAGCGATATCTTTCTGTCGAATTACGAGAAAAAATTTTCATAAAAGCCTTCTGAGCCGTCAACCCCTGAATATCATAATCACCTCTTGCAGAAGTATCCTATCATCATCAGCCCTCTCGCACATCCCCTGGATGTCCCTGTACAGCTTCCTGAGGCTCTTCTCCGCCCTGGAGATCCTCTCCTTCTGCTCGCTCACCAGTTTCTCCACCGCCGCAACAGCCTTGAGCTTCAGTTCCTTCTCGTCCTTCGCCTCCTTCAACTCCTCCGTCAGCCCCTCGATGTCCTCCTGCATCCTCTGGTACTCCTCCTCCACCTCCTCCAGCTCCACCTGCCTGAATTTCATCTGCTGCAGGGCCCTGAACATTTCCTCGTCCAACTGCTTCCTCTGCACTTCCCCCGGGACCTCCTCATCCCCAGAGACGGCCAGCGACGACTTATACTTATCGTTGCACGCGTTGACGATCCTCAGGGTGTTCTCCATGCTCCTGATCTCCTGCTCAGTCTTCCTGATCGTCGAGTCGAGTTCGTCCCCCTGTTCCTGGAGTTCCGCCTTCTCCTGGGCATTCAGGATCTTCAGGTACGTCGTCGTCACAGGGGCTCCATTCGTCTCGCTACTCCCCATCGTCGCGATGACGTTGTCGTAACGCGTCTGCAGGTGCTGCATCCTCGCCTGCCTCTCGGTTATCGCAGACCGCAGCTCCAGGCACTCAGAGGCCACCAGTCGCTTCTCCAGGCTCAGCCCCTCCTTCTGGAGCTTTATTTCCGCCAGTCTCTCCTTCATTGCCGAGTCGATTTGCAGGCGGTATTTCTCCAAATTATGGAGTTTGTCACCGATATTCCTGATGATCTGCTCCCCCTGCGTGACCCTCAACTCCAGAATATTCTCCGCCACCTGTTTCTCCTCGGTGACCCTCTGCGCGGCCTTCAGCTGCTTCTCCCCGCCCTCCATCATGGAGCCCACGTCCTGCTTCTTACTCCTCAGCCTCACCAGCTCCTCGTTATCCCCCTTCAGACTCCCCTGGATCTTCCTAATGTCGTTCTCCAAATTCGTCAACTGCGTCTGCAGCAGTTTCGCCACTTCCGTCCTCTCCTCCAGCGTCTTCTGGAGCTCCTCGATCACCTTCACCTTCCTCTCCATCTCCGCTCGGCTGAGGTCGTCCGGTCCCACCTTCCCCAGTCTCATTTCGCACTCCTGGATCTCGAAATTCAACTTCTGGTTCATTTCCGTCTTCTCCTGGAGCCTCTGCTCCTCCCGCGCCTGATGCGCCCCGAAGATCTCCACTTTCTTCAGCTCCCCGCTCTTCTGGAGGTCCAGGGACTTCCTCTCCCCCTCCAATTCCGTTAGTTTGTTCGAGGTTCGCAGGATCAAGTCCTGGAAGCGCTTCGTTTCCTTCAGAATCCCGGACTTTCGCTTCTCCTCACCCTCGAGCATCGCCTCCAGCTGCTTCAGGCGATCGGCTGCGCTCACACTCTGGTCCTCGACCCCGCGGATAGTGGCCTTGATCTCCTCAATTTCCCTCGTCCACTCCCTGATTTTCCGCCTCTTATTCTCCAGCGAAATCTGCGTGGCCTTCGCCTCGGACTTGAGCCGCTGGGACCGACGAGAGAGTTCCTCCAGGGATTTCTTCCTCGTCTGGTACTCCAGGTCGTACATCGCGTTGGTCTCCACGATCTTCCGACGCTCCTCCTTGTCCAGGAAGAGCTTCTTCTCCAGGTGGCGGAGCAAGTCCTCCAGCTGGCGATTCGTGGAGATCTGGTTCTCCAGGAAATCCTCGGACTCTGATAAGACGGACATCTTCTCCTTTCCAATCTCCTTCAGGGCCTCGACCTCTCGCAGGATCTCCTGGATCCCGGCGTCTCGGTGACCCAGGACTAGAACACTTTGGGACCATCTTTCGATCAACTGCCCGCGCTCCTCCAGCGCCTGAACGTAGAAATTCGCTGTTCTTTCGAGAATTATCTCCATCTCGCAGATTTCGTTCAGCGTTTGCAGGACTGAGGACTTCAGGGAGTCCATTTCAAGGGTCAATTTCTGGCGCTTTAGTTCTAAATTCTGGAAAAATTAATTACGAATAACAATTAATCAGTTTAAAGAATTAATGAGTCAATTAATTCATTCGTCAATGCATTTATTCACTTTAAATTCATGTTTAAAGCTTTAAAATGACGAAATTAATTCAAGTCCCACGATTTGTAATTTCATTCTCACTTTGAGTTCCTTCGCGTCGGATTTCATGTACTTCTGGAGCAATCCCTCGTCCTCCTCCTCTTTATTCAAGACCTCCTCCCACTGGAGAAGTTTGTTCTTATCGAAGGCGACGGTTCTCTCTGAATTATTCAACTTCTCCTCCAGTTTCCCCATTTCCTTCCGCAAGGAGGCGATCCTCTCCTCGAGGTTCGTCTTCTCTTTCTCGAGATTCCGGATCTCTTGGGTGATCGAGGACTCCTCGTGCTCGGAGACCTTGAAGATGTGGCCCTCTGCGTTGTGCTGGGCTGCATACGCCGTGAGCAGTTTCTGATTGTGGTCATGTTCAATCCTGATGTTTGCGATGTATTCCTCGATGGATTTAACTCGATCCTCGTTTATCGCGAGGTCTTCGGTCAGGTTTTTCTTCTGCTTAATTTTTCTGTCGATCTGACGAACAGTTATTCCTACATTTATTTATTTTTTAAATGGATAACATGTCAAACATGACATTTTTCAATTTTCGTAACGACTTTTTTTATTAAAATCTGGTGAATTATTTTGGCTCACGTCTTCACTACCGGATTAATCAATGAAAAAATACCTCCTCCTCCAGTCGTCTGTTCTCCTCATTAGCCACGGGAATCCTAAAGCCATCACTCCACCCCAACTCATTCAAAACCTCCTCGATAGGCCCTCTCATCTCCAAAAATCGCTCTCAAACACCGAATAATTAATATCTCGCAATCGCGCAATTGATCAAACAATTTGACTCGTTCCCTCCCCGCAGAACCTCCCCCTAGCGTCATCTCTCATCAAAGCCCCTAGAATTATCAACAGAGTTGAAAACTCTTCCGCTTACAATTCATGTTTGCAATCACCTCCACATTCATAAATTGATATTGAAATAAATTAAAATTGTCGAGGTACATTTCAGTAGTGAAGCGGTAAACCGAGTTAAGTCGATTTTCACTATTAGCCAGTTTTTGCTGGATATCTCGGAATCTAAGAGAGATAGCAAAATTTTTCTCATGACTTTTTTTATAACGCTCTATTGGCTCTACAAAAAAGATTATGACAAAAATCTTTCTATCTCTTTTAGATTCCGAGATATTCGTCAAAAACTAGCCAATAGTAAAAATCGACTTGACCCGGTTTACCGCTTCGCTACTGATTTATGTTTTGCATTATCAAAACCTGCGGAAGCTGAAATAATTCAGCGCAACGTCGCTCCCTTTGACAATTTAATCAGCGTTCTCGTGATTAATAAATGATTCTCAAAGAATAAAATCACCAGAAAATCCCCATCACAAAAACCTTCTTCTCATTCATTAAATCATCATTTCATTCCATCAAATTTCAACAGCGCGATAAATTGAATTCCTCAATTAATTTTGATGAATCGTTTGAAGTGTTTTGATGTGTCAAATCAAAACTCAAAACAAAAAATTAATCAAGAAGAAAGAAACGTGTCAAAACATTGAAATGCGAAACAAATACTTCAATTTTATTTTGATCTCGACTTATTGACGATTCAAAACGGTCCATTTTCCCCCTCCGCCGCGCATGACGGTGATTATGCGCAGAAGCATAATCCCGTGCGGTGGCGCCCTCCCCGAAATAACGGCAGTTCTCGTAAAGCCGCGAGGCCCCGTAACAGGCCAGGACAAAGCCCATGCCCTCCCTTGTAATGCCGCAGGGCCGGTGGTGTCCCCCCGTGTTCGCAACTCTCCACGAATTCCCAGTAAAGCCCTAAACTCGCCCCCGAAAGCCACGAAAAAAATTGAATTCCAGCGGTGATAAAACAATTACCCAATCGTGAATGAAGAGAGAGAGAAAACGTCGGAGAAAAAAAAACGTGTCGAGCATAATGCGTGTGTGATACTGTGATAAAACCCATAGACAAGGAAGTGTTGAGGTTTCATGTGCTGTGGGGGGAGAGAAGAGTGAGTGGGATACCTTGAATAATACGGTAACGAGAGAGAGAGAGAGAGAGAGTGAGCAAAGTTGCAAGTGGGGGGCGAGGCGACCCGATCAAGAGAGAGTGAACAGAACAAGTGAGTGTTAGTTTTTAGTACTCATGTACGTGTGCATGAGGTAAAGAGTAAAAATGAATTTTTCACTCTAATGTAGAGTAAAACCATCATTTTCACGATGAAGGGAGTTTGGGGCTGATTTTTCGGAGGGGGCGGGGGGGTCGGCCCTCTCGAACAAAATCAGAGCGCAAGTGAGTGCATGTGAGGGAGAGGGAGAGATCAACTTGAAAAAAAAAGAGGAAAAAAACGTGCCTGAGATGGACGCTACTCCGAGTACTTCCGTTCGCTAATTGAGCGTGACTTTTCGCTCTTTTCGTCATTTTTTTTTCCCTCATTTGCATGGGGCTTTATGTCTCCTTCTGCCCATTCTGCATTCTCCGGTCGTTATTTAAATAGTCGAGGGGCTCGGGCTTTTTATTTCGTGAGGATACCCCTGCGGGTTTACTACCCCTTCTCCTCGGCTCTTCATCCTCTCTCTAATAAAGAAACGTCCACCAGAGTGAGAACACACCTGCGTTCGGGGCATTGTGTTGGTGAGATTTTTCACGTGTCGAGGGGATTGTATGGGTGATTTGCCTCACTACTGTATTTTTCTCCCTGAAAACCCACTTTTTAAATTATTCCCTGGTCCGGGGGTAGTGGCACTTGCGAATTTATCGTCTTATTTTACTCCTGAAAATTTTACGGGACTGTTGTGGGCTCGAGGGAGATGGTAAGAGAGACGGCTGGAGAAGAATGGCGATTGCCAGAATTGCCTGAATCGTGTACGCGTGGATGATGCGGAGAGCGTCGCAGAGTTGAAGTTGTCTCAGGTTTTCCAGGGATTCTGAGGTGACGACCGGGGCTCCAGGGGATTTGTTGATGTTTTTCGGGCTCGTGGGCTGACAACAGAGGGGGGAGGCCCTCGTGGACGCAGCGCGAAGGAGTCAACTCTTTTTATTCTTTCACGTGAACGTTTTTAAGACTTTTTCCACGATTTTTCGGGCTCAGGGTATTTTTTTAATTCCTTCGCCGACGTGTGCTCCCATTCCCTCTTCGCTCCTTGTCTCAATGATCAGAGGAGCATTTTGTTGAGCGCGGCATCGCGGTTATCGCGAAAAAAGTGGGAGTGTCACGGTGCACGAAACACGTCTCCAAATGCATCGCTAAATTGTGAATGCAAATTGGAGTGGAGTTTTCTTTAGTTGGGTCTCGCGGAGTTGATTTTTTTTTTTTGAGCTCTGGGGGTTGTTTGGGGACTGCTGGGGCGACTGACATTGTCTTGATGCTCCATGTTTTTGTTGTTATTTATCTATTAGAGAATTTGAAAAGTTTAGTGAACGAGGTTTTGATTTCTTGGGGTTTTTACAGACGTTCTGCTGCAACGTTTCGTATATGGCGTATTCTGTAACAAAATGTGATACATCGTCAGTAAGGATTATTCTGTACTTCCAATGTCACGATGAGATGCATCCAAGTTTAACGGAGGTGAATATAATCGCGTTTTAATTATTTGGGAATCGACAGTGGATTGGTAAAACGTGAGGATGAGTTGGGAAAATTGATTTTCACATGATTTCAGGCTTAATTTCATGGAAAGCAAAATATTTCACGTTTTCCCAGTCCACTAGTGCATTCGATTGTTTAGGGGAGGTTGGGGTAAAACGGACACTTTTGACATTTTTAAAAAATGTTAATAATTTTTTTTTCAATACAAAGAACAATTCTTTCCCTGTGTGACGAGCCTAAACTGAGTTCAATTGATAAATTTGTTTCTGAGTTATGAACAATTCGAAAAAAGTCCAAAGTGTCCATTTTACCCCACCCTCCCCTAATTCTTCGTCATCCATTGGTAGACAAATTGTTGACATTCGTTCACTCGATGAGATTCTAAAAAAATAATGTCTAATCCTAGCTTGTAGTTAACAATGAGAGGGATGGAGTGGAAAAATGATGGATAACGAGATGGGAAACTTCCAGGACCTATGCTCCACGCATTGATGGGTATATGCTTTTCCTGTAGGAGACCCTCTAGCAATCGGCTTAATAACAAGATTTCTGAGCACATATCGGCTTCGGTAACACCCCTCCATGTTTGTCTGGAGGAGCAAGGAGGAGCAGAACTGGGCTCGTGTGACGCCGTGGCTCGCAGGGCACAGGTAAATGGAAATTGTCAAGTAAATGCAGCAGATGAATCCCTTCATTACTCTAAAAATAGTGGTGATGACGATGACGATGGTTTGCGACAGGTTAAAACAAGTGGTGAGCAACTGGGTGAAACGATTAGTGTTAAATCGTGGGAGACCGAGGTAGGATTTACTAAGGGTGGATGTGAAGATTGGGGACAACAGCCGAGCATGGCCAATACGATCAGCAATATGAAAATGACAAACCCCATCAAGGGGCTTGTCAGCAAAAGACGAAAACGATTTACCGAGGATGGCTTCGACCTTGATCTCACATGTGAGTATTACTCGTCATCCAAGTGTCAGGGACATTTCTTCATTCATTCGAATGGCAATTTTCACGAAAAAGTTGACTTTTACTTGTCTTGATGAGTGGGTTAAATGAATGATGCGATAGGATTATAATAATAGGATTGTATTCTCTTGCAGACATAAGGGAGAATTTGATAGCAATGGGTTTTCCTGCGGAAAAACTCGAGGGTGTGTACAGAAATCACATCGACGATGTGGTTAAATTTTTAGAATCCAAGCACAAGGATCACTATAAAATTTATAATCTCTGTTCTGAGAGATCGTACGATTGCAAAAAATTCAAGCAGCGGGTTGCAACGTACGCTTTTGCGGATCACAATCCCCCCACACTGGAGCTTATAAAGCCATTCTGTGAGGATGTGCATGGCTGGCTATCGCAGGACCGAAAAAATGTTGCTGCTGTGCATTGTAAAGCTGGCAAAGGTAGAACTGGGGTTATGGTTTGCTGTTATTTACTCCATACCAGGCAGTTCTCCACAGCTAACGAGGCACTGAATTTTTATGGAACTAAGAGAACGACTGACAGAAAGGGAGTTACGATACCTTCGCAGAGGAGGTACGTGGGGTACTACGCTACCTTAGTACAGGAGAGCTTGAACTATCAGCCGGTTACACTGATTCTTCGAAAAATACTGTTGGATCCAGTTCCAATATTTAATGGGGGTCAAGGATGTGAGTGCATTCTATTTGTTTCGCTCATTTAAACTTTAACATTTCGCTTATTTCGTTAAATTTTTCTTGCAGATTTGCATTTTGTGATATGGGAATCAGAGAAACGGATATTTAGTTCAGAAACAATTGAAGTTAGGAAAGGAATGCCGTCTATATCAATTTCAATTGATCATAATGTTCCACTGACTGGTGACATTCGTGTAGATTTTTTTAATAAAAAACCAAAAATGAAGAGAAAAGTAAGTGATTGTACTTTTAATAATTCTCGGTGACATTCGAATTGAACTATTGAAGTGAAGCCACTGTCATGCAAAATGTAATTTCAAAATTTATCTGTTTATTCAGGAGAAAATGTTTCATTTTTGGTTCAACACATTTTTTGTACGTGATTACTTGCCACCCGAGTACGGTGATAATGGTGAATTACCAGTGGAACGCTCAACAAGAGCACTGAGCTGTGACGGTACTGCCATGGAATTGCCAATGGTAACTTCACATTCAAAAGCGAGAACCAGTTCATTGGCGAGTCTTGGACCAAAACCACCGACGCTGGTACTTGCTATTGACAAGTCGGGATTGGACGATGCGCATAAAGACAAACACCATAAACTTTATAGTGCGGATTTTAAGGTAGAGAATTTATTCATTCAGGGGGGAGAATGTAACTATTTTGTTGTGAGCTACTGAAGGATGAGATAAAACCACTCGAATTACTGGGGCTTGCATTACAATGACTCAACTGTACGTGATATTTGATCACTTCTGAAATCTAGCCGTGATTTTTCTCATGTTTTGAAGGTTTTGACAACGAAAATTTATAGTTTTATATTATTAAATATTTAATTCAAGAGGTTTTTGAAGGCTTTCTTTTTCTCATGAGGAATAAAATTAAATTCCATGGAGAATTGGATAATTCAGGGGGACGAAGTCACAAAATGTCTTGAATTTACTTAAATTTCATTGAAACTAAAACAAAATAAGTAATTACATTAAAAATTTAAAATGTGAAAAAATGCCTTAATTAAACAAATGTTCTCATTACAGGTGAGTTTACTCATGCATCGACAGTGGGAAGTAACAGGAAGTGGTATAACCCAGACAGTACCAACAATGGTCCCCAGAGCGGATGTACAAATAGGCATGAGTGGACAGGAGACACCGAGTGAATCGAGTGAGGCTGACAGCAGTGAATGTGAAACAACGGGTGACGAGGACGGATGGGAATCAGGTGAGTTCTCAGTATCACTCGTTGCTAAACGTCAATCAATAACGCACAGCATTAGCCGTACAACACATCACCAACAGCCACAACAAGAACAACACAACAGTACTAGTCTCATGGGTATGAAGGGTGATAATGATAAAAATCAACAGAGTGGTGAGGATTCAAATGCCTCTAACGTATTTACGAGATCAGTCACATTGGGTGACACATGATGACCTACAAATCCACATATTCTTTCTCCTTTTTTTCTGTTGATTAATTGATTTATCGATTGGAGAATTGATAATATTCATATTTATGGAACTTGTAAATTCGTTCTATTTCTCTGGTTTTGATAATCAGGTTGTTTATTATTTTTACACGATAAACACAATTTTTTTTTTCGCATTTTGCTCTCTTGTTGTCTTTACCACACACTCATCGATTGAAACCAGGGTTTAATGAATGAAAAATGATTTTTATCTGACAAAAATGAGAGTTAATGTTCAGTTAACGATAAAAATCAACTTCTCATTCAATTAAACGACTGGAAAAATTGTTTGCACTCCCTGATTCAGGCATGCACTTGTAGTTACAATGAAAAAGTGCACGTAACATTCACATTCTGTAGATCGAATTGCTTGTTTCGTTTTGTTTCTAAGACTGACTCTAAACGTTCCGTGAATTTGTCGTACTCAGAATGATAAGAACGATATGATTTACCTCGAAATTCTATACCATTCGTCAATGAAGTTATTAATGAGAGAATTAATTTTATTTAATTGGGAAGGCCACTTGTGTCGTTAATCTCTGTACAATGTGCACTAGTTGAATCTACTTATTATTAGATTATTAGGAAACGATTGAATGTTCATTATTGACGCACTCTCCACTGTCTCCAGTCTAACCAACTGCTGAAGATTCGCAATGCTGATTATAATTAAATGGACAGATATGAAACGAAGTGTTCGTTATTTTCGTTTTGTTGACTCTAAAATCGTGATTAAAAAGCTGATTAATTGTGGAAAGATGCTATGAGTGGTCTGCGGAGTGAACAAACGAAAATGTTGTGATGTATTTTAATTCAATTTTATCATTTTGGGGGGATTTATTAATTCATTAATTCCAGAGCTGGGGGATTCTAGATAAATTGTTGATGGCAATCCGATGAAAAGTAGTGGAAAAATCTTTTTAGTCGTCCTGAATAATAAATTAATACTATTTCCAGGAAATAGTCCTCAGCTCTGATGAATTATAAATGCGATGGATAATCTGCTGTGAGCGGGAGTGAATTTATTGTCTCGCATGTTCGATTCTTATGAAGTTTTTGAAGAAAAAAGCCACAGAAAGTGTTGGATACATATTAATTGGTTGTATTGTACAATGATTACGTTGTGATATTATAGCGTTACGAAGCCATTTGTATGGATGCGATAATTGCTCGTCTCAGGCTCTCAATCCCCAATGTTTTATGTTTTTATTTTTGATTTTTGTTGGACATATGAGCACGTAGGATTTTTTTATCACGTTTTGATTCACACGAGAGTCATTCATTTGTCATGGTTTTCCTTGATTGAGCATGAAGGATCACATGCATGTGTATTATGTACATGATCATTGCGCAGAGTGAATTGTCCCTGATGTTCAGGAGGGAAGTGGGGAATTGGGATGAGACGATTTTTTTTATTTTTGGATTTATCGGGGGAAGGAGCGGTTTTAGAGGAAAATGTCATAAGATGCTTTTTGTAGAGGAGAAAATTTCCTAAAAAAATGACATTTTGACATTTTTGTCTAAAACCATTAAGTATGGAGATAATTTCATTGACATGTCTGTTAATTGTTAATTAATCTTGAAAATAATTAGTTTGAGGAGAATAAATCGTCTCATTCTCTTATTTTAAACTTTCCAACTGAACGAAATTCAAGTGCTCCTCCACTATTTTTCATACATCTCCAAAATATCGCAACAAATACAGGGAAATAATCCTTTCATTTCATTGAATCACACACAACAAAGAGAAAATAAATAGAAAATAATTTCACAAATGTGTGTCTGTTACCATTCAGTGGACTTGGATCAGCGGGTGGGCCGTTATCGTCTGCTATCGGATGGAGGAATGATAGATGTTTTGTGAGCCCCGCGTCGACAATTCACACATAATCCCTCACGGCCATCTTTATTTCATCCCTTCGAGCTTCAAATAATCACGCTAATGAAAAATCATTTGATTCAATGACAAGACAGAACGAAATGATAATTTATCGATGGAATATTATGAAAATTCGTCCTGATCTTCGATATTCACGTGGTTTGCTACTGGTTCAATGGTTCTGGAGTATTTTTCGGTTTTGGGATAACGAGCGAGGCGAGATATATATTTTTTAATTACGTATTTAATTGGAGTCACCTCAGTTCTCGTGATATTTATGGTTTTAATTGTTCAAATGACCGGGGGAAAAGGAAAAAAGAAGAGGATTTTTTTTGTGATTGCAGAATCTTACGAGAAAATGTCAAAACATATTTTTGCAGAACATTTAATTCCCTGCAGAAAATTGTCTACACATGTTTCCTACACTAGTTCTAAAACATTTCAACAGAGAAAATTCAAATGAAAAATGTCACCAACGAATTGAAGCAGAAAAAAAACTCAAATAATCACAAAAAAAATCCTTAAATCACTACATTTACTTAGTGCACTTGATTCTCGCACATCCTTACCAAAAAGCTCACAAAACACTCCGACAATCGTTCATTCCCACAACGGGATTAATGGCCTTAACAAAGTCCACATAGATTTTCATTTAATCACCTAGTTGAACTAGGCAATTATCTGCCTAAAGAGTATGCACGCTCGTTAATTGTTGGTGAGAGCCACGTTGCATTACGCAAAACACTCGAGATCCTTTATCAACTGTAAAATTCTTTTCATTATCAATAGAAAATAAATTGAAATTTTAACTTGGCTGCAACTGAGTTGATTACCTGAGAAATAAATTGTCTCAATCATCATCGGTTTTTTCATTATTTCGTAATGATACGAGTGAGGAAGGTGCGAGAGTGATAGAGCGTCGAAAAATTATTACATTTATCATTGATTGATGGTGAATGAGAGGGCAGTGGAACTCTGAGGGGGGGGGGGATAAACTAACGAGTATAAAAATAATAGGACTATTTTCATAAGTGATAAATTGTAAGTCAATAATTATTGAGTAGAGTGCGAGAGAAAAACGTGAATTTGTGAGATCGATCTGATGAGAAAACATTGACAGTGATTCGAGAGGTGAGAATAATCGGTGAGTGTGTGGATTTTTATCGATAGTTGAATTAAATTGAAGGAAATCATGGAGTAATACTGATTTTATGATTTTTTTTCCTCAACTTTTTATATCAGAAAAACAATTATCTCGATGGATTATGGAGAATGGCTAATGAATTCACGTCTGTGTAATGATTTGTATAAACAATTGAGTTATCAATGGATGGAGATGAAATAATAAATGTTGATATGAGTGAGTGAGGCTAATTCATTGTATATTTGAGTACGTACCTTCCCTGCATTTCGTGGAAAGCCGAACGAATGCAAAACAAATCGTAATGATAATGAAAAAAGAATATTTGAAATATAAGATAAATATGTAAATCTTCAATCAAAACGACAAAATAATAATATTAATTGATAGAGGTGTGATGTGGGGTGTGAAAGAATCTCATTGGAGGACATTTATTTTTTTTAATGAACTGGAATTTCAAAAGTTGAAGCTTATTTCACCGTTTTATCGAATTTAATCACCAGAATAGAATGAAAATTGTCTCTGTTCTCCTTCATTACCGATTATTTTAATTCCATTTGAAGAGTTGGCTGATGATGAGTGAAATACTAAGACTTGTAACGTAATGGCCACTGTAAGACCGAAGAAAGAGAAATTCGACGAATAAGAGTAATGTTAATTCTCAATTAATGAAGTTTTTTGTACAAAAATGTCACGAATGCTTACTTTTTTTTCTCAATCGAATGATCATTGGTTGCATATGCACACATTTAATTGTATTTATGCGTAGTTTATATTCTGTTATTTGGGACAAATAATTGATTGAATTTGTTAATCAAGAGTGAGTGGACATGCAGTACGAGTGGACAAAGAAATGAATCTATCTAGAATTAATAAAAAAAAAAAATAAGTATGGTTGTGGTACAGATCTTTTCGATCGGGATTTCGTCAATTCCAATTTAATCTCTTCATGATTTTAGGGAAGAGAAATGGTGGAACGAGGTTGGGAAGGCGAGGCCAAGTGATCTTTGCTCAATCATCAATATCTTTTGAGCAAATGGCGCAATCCGAACGAGTCAGCTCTCATTAATCTCGCTCCACCAATTCTCCCCCCAAACTTCTCATTTCTCTTCATTCTCTTCCACAAATGCATGACATACTTGCTTTTTTACAAACAAAATAGTGTAGTAAACGGTGAGGAGATGGTCGCCCGGTTACTCAAAAACTCAAAACAATTGGCAACTGTTGATTTCACAGTTACATTAATTAAATAATTTCATTAGTACCTAAAAAAAAATTAAAGGAGATAAATTCTTGACTGAAAAACAAAATGGGTCTGCTTACAGGGGAGTCAACGTATTTGTGACTTTGAGACATGACTGATGGCGGGCCAATCAGAGATAAACTCCTCACAGACGATCAACTCCTGACTGCAACACTACTACAGTCGCTTTGATTTTAAAAAAACTATTCAATAGTTATTTTATAACTGAATCGAATCACTTCGATTTACCATCAGCCATCGCATCTCCCGCCTGTCATCCGCATGAGAAAATCAATATTTTTCGGTAGATTTTTTTTTTCACTGGTCATCCAATAGTCGAGTCGATTCATCCCGTTCTAAATTTTTTTGGCAAGCACATTTCTCGGGGTTTTTTGTCATCTGATGGTTTTCAGAGAGGGGGAATCTCTACTCATTGTCTAGGATTTTTCGTCAGTGATGTGAAAGCACAAATCTTCGTCACGAGAATTTTTTCGAGCTCTTTAAATTGAAAAAGATCAATTCAGTTTAATTGTTTTTTTACATTTTTCATATTTATGATACGAATTGAGTAAATTCGCCAGTTGAAGTTGCGTCAATGAATTGTTAATTCTCCATAATCAACTGTCCTCCACTAGATCATTTGATGAGCTTCGATGGAAATTCTCTTGATCCAAAAAATAACGAGCGGTACTTGAATTTAGGTAGAATGTCGTAGAGCAGTCGTCCACCGCGAATAAATGTAATTTTATACATTCAAATTTTAATTAAACTGTCATAAACAAGTGGAATACTCCTCCAAATTGATTGATTCATAATCAAATCCAGTAGGATCACAAGAAATCGTGATTGATTCTACGATTAATTAGAAACAAAATGAGAAATCGTGAATTACCTGGCAATTGTGATTTAAGTTGATTTTTAATTTACTTTTTTTTAATGCATTAGTTGACGATTCCGTAGAATATTGTACACTTAATTATTTATTCATCTGACTCGTACTTGACGGTTACGACGTCTGGTCCATTTATTTATTTCGTGTTATTGGGGAAAAATCGAGAGGAACATTTTGTCAATTAATATTGATATTCTATTTTTTAGTCAACTCTAATTCTCTTTGTTTTCATTTTTCTTTTCGTCGCACAATTTGGAGAGTATCAGGTGAATTCATACCGATTTTTTATGGATCTTTGAGCAATTGAATGAAGAGTACTTATTTTTTTTCGATTGTGCAGATTTCGAGATCGTGGGGAATCCAGGGATAAAGTGGTAAAACAAATAGGGAATTATCTCTGTAATGAGACATTTTACGAGAGAATGTCCAGGGAACAAAATGCAGGGGATAAAATTCCCTGCAAAAAAGATCTTCTGGCATTTTCTTCTAAAATTACTCAAAATCGTCGGAAATTCATTCTTCGAAAATCAGAATTCACCACTTTACAACTCAATTGTCACCCCCAAATAATTAAAACGATGAATAACTTCGATTTTGTCCTCTAATAATTAATCAATAAAGCAAACAACAATGATTTCATTTTCCAAAAAAACGTGAGCATGAAAAACAGAACGAAAGGAAGAGAGAGTGAGAGATGCGACCAATCGAATTCTTTCCAGGTTTATTTTTGTACGATAATAACATTTATTAGGATTTTTAAAAAAATTGATAATTTCAGTGAAATTTGCCTAGAGAGTACAAACAAGACGACTTGATCTCAGATAGATTAAGAATTTAAAAAATGAAAAAAAAAAGTTATGACGTGTTGGGAATAAAATTAATGAGACTTTTGCTTATATTTGTAATTAAATGTGCTTGAGCAATTTATTTAGCTTGATTGAATAATCAATTTTTTCACGTTAAGACGAGTTAGGACACGAATTTATTATTATTCTTCCACAATTTTTCAACTTCATTTTCATAATTTTAAATGAATGAAGGGAGAGGCGAGGTAAAATGGGCCTTCGTTAATCAGTTGGCGATTAAAATTGATCCATTTTACCCCATTCTCCCCTGTACAACATACGATAGCTTGATAGTAATTCGAATGAACCGTGTGTGGAGAATAAATCACAGAGAATCGAGTAGATTCCGTGATTTGTATTCCTGTGGATACGAGATGCGATGGAATTATAATGAGTTTCATTTTATCAATTGACGGAAATAATTGGATTGTCGTGTGCTTACGAATGCATCCATTTTCCCAGTCCTCGTCCTTCTATATTTTTTTTCATACAGACATTTATTATTTTTAAGGGGATATGTATTACTTTATGTTGCAAGAGAAATAAAGATGACTCAGAAATCGATTAATATTAACTTTACGTTTTATTCATTCATTCAACTCCTTCGTGTGGTATCACGTCACTTAAAAATAGATCAGTTCTTGAAAAATACAGAGAGATGAGATGTGGAACAGAACACAAACTCCAAATGTTTATTGAAAAAAAGGGAAATGAACTCGGATGAATTATTGATCGTAACAAATGGAAGAAAACTCTGCGTTGAGGATTATTTCACCTTCCTCTGCCTCTTCCACTTCGGTTGAAGGCCCCTCTGCCCCTCCCTGATACCTTGCCCTTCGGCGGAGGGGATTTTGGCCGAAGCGCCTCTATCCTCTCGGTGCAACCTGTTGTTATTTGCCCAGTGGCGAAGTAACTGCTGTAGAGATCAGTATTGAAATTTGTGTTTGTCAATTCTGGACCTACTGTCAACCAGCCCGGTCTTATCGTGCTGTCACGTCCGAAGAGATGGAGTCTAGACACGAAGATGATTCAATAATTAACAAGATATTTCACAATTTAACAAGCTTATAAAATCCCCCACCATTTCTTCTAAAACACTTCTTCAAGATGAAAAAAACGTGTGAAAAAAAATGAATACCTTCTCCTCCCCAGGCAGAAGTGTTCAATAATATGAAAAATCTCCACAGGCTTCTCGATAGACCCATACTCAGGCTCCTCCGAAATAATCAAATCAATATCGACATTAGCGTGAATGAAGTCCCCATCAGTGGACCTTCGCACAGTCCCCTTGATCCCCATTAAGCAATGCTCCTTCGTCCTCTGAAGGACAGCCTTGCTGTCGAGATTCTTGCTGTGTCCAGGATTATCGATGTTCGTTCTGATCCAGCAGATGTCCTCGCACCTCCTGAACCCCCATTTCCTCAGGCAATAGCGCCCCATGTCCAGGCCATCGCTGCTGCCACACCAGAGGAAGACGAAACTCCTGTTTGCAGCCACTTCCCCGATGTCTAGCTCCATTATCTGGTCCCAGTTCCACAGCTCGACGTTCGTGACTCCACAGGTCCTCTGGTACTCCTCCAGGGGCGGCTCTATGAGGATCACGTCGAACTTGCAGTTGAGGTCCTTGAGATTGTAACTCGACAGGTTCGTCTTGAGGTACATGGGGGGAGTCGCAGTGTCAGAAATTAAATCGTCCTTTAATTTAATCAGCTCTCGGAGCTTTGGGTACTCTTCGAACCTGTCAGCCAGGCCCACGTCCCTGATGAAGTTCTGGGGCCGTTGGCCAGTGTCGATGAAGTGCTGGCAGTAGTCGTTGTGGGGGTTTGATGACTGGGTGCCCTAGAATTTATTTCATTCATCGATTATGCGATGAGAGAATTGATGTGATTCAAAGAGAATACAATCGATCGTGTTCAATCGTCAATATCTCCGGACTGAGTGATGCGATTGGGGCGAGCCACCTCTCATTTTCAAGCTTGGAAAAATACCTTGAAAACGAAAAAAAAGTCGAGAATATTCACTCAGCCGTTCTCGAGGTATTGACGGGCAAAGACGGCGTGTTTTACCCCAGTGGTGATTTTTACTGTTGTGTACTTTTAGAAATGTTGAGGAGTCCTTGTAGACTATCTCGTCTGCTGGGAGGCTGCCGTCCTTTTGGCTCTTCGATCTTTCGTCGTCAGTGTCGAGGGATCTCGTTCGGGATTTTTTTCGCTGAGAATTGTCCACGTCTGTTCCGAGGATCTGGCGGAGTTCGTCGACACTCGATACTCCGAGCTGGAAAATTGTGGAAAAATGAGTAAATTTTGAATTTAATATCTCCTGAATATATGATACATTTGTAATAATGTGAAATTTGAGTAGTGACAGTAGAAAATATTAATTAATTTATTTATTTATTTAAATCAAATACATACCGTTTGTGCTAGTAATTTCTTACGTTTCTGTGACCTCTCCCGAAGCGCTTGCAGCATTTTAAATCGTATATTAACAGATTTTTCACTTAAAAGAAATTAATTGATAGATTGGAGTCAAGGATTGAAGGTTAGGGCGCTCCCCGGAGGACTTTGTTACGAATTTGATAACAATTCCATTTTATTGTCTAGGCTCTTCGTCCTTTCTCTTGAATAACTGCGACTATTTTGATCGAATAAAATGTTCCACTGATTTTTGGAACATTTTTTAATATGCAACATTGACAGGAGATACACAAGGGTGAAGTGATGATTTACTTTAGTTTGTGCGCATCACAGAAGGGGGATTAGTACCTCCTGGTGCGGGAAATATGAAAAATTTACGATGGAATATCAACTGTGAATTATCAGAGTCAATTAGTTCGGTTTATTCAGTGGGTTTTGCTCAAATTAAATCATTTTATCCGAAATCTCCTATTGCAGGATTTTCTTTTGATAATTAAGTTGATATTAAGGATTTTCAAGTCATTATTCTCGCGCAATTCAATTAAAAAAGAGTAAAAAAGGTCCAGAAGATGATTTTTATGCCCGTTTTAATGACTCATTTGAGAAATGATGCCATTTTTTCGTCAAATCCTCGCGTGACATCATAACTCAGACATTTTTAATCGCCCACAGCTCATTCTTTTTTCGCTGTTGGTAAAAAAATTCTGTCAAAACCCCGATGCCTGCAAAAATGAAATGAACCCTCAACTCGTCCAGCGAACGAAAAAAATCCCCTTTCGGGCAATATTATTTCCATCTCCACCTCCGTCGTGGCTCTATTGATATCTCCGAAATATACAAAAGAATCTCAGGATGGGAATAACAAGGCGAAGACACGTGTTCGCTTTGTTCCATTCCCTCAGTTCCCTCAGCGATGTAAACAATTTTTTCATCTGCTTCCCTGACCTCTCCCTCTCCCTGGCGAATGGTTTCACTACCTGATTCGCCAATTTTTGGAGAGAAATCACAGGTACATTGCCCCCACCCCAACGAAAATCATCAAATTGTCGGATCAAAGTTGAGGAATAAATCACAGTAGACCGTGCGACGCTGTGGAAACAGGTAGACTTCACCCCTCACTCTCACCTCTTCCTCAATTCCCCCGAAGTCCCCTTATTTTTCCCAGAAATTCGGTTACGTGTTCTTCAGCGTCTTACTGGCGTTAATTTCCCTCACGAATACTCGAGGCGGCACGTCGCCGTTTCGACAGTTCAACGCACCTTTTGGTTGCGTTCTTTACCTCATCATTTCAATTTTCAATTTTCTTTCCACCAGTTGCCGGCCACTTCGCTTCATTTCTTCTTCGAAGGGACGATCCAGTTGTTTTTTTTGTGTGTTCTCAGGTGAGTTATTCCTCCAGTTTCATTAATTAAGGATCTGTTGGGAAATTTTCAATTCTTCTGGGGCATTTGGAGTTTTCCGTTCGAATTTTCCACCAACGGTCACTCGATTCTTATCTATGGTTCACTGAATTCTTATCCAGAGAATATTTCACTGCCAACGGAATGTAATTAATTTCGGAGGGGATAATGAGGAAATTATCGACTGATAAATACCTTTCTCTTTTGATTTAAAAAAGTTGAAGACTCTTTGGATTTTTTTATCAATTGAAGAGTGGAAATTAAATTTGAGAATTTTTATCGTCAAATTAACGTGAATTGGCAAAATGTAATCTATATTTTCTTCGCCGTTGTAATGAAAAGTAAATCCCACGAAATGGCGCCTGACTGTCGTGACCTTGAAGACTTACTTCTGTTTGGGCCCAATTTTATTGATTTTGTCCTCCATTTACCTGAGAATAATCCGTTATTGTATTGAGAATTTAAACTCTTCGATGAGTTTCCGTAAATTTGAATTGATGAGTTGATTGAGGGGATTTAAATGGTTTTTATTTTTTCAGAAGGGAGAAATGAAGCCGGACGACTTGATTCAGGTTGAACCGAGGTCGGTGGAGACCATGTCGGAGACGTCGGAGGGGACGACGACCACGAGCCTCTCCGGTCCGCATGGCTTCGAGAGCAGGGAGGAGCTGTTGGAGCTCGTGGAGACGCTGCGACTCAGCAGTCTCGAGGAACTACATCGAGAGCGCTTCAGGGTTGATAGACGCAAGCTTGAAAACATGTTGCTTGGTAAATTTATTGATGATTTGTTGATATTTTCAGGGGTGAAGTCCCCATTTCAACATCAATTTTTCAATTTCAATGACTGTTTCGTAGAAAAAAGTCTAAATTTCTCTCAACATTTTTTTTCAGGCGATGATGAGACACCAGAGTCTGCAAGCATGTTCTTTCGTAAGGTACGAATTTATTTTTACTTTCAACCCCCGTGAAAATTAAAATTTTTAAACAACAGAATTTTTTCCACCGTTGAAATCCCCTCGAACGGTTAATTCACACCTCTTTCAAATGCGTTCAATATTTCCTCGTCGTGTTATGTCTAAAAATACCATCGCCACAGCGAAAGTGAAACGACTGCTGTTTATCCCAATGCAATGTTTTATTTATGAAAAAAATCATGAGAACGTCAGTGCGAATTCGCGATGAAATAGAAATGCAGGGAATTTTTATTCGACAAAAATTAACGAGTCAATTGCTGGCCATTTCTTTTCACAGATAACGCTAATTGACATTTTATTCAAGTTTTTTCGCTATTTCACATTTTTTCAAATATTACCGAAGTATTGTAATTCCCCTGAACTATTCCGTCCCCCAAAAACAAATTCGCTTCACTGAGTAATCCAGCCAGTTGACCATGTAATTGGAAAGTTACCAGTAAAAACCCCGGAACCCGCAATTTTTTTCATCATCGAACTAGTTTACCCACTCCGATCTAAACCAATTACCCACTCCCCCTCGAAATTCCCCCAATTAATCACCTCCCCCTCCCGCAAATGAAGAAAAGCCCAGCGTCAACCCCAGCGAAATAGCTATCGCTTCGCATCTTCTCTTCAGAAAAAAGAAAAAGAAAACCTCTGAGGAAGAGCAAAAATACCGATGCGAGGCACTTGCACTGGCGTTTGGTGGGGCGAAATGAAAAAAAATACCGAGTGGGAAGTGGTATGGCATAGTCGCGAGTTGCCCCGTTACATTATCTCGAATTAGTCAGTCAGTACCGTCTTACCCAGTCGGTTCCGTAACTACTCCCTCGCCAGCAAGACGTTAAATTCATTCGAAATAATTGTCCTTGTGCATTCGAAACCGTCGAGTCACTCACCTTGGCCATTTTTCTACCATTGAACAAGTAGATCGTCAATAATTCCATTCAACAAATCGAAATAATTCCGGCGAATTGAGTGCAACGAGTGTGTGATATTCCGTTCAATTAGTGTTAAATAAAAAGTTGGGTGAAAACAAACGGTGAAAGTGCTGAATTTAACGCGTGATTTTCTCGTTTCCCCGCTAATAAAGATGATGACATAATGGATTTCATTTGCGGGAGGAGAATTAGCGAGGATTATTCGTCGACCGATCGAATTATTCACTGATATTTGAACATTCGAGTGGCCCCGAAGGACTTTCCCTCGAGAGATCACAGTGAACAGCCACGAAAATGACTGTGGTAATGACCTTATCGTATGATCAACGCTTTTATTTGCTATTTTTTTGCTTATGTTTTACGCGAATTCTGCAGAGTTGCTTCTTACATCAGCTTGATTTGTGTTATGGACTGATGGGTATTGGTAGCACAGGTAGCGTGCGTGAGATTCTTGTTCATTTATGCTCAATTTTTTTAAACTCAACTCTCTGATGAGGCGCTCTTATTTCTTCATGAGCGACTGATGATTTACTAGAGTGCTGATTACATGCTTTAATGTATTTCGGCATCGCTTGACGCTTTTTCAGAATTTTTTAAAGGGAGTTTTTAATCTGGAGTTTATTTTTTTCAGATTATGGACGAGACTAATACCGTCATTACGTGGCCATCACGGTTGAAGATTGGAGCTAAATCTAAGAAAGGTCAGTTTAATTGATCAATTGCTGGTGATTTATATTTTCCCATGATTTGGGATCGATAGATCAATGGGATCGGGCTTCGGGGGGGTTTAATTCAGTCGTGATGGTCTTTACTTCCTTGAGGAATTGATTGCGTTTTTTATTTTTATTTTTGTTCAAGATCTCAGAAATATTTTTAACGATTTTTTTAGTCAATTGCTAATTAAAATCACTTTTTCGTCAATAATTTTGTCCTATGAATTTTGATTGAGATATTTTTCAATAGAAATGGAAAAAAATCGTAATGGAAAGCACTGATGGATCAATTTCACGAATCAATTACTCAAAAATGAAGTTTTAATGAGGATTTTAGTGAAATTTAATGAACAGTTAGGGCAAAGGGAATTCAAGTTTACCGTTTGATGAACCCATAACTATTATTAATGATGGATAACATCGTCAATATCAAATAGTGACTCGATATCAATCGGGCAGAGTCACGCGGTGCAGTCTCCATCACTTGGGAGTTACGTCAATTCCAATCTTACGTGACTAGTGGCTATCGGCTGCACGTCACGAATATGTAGTTTAGATTTAATGCGAATTCCGCGAAATTCAGCTTTAATCGATGCAATAACATTCCAAAGACATTGGCAATTTCCAGATTTTTTAGGACTCATTTGAATTTTTCGAGTGACTCCGCATTTCAGTCTTGATTTGTCATTGAGAGTGATGAAAGAATTTTGTTTTGTTGTTCATGAATTTTTTGGATTGTTTCCAAATATAAAACATCAGGTAATGATGACGAGTGCAGGGAAATTGGAGCGGGTGGAGTCGAATAGATTTTATGAAAGTTTAACTCAGAGCTTTCATTTGAGACCCATTTGACATTTTACAATGATGTTATTGTTTAAATTTTGCAGGTCTGAATTTAAATCTCGATATTAAATCCTTATAAAACATTATTATAAATAAAGCCCATTTTAAATCTCGAAAAAATGTTTCAAAAATGAAGAACAAATTGTTGAATTTATTTTCTTTCTCTCCTTGCGGCAACTAATGCAGGAAAAAATAATTGATTCTCTGGGTCTGACTAGTGTTGGTTGGAGTGTCCCCTTTCCACTCGGAGTAATGATTTCTAGGCCGCTCTCCAGTTGGGCTCATAGTGGTGGAAAATTTTCGGGTGATTCATAGCTTCCGCGATGCCCACCGTTGCCTCAAACGTTGTAAAACACACGTAGCCCGCCGGCTTATCTAATCCCAATTTTCCGTTATAAATTTGTCAACACATTTTTTTCCAAGCGATTAGAACCTATGAATGAACTGACAGGAGAGGGGACAAATCAATTACAAAATCACGTGTTACGATAGAATTGTTTTTTTCATCGTCACTCTGACGGAAAAATTTCAAATCTAATTTCGGCTGGGAATTTTCCACGATTTCTCGTGTTTACTCGGTCTGTTCTATCTCTAGCTGACTAATGAGAATTTTTGTAATGGTGTGATCTTCGTCGTGGAGCATTTATTATTGAGACAATTCAAAGAGACGTCGAAAACCCTAGTTTTGTTTAATTTCTATTATTCCTAGACCTATTCCTACATTGGTCTCTGATAATTAAACATTTTGTTGCATTCCACCCTTAACTTTTCATTAATTGCCCTTTATCTCGAAAACTATTGACTTGAGATATGAAATATCAAGATAAATCAACACCGAAGAGTGGAAATGTCCCCAGATTTCCTACAACTCGTTATGATTTCCGTTCTCCATCAGAAACTTCTCGTCGACACCCAGTCCACCAGATAAAAATATATTTATCGGAGAGAATCCGAATTATTCCACCCCCCAGCTTCCACCCATGCAAATGCCTCTCCCACCAATCATTAATTCCACAGTCTGCTACATATTTCACCACCAGAATATTTCATCAGATTACGAAAACAATTAATCATCATGCCCACTCTCATCTCGAAACACTACTCCCCCCATTATCACGTTTATCATCGCAAGACCACTGTTTTCTTCACAAAGAATCATTTCCAAAATCCCATCCTGGTGTATTCGGCCGCGACCTTGTGGCAATTTCCATCGTATCACGTCGTTCCTATCAATACGATAATCACTAGACGAAAGCAATGAGCGGAAGTTTTATTTCAGACGTTTATTATCGATAATAAACACAGAAATACTCCTACAAGTGTTGAAAACACATACAACTATGCAACATTTGTGTGTTTTGGCTGTACATAATTCAACACCGTTATGTTTTTTCTATAAATAACTCTAGTTTATGTATTTTCAGATCCACACATAAAGGTCGCGGGTCGGGTGGATGACGTGGGGGCCGCTAAGGAGAAGATTATGCAAATATTGGACACACGGGTAAGATTAGCTGTCATATGTATCAATTTATTATAATTATTGGCAACTTGTGTACAACTTTTTTCGTTGTGAGATTAAAATTTCAAGTGGCTCAATTCCAAATGAAGGAAAATGTCACATAAAATTGAATAAAAAGCCATTTTTCCCCAGTAGTTGTATTTCTTGAGAAGAAGAGGCGAAGCATCAATTTATTTTATTCATTGCGCGTTAGTGCTTTTAATACGATATTTTTTCAATAATTTTCAAGTGGCTCAATTCCAAATGAAGGAAAATGTCACGTAAAATTGAATAAAAAGCCATTTTCCCCCAGTTGTTCTGTTTCGTGAGGAAAACAAGAGGCGAAGCGTCAATTCATTTTATTTATGACAAGTTAATGCTTTTAATGACATATTTTTTTTATATTATAGCAAAGTATGCGAGTAACGATGAAGCTAGATGTGAGTTATACAGACCACTCTCACATAATCGGAAAGGGCGGTCTAACGATAAAACGAGTGATGGAAGAGACTGCGTGTCACATTCATTTTCCCGATAGCAATCGTAGCAATCATCAGGAGAAGAGCAATCAAGTGTCCATTGCTGGGGAGATGGAGGGCGTGGAGAAAGCACGTGCACGTGTCAGGGTAGGTTTCCATTTGTCAAACATCGGTCGGGCATTTGTCATTGGGTTCTGCATCCTTCGGGCTTTTTTCATCGTTCATTTGCCGATAAGATAAATAGTATTTGTTTCAATTAAAATTTGCGATTTAATTTAATTGAAACCGAAATCATGATTTCGTCAGCGGTTATTTGCTGAGTCAGTACTTTATTTACTCGAGAATTACTGAGGCCTTGGGAGAATGGATAAAACTCTGGTGATTTTGGATGTTTGATTGAGCCACTGGATTCACCACGTTTAGATTTATTACGAGACTTTGACGATTGATGATTTTACGAGATGATTAATATTTCTACGAGTTGCGAGAATGGGTCTAGTCTTTATAAGAATTTAATTTTCTCATTTTTGAAAAAAAATTTAAACCCGTCGTTATTATCAATTACTCTTCATTATCAGAACCTGACTCCACTGATATTCTCCTTCGAACTGCCGATAATGGGTGCCATGCAGGGTCACCCGGACTCCACATCCCCCTACATCGTAAAAATCCAGGAGAAGTACAATGTCCAGGTGATGTTTCGTACGAGACCAAAGCTCCACGCAACCCTGGTAGTTGTCAAGGGCTGCGAGTGGGAGGTTCTACAAGTCAAAGAGGCCACAGTCTTCCTCATCCACCACATGTGCAAGAATCTCGCGGTGAGTCTCAACGATTTTACCACAATTTTCGTGTCTTCAAATTTCACAAGCGTCAACATGTTTTTGATAAGAGAGATATATTGACTCTGAGCAAAAATAAATTGATGATACGGAATTCTCGATGATAATGAGTGCAAAGAATGCAAACGAATGGCAGTTACCTAGGGGCGAATGAATGTGTCTCTCAAAATTAATTAATTCATTCATTCATTCATTCAACGAAAATTAAATTTTTTCAGAATCAAATTCAAGTGCAGATGTCGATGGAGATATCCCCCCAGCACCACAGCATCGTGCTGGGAAAGCAGAGCAGCAACCTGAAGATGATAATGCAGCGCACCTCGACCCAGATAATCTTCCCGGACGCAGGTGACCCCAACATCCCGAGCCTGAAGAAGAGCAACGTGATAATAACAGGCGCCATCAACAACGTCTACATGGCTCGCCAGCAGCTGCTGGGTTCCCTGCCCCTGGTCCTCATGTTCGACCTCCCCGAGACCTCCCGCCAGTCGGTGGACACCGAGACAATCTCCCAGCTCATGCAGACCCTCGACGTCTTCATAAACGTCCTCCACAAGCCCAAGCAGAGCAGTCTCTCAGTGATAATAAAAGGTGTCGAGCGCAATGCCACCAGCATTTACGAGGCACGAAGACAGCTGCTCTCCCTGGACGACGCCAAGATCGTCGCCGATATCCCACCAACCTACAACATCCCCAACTCCCCCAACGTCTTCCAGAGCACCCTCAACGGAAGCCTCGTGTCCGACAAATTCACCAATTTCCTCACCATAAACACTCAGTCCCCCTCGCCCTACTGCGTCTCCCCTCTTCCCCATTCACCGAATCCGATCAACATGTCCCCCCACTGGGGCCTCCCACCCATCCCCTCGATGTTCTCACCCCTGATGCACCATCCCTTCGCATTTCCAAACGCCAATGCCCAGTTGCTGGCCGCTCGTCACGCCATGCAGGCCAACATTCTCAGCCAGCAGCAGGCGCAGATGAATCTCCCTGGGCAGAACCTCCTGGGGATCGCGCAGAGTCATCCCCCAGGGTTTCCCCCCAACTCCCACTACGGCTCCAATAGTTGCAGTCTCGGCCCCAAGTCAGGCAGTGACGGCAAGGACACGAGCGCTTACTTGTCCTTGAGCAGTGCCTCCAGCACTCTGTCTAGTCCTGCTGTCAGCCCCAGGAACATCTCCCCCATCGGCTCATCCCACACCGATTTGTCGCAGAGTAGAGACCTCTCGGCGATGCTCTCCGACCTCTCCATGGGCGAGAAAAAGGGATTCAATCCCTCCGCACATCTCACAGCTTACGATTACGAGCAGAAGAAGATCCTCGCGATGAAGGCCATGAAGAGTAAACCCAATCCCAATGAGTACAGGGTACCCACCCCCACGTGGGCTGGGTATGGACTCAGCCAGACCATGCCCACACTCAGCCCCAGTGAGAGTCAGAAGGCGAGGGATGCCTCTGACCTCTGGGATGACCCCAGCACACCTCTCGTTTATGCCCCTTCCATGAAGTTCGAGGGCGAGGGCGAGGGCGAGTGCCCCACACCCATCGCCATGACCTCTACGTACTTGGATCACACACCGAGGAGTCGACTCGAGAAGATTCTCAATGGGAGTCACACGGATTTGGCTAGTGCTATGATCAATGCAGGCCTGGACAAAAAGTGGATCGGTGAGTGCATTTCCCTCTTCAACATTCTCATTTTTTGGGTTAACGCGGGTTTAATCGATCCATTTCATCATTTTTCTTGGCTCGAGGGAACAGAAGGCTATTGACTACTCTAGATTACCAAAGTAAAATCGTTATCGTCATCTTCTGGAGGTCAATGCATCGGTTTTGAAAAATGTTGATGAATTTTTGTCTGAAAATTTCGAGTGTCAATGAGCTTTTGCTGGAAAAATTCAACGAAAAAATGTGCATTTATCCATTTGCTTGGTCGTGCTTTTATTACTCGTTCATCTGTGTATTCGTTCGCTCGATTGCAATTTGTATCACTGCTTTTCATCGCTTCAATCAGATATGCTATCGTCCCATGAAATCGACATGTCGACTTTTGTATCATTGACTGAGGAGGATTTAATGGATATTGGAGTCACTGCTTGGGGGGCTAGACGCAAAATGATGCTTCTCATTGCTGGTACGTGTCATCATTTCAAACTGGGCATAAATTTCATTAAAAAAGTCATTATTTCCCTGAAAAAAATAATTATTTTCCCCCTAGAATTGAAGAAACGTACAAAACCATTCTCCGGGAGTGCAGCACCAGGAGCTGAACGTAGGGCTTCCCTGACGATTCCCTCCGCGCCGAATGGCAACAGCGTAGAAGGAAAATGGTAGAGGAAAAGACTTCAAACTATCTAAATAAGTTGAAAAATTGATTAAAAAACGAATAGAGAGACATATCAACGCGAGGGGCGATAAAAGCCGAGGGAGTCTATTATTTTTGGGAGAATCTTCAATAACACTGCATGCTTTATTTATTGAGAGCCCAGGGGAAAAGCAAGTTCATGCTGATTTTTTTTTCTTTTTTTTTTCTTCATTTTTCCTTCGCTTTCAGAACTCCCTCGTGAAATCGAGCGTTTGATATCTCATTTTTTAATGAATAATAGCAGTAAATTGTTGTGAACGAGGTCGCTGCATCCCTCAGAGGTTCGTTACACACGTCATTGCTGGCAATTACGTGAACGTGTGCCAATGAATTAAAAAAAAAATTCTTCGAGAGATGAACCAATCAATTGTCACTCAACTGAACGAAAATTAATTCACTCTCTATCTGTGATGATTTACGATCATAATGATTTAGGCACTCTAAAGACTTAATGAAAAATGAAAAAAAAATATTAAAATTACGGAAAAATGAAAAAAAACTTGACGGGTGGGGGAAAAGGGCGTCATTGATGTGGATGAATGCATGCAGCGGCTTCTCATATTTATTGAGAATAAAAACGATGGATGTTGAGACTAAGCTCGAAGACCAACTGCGAGAATCGTTGAATCAATGATAATGGCCGTTTTCGAGTTTTATATTTACAGATAACGATATATTATTTATTACTAATAAGGAGGACGCTGGATGCACGTCCTGGGGCGATGAAATTAAATTTATTATCTGATTTATGCAATTATTATTATTTTTTTGATAAAATACGAAGTCAGTTCACCACTAGGTGGGGTAAAATGGAACTTTTCGAGTGGTGAAATAATAAAAAAAATCATTTTCTATTTTGCGATTAGTTTTTTTTATGAATATCTTGGAATTGAATATTTTTTTGAAGATATTCCAATTGTTTAAACAATTTCCTCACAAAAATTTTTCAATCTCCACTAGATTCTGAGATATTCAGGGGAAACTAGAGTGAAATTTGAGTTTAAAACGTTCCATTTTGCCCCACATATCGCACATTTTAACCAGTGGTGAGGGATAATTCACTCAATGAATTATAAATATATAAATATTATGTAAAAATTAATTGGAAACCGAGACGGTACGATTTTACAAGAATAAGATACACGCGAACAGTGAAAAATCGCCCTAACTTATTATTTCAATTTAAAACTCAAAAAATTTTTTTTTCAAGAATAAATGCGTTAGGTAACGAGCTCTGCTCACGTACGCAGTGCTTCTGGGAGTAACTCGCCTTGAGCCAAATCGATTTCTCACACAATATTTATTCCTTCAATTTATTTTTTTTGTTTTATTTTTTTTTCTTCGATCGATTTGGTTCAGCGTGAGGTGTCCGACTGCCTAGCGAACGATTCTGTTTTTACCCTGAATTAAATCATTGACCCATTAATAGTAACTTTTAACTTACAGAAAACATAAATTATTTGTCAGTGTTTAATTTTTTCTTTTTTGATGAGATATTAAGAGTGGAGTCAGCCGTGAAGTGGTGGAATGTAACGAGAGAATTCTTCACGTTCCATCGTTGATTATCTTCATAACGAGTGATTCTAGGGAAAAATATCACAAAGTATTTTTTGTAGAGAATTTTATCGGCTACAAAAAAGATTCAGTGACATTTCCTCCAAAAATCACTCGTTAACGAGATAATTGCATAATTAGCAAAAATGTCGAAATTGATTTGACGTGAAAAATGCAGTTTTTTCTTTAAGCCTGAAGAAAAATTACGTTCTGTCACTTCACAACTGAAAGAGAATGGTCACTGGTAAAAGAATACAGTAGAAAAAGAATCTGTTGAAGAGAGTTTGAACGATTGAACGATAGTGCAGAAGGAATTCACATGAAACCTAAATGATAAATCCAATTGTGTTCGTGTAATATCGTCCGTTGTTCCGATCCCTTTGGTGTCTTGAATAATTTCGGTCAATAAATTCCATTGTCTGTCCGAATAAATCGAGGCTCACTTGCGCTCGTACTTGTTAAAACCAGTGTTAAAGATTGAATATTTTTTTTCTCATTTTTTTTTTTTACTTTTTTTTTGTTTGCATGGCTTTGAAAGTAACGAGGTTCGTACGGTAGAGCGTAATTGAGCGGAGAGAAATGTAATTCAGGTCTGAAGATGATTTATGATAATGTTGATTATTCTGCATGAAAAAAAAAATCACCGATGTTCATACGAATAAATTAATCTAGTGATTAATGAAGGGGAAACGAGGGGAAAATTGAAAGTGTGAAGATACTGTTGGGGGAAAAGGGTCGAGCGAGGGTATCCGCGAATGTTAATGTTAATTCCCACATGACATATCTCACGATATTCGAATAATTGTTTTAAATAATTTAGGAGGGGAGTGGAAAAACGAGAATTCTTCAGATCTGGAGTATTTTCGAAAAATTCAGCTCGATGGAAAATTCATTGATTGTTTTATCACTTCCCTGCTGAATTTCTTCTTCCATCCACGAGAGTAGCGATTGTATTCAACGTAATGTTATGGACTCGAAGGTTTAAAATCCTTTGGAACTGAGAAAAAGTCACCTGACTCCGTCGCTGCGTATTTTTTTTATTGAGTGTTATTTTAAAATGTCGTGAGATTTAAAAAGTGAAAATTGTAGTAAATCAATATGCAGCTTGTGTTATTGTAATTGTAGACATTCCACTGAATGATTGTACGGGAGATAGTGCTCTTGCACTTGAGGAATTGCATTCGTACTTGCAGAAACATTTGAGCGAATAAAACATTCGAAATTGGAAACGGAGAGACTCGCTCGTCCGTTTCACTCTGACAAGATAATTCACAGAAAATCGACCAGAGAAAGTATGAAATATTGTTACAAAAAAAAATCGAAAAAAAAATGTCTTTTTATATATTGCTGCATGATATTTTTTTATATATTAGTAATTGAAAATATTGAATATGCAAATGATATGCTGTGTACGTCTATGTGATCCTATGGATTACTATCGATTTTTTTTTCTTTTTTTTTTCATGAGAAAATAATGGGAATTTTGAACTGATGAATAAAATAGCCCCAGTTTCTGTGGCAAAAATTTCATAATACGAAGTGTTTTTTTTTCTATTCCTCTCATTGAATCAATAGCAAGAAATATGCGTTTATCTGAATTATTATTACCATGATTGGTATAATAATATGATAAATTATTGCATCACAATTATTGCCACTAAAATATTACGCAAATGATGTCTTTGAATAAAAAGTTCAGTCTCCACGAAAAATTGATTTTATTGAACTCCCCTCACCCCGCAGTACAAAATATCCTCCCCTGCACCCCAAACCGCAGTCCTTAAACTCAATATTATTATCACATCACGAAGATACAGAATACACCTTCATATCCCCCGAATGTAGTTCAGTTTCACAGGCCACGCAATTGAAGCTCCCAGCGACTTTAAAATGCGCACTCATGCAGTAGTAACAATAAATGTGATGGCATCCAGCGTGACGAGGCAGCACCGGTGTCTCTCCACAATAAGGACAGAGCGTCTGGCTTGTCATCCTGGGAATAATCTCCACTCCCCCGTCTTTTTCACCTCGTCTACTGAAATAGGAGACGAAGCACCTCTTCAAGTAATGAAAATTAATCATCGGTAGACCTATCGTGAACAGCTCCATGAGCCCATGCCACAGTAATTCCCTAGTCATGTAGGAGTATCCGATGGTCCTGGGTCTGGTCGTCGCTATATTCCTGCTGGAGATCCCGAGGAATCTCTCCAGAATAATCGGCTGCGTTCCTCGATTGAGGAAAACCAATAAATTGATGAAACTCACTAGGCTAAAAACGTTGATAATTTTCTCGAGATATTTCTTGATTATTCTATCACGCGGTGTGACGGGAATTCTACTCGGATCGACGTATTTATCCTCGAGGTACTTCGGGAGGACCGAAAGGAGGAAAAAGAGGGCTGATTTATTTCGCGTTAGATCGACATAAGTCAGATCGAGCAATTTCTGACCGAATGAAGACTTTCCAGTCCCCAGCGAAAATAGAAAGATGAGCGATCTCAGGGCCGCGTTTATCTCTGGTGTCCATTTTTCGGTGATCCCAGGAGTGAAGAGACGAGATATTTCTCGGGCTCGAGCCACGAAAATACGGTGGATTTCCTCGTCCAATTCGAGGGCGTCCAGTTGGTTTATTCTTGATACGTAAGCTGGACTCATTGTTAAAATGTTTTTTTTTAACTGGAAGTAAAAAATAATAATCCAATGACAATTGGATTTTTTATGAGTTGATGGAGTGAATTACTCGTTAAACATCCTCACACGAATAATTATCTTGAAATGTCATTCTGACAGTTCGAACCTGCTTGTGCTCCAAAAAATCAAGATTTAATAATTACTCAATCCCCAGGATGCCAGCGGATTTATTCAAACCGTATAATTTATTCATAAAACACCGAAGAATTCAGAACTCCTGTTTCGCTCAATTATCATTCAATCATTGATTTATCATTCTAAATATGATAATTACCTCCGAAACATCACGTTGACACTCGTGCTCCGAAAAAAACCCCAGTTTGCACTCAAAAATATCAACGATGCGTTAAAAAATCATTGTCACCAAAAAATTATCACAAGAATTAAATTATCTAATGTTGACGTTAATTATCGTCGCGAAATGCATTGCACGTCGCCTGCATACCGATCAGAATCAGCTGATTGTCTCCCTGATCCCCCTGAAGAATCAAAGATGGCGGCACCTCCGGAGGGTGCAGGGGGCGCCAGGCGATGGTGTGATATGAGAATCCACCCACATAGCCCAGGGTGGGGGGAGAAAATACCGTACGATGGTGTGAGCGGGGGGAGAAGAGAGGGTGAGAGAGAGAAGCCGGTTCGCCGTCGTTCCGCTGCGGAGAGACCGGAATCCATGTTGCCGCTGTCCGGCTGGTGGAATGACGTCATCGAGTGTTGGTGCAAGTGGGTTTCGTGTACATTTTATTCGTCGGGCAATGGTTCCAATGATGTTTTCATGATAATGTACAATTGTTTTATTCAATGGTGAGATTTTAGCTGGTGCTGAGGGAACAGTGAAATTTAATCGGTGATATCTTGAGGATTTTGTTGTCTCGTTTTTTTTTTTTTGAAATCGAGTGATTGCGAGGATTTTTTTTCGCGAGGGTGGTGCGGGAATTGATAAAGGGAGAGGATCGAAGAGGTGAGGTTTTAATAACGAGGAATTTTTGGTGATCGAGGGGTGGGAGATACCAGGAACCTGCGGAGGTGAGTGGATTCAGGAAATTATGTAATGTCGGGGTTTTGGATTTTTTTTTCTTCGGGGAGTTTTGGGGCGGAGGGAAGTGAGGATTTTGGGATCGTGGGCGACGATGTGGTCGAGGGAGCGACGTGGGGATTTGGAGTTTACAGGACAGATCGATGTGCTCGGGTCTGCTCGCGGAAAGTGACAGGTTAACCTCCAATCGACTGGGTCTATTGGTGATGAGCGATGAGGGAAGTGTGGGAAGTTATTCCACTGAATGATGAATATTTTTTTGGGGGGTATCGCCTGCTATTTTCGTCGGGGGAATTTGACAGTGAGACTGGAGAAATTGCGTGTCGATTTTAGTTTAGAAGTGATGGACTATTTTTCGGGGATGGAGGTGGCAAAATTGTTTAATTCCGATTCTGCTTCACAACGAATTTCCTCCAATGGACACTCACTTGCGTTGAAATTAAATTCACGTCATTATCTCGGTTTGAAACTTCACTTCACAGTTTTTCGTAAATAATCTGGGGTGGGAGGAATTTTTTTGTGACCGTCGTTACTCTCGAAAGATAAGAAGGTCCCCGAGAACATTTTGCCATTTGCCTTCAATTCCAAGATCTTCGCCAGATTAAATTGTTTGAGATTTGAGTTAATTCATACCGTTTTAAAAAAATTCGTTATGCCCCTCACATTCCAAAATATTGCTCCAAAATTCAATTGTTCTAAAATTATATTTTTTGTGAACAAAAATCTGTGCTCAAGTCTTGAATAATTAGCTTCAGAATCTAAGAGAGACAGTGAAATTCTAAAGAACCCTTTCTGTATTTTATTCTTGCTCCAACAAACGTCTCCCAAACTTCTGCTCCAAAATTTCTCCCACCAAAACCGAACACGAAATTAACTCAATTTATCTTGTTCTACCACTCCACTAATAAATCCTCCATTCCCTTATTCCTTATTGTCATTTAAACGTTTTCCTCGACTAGTTCATGACATGTTACGATACTAGGGTCAAGTTCACGGGGTTAGACGAGCGGGGCGAGGGTAATTTTGAGGTTTCATATTATTGCTCTGCATTTTACTAATTTTTGAATGATTGCAATTTTATTCCATGCACCCACAAAAATAGAATTCATTAGTGGTTTTACGTGGCATGTGCTCCAATTCACTCTTCCATCGCAAATCAAATGTTTCATTTTTTTCCTCGTTCTCATTACACTTGTAGTTAGAGCCGGAGGCTTTACTTGAGTTCTAGAATAGAATCCATTCGAATTGTCAGACGAGAGGCATCGAATTCCGGTGGCTATCGATTTTTACAAGTTTCCCTGCACGTGTCACCACGTGCGTGTGAGTTGCAAAATTTAGAGCAGTGTATCTCCCGTAATTTCGGTTTTATTTTCCCCACTACCATTACTCTCTCCGTCTCTCGGACAATTTTTGATTGATCGTTCTGCTTTCGCTATCATTTCTCTTTCTGATTGATAAATTTCTGGGATATGGAAGAGAATTGTAGTTGATGATGATGATATTTTGGGGAGGGAGATGCCATTCATATATTTTTTTTGGGGCTCCTCTAATTTTTTTTCTGTAATTGTAATCAATTTTCTCCTGGTACGTTGCTTTTTCCCTTTAGATAGTTTTAACTATCCTAATCTCTTCAGCCCCGCTCAATTCCATCGATGCATTGCGCTTGCGCTTGGAAAAAGAATAATACAATCCCCTTGACAGTTTCGACCTCAATTTACGAGTAGAGGCAACCACCGAGGGTCTGCGGTATCAACGAAAATAGCAAGGATTCATGGGTTCTATTGTATTGTATTTATCCATCCCTGAGTTATTCTGTCTATCCACTTTCGTGTAACAACTGGTGTACGTAAAAGAATCCATACAGGAGATACAATACATCAAATCCCGGGGAAATACATGTGGAATTACTCTACAAATCGATAGTAGAGATATAAAAAATTCAGTTGTGGAAGGGTTAATGCAGTGAATTAGAATCCACATTTTTGATAATTCTCCATTAATTTTGCAAGACTAGTTTTAAGAGAAAAATTTATGGGACCTTTTTTGCAGCTGAGGAAATTCGGAATAAAAAATTCCTGATGAAATTTTTTTTACCGAATTACCCAGTAAAAAAAATCTGACATTTTCTCCTGAAAATTCAATATTCAACAGTTGAAAATAGACTCGTCACATTAAAAATTTCTCATTCAGCATTCATCTCAAATACGAGGGAGTTTGAGCTGAAAATGTCTTCTGGCATTTTCCCCTAAAACAATTCGATACCAGGATAATTCAATATTCATGAGATGTCAGACGTACCCCCGAGAACGAGTCAATTTCCCACATCTCATCAAATCTTCAATTACCCCGATACCAACTAATTTTCGAAAAAACAATCAAAAGGCATTTTCCACGAGAAATTTTCTCCTCTGTAAAAATTCCTCCCGCAATTCTCACCTAGAGGCCCTCCCTCTGTAATTCAATAATTAAAAAAACATGAAAAACCTCCACTACTCAATTCCCCATCGCCCCCAAATCATTTTCACTCTAATCTAAATGTAAATTTTTCCTCTCACGATGAACATTCCTCCCCAGGTCTCACCCTCAACTCCTGAATTTTCGCAATGCCGGCTAATTCATCATAAATAATGAACTTACGTTCCCTTAATATCAACATAATATCCTTTTGCCTCCGAATTACACAATTTGTTGAATTATTATTCCCAATAGTGGGAAGGGGTGGCCCATTACAGAAGTCAAGTTCCACAGGACCGCAGGGTAGATACCGAGGGGGGGCCGGGGGGTTGGTATTCATTGTAACATATATACATACATTAGACCTAGAAGAGAAAACCGAGGTATAGTGATTCGTTGGCGCGAGGCGTGGCGGAGTATTGATCGTTCCCTCGGTTGGGCCGCATTCCTCCTCTTCTCCTTCTCTCTAGTCCACCCTCTCGACTCCCAACATCGGTTGTGTGTGTACGTCATTGAGGGAAAACGCTGGGTAGCTAGTCCACCCGCCTCGGATGTGTTATTTTTCCCCACTAGCCTCCGACTACTCGAGCCATCCAGACGACAAACACCCCTCATTCTGCTTGTCCTGTTCTGCGGTCTACTACGGCCTCTAACGTGTTTGCACGGGCCGACGTCTACAAGTTGACGATGTCCCAGTCTTGGGACATGCTGGCACTAATGCATTCAATGAAAAGAAATTGGGGGCTTCGGCCTCGTGGGCGATTTTAGTTCGGCTGCCTAGCACTGGGTCAATTACATCGGTAGCAATTCCATGATTTCAAAGACGAAATTTCTCGTAATTTCGAAGAGAAAAAATTGAAAAATGTCGTCTCGTATTTTTTACATTGATTAAGGACATCCAAGTATATTTAACCCATTTGACCCCAAGCCTCCGGACATTTTACAATGATTTTATTATTTAAGCTTTACAGGTCTAAATTTGAATGACGCTGAATATTCATAATTTTTTTCAAGTTCTCCACGCGCATTTTAATTGACAATTTCGATGAGTAAAAATGGATTCTTAAATATCCTCAATATAAAAAAAATGTAGAAATCTCTCGAGTTCATGTATTGCCCAACGGAAAATTCCGAAAATGATTTATCCCTCATCCATCGTCAGAAATATAAATCTTTCGAGTTTAGAAACCACTTGAAGTGAAGATTATAAAGTTTCGGGAAAGTTTATCTTGGAATCCATATGATCGAAGAGATAAGTCTCGGGATATGCAGTACCTTTTATGAGTTTTGTTCAATCTAAAAACTTCAATCGCAAAATTCTCGTCCAATTATAATTACGAATCGGGATTTCTTTTTTCCCCCCAAAAAGTGCAATTTTTGGGGAGAATAAAAGAAAGAAGATTTAATACCCTTTGGCTCCTCATTACGAGTCTGAATAAAAATGCCATTATACAGAGTCGTTCCTTTTATCTTCCACGATCCGTTTTTTTTTGTCGCACGGAAACGCTGACTGCTACGTAATTACTCCAAATGCCTTTCTTCTCAGCTCTTTTTTCCTTCTCTGGGAAACAAGGGAGTTCAGAGTTGCTGTTGATAAAAACAAGTGTCTACGTACGAAGAGCGTGAGTGTTAGTTTTATGCCACCCTCGAATATCGAAATACAATAGGACAATGCAGACATTTAAGTAGACACGAGTTTTCGCAGCTCCTCTACCCAAAAAATTATATTTCTGTTGATCGTGTAATCAACTAGAAGACGACTCTTCCCGGACTAAAAGTCAAGAGATCTTTCTCGTATGGAAGACCAATCCGTTTGGTCAGCGGATAAAAATTCCAAGTCCAATTGAAAATAAAACTCCTTGTTAAGGCAATCGATCAAGACATAGAATTTAAAAAAACGAGACCATTAGCCCCTAGAGTAAGTTGTGGGGATCAACGGATAGAGAAGTTGTCTAACGAGCCGTGAAAGCTCCGTTT